TGAACAAAGACACACCCATGAGTCACGCAGCAAACACCTGGCCAACTGACAAGCCGAGCTGGTTTGTTGCATAACGCTTGAGCGAGAATTTCGAGGTGAGGCGCCTATCACCTTCGGATCTTCAATCCCCCCCCCCAAGAATGGTCTTGCTGCCACCTTGTATCAAGTTTGGCAAGACACCTCGAAAAAGAAACCTACACTTTTTAGGGCGTGATGTAGTAGACAAAAACGAAGCCTGCTGTCTCTCAGGACAATAGGCTGGGCACTTAATCTTTGCAACTTTCCATGACGTCAAAGGAATACCAACAATTTGCACGGGCCACATATGAGCGGCGCTGGAACATGTTGTGCAAAACATGGCACCATGAGTGTGCCTTCGTGAGCCCTTTCACTACGGCTTCGCGATCACATGATTTGCTTTAGCTTTCGCAGCGCTTTCGTGGCGGACTGTGCGCAACGTGTACTACTTTTCATTACCAGGGTGTATGGCATGGGAGCTGAGCCTCCTTGGAGAGGTTGGACTTCATGCTTTCCCACTCTTCCAGGCCGACGTACCTCACTGCAAGCCGTTGCCGATAGAGGCAGCGAGCTGTGAAGGCCAAAGCATGCACTACGCTAGGCTTCGGTCATGTTGATCCCGGATTTATGAACCCTAGTTTCTCAATATGGGGGTTTCCCTGGCTGCGGGGATCATCACTTTTGGAGGGGAACACCCCCGTACGAATGAACAGGGGCGTATGAATCTGCGGTCAACATTAGATGGCACGGTTTCCTCGTTCCGAAGTAAAGAGGATGATAACACCTACGGTTGTGCCATCTACGTTCACCCGACTGTATCCAAGTTTTGGACGAACGCATGATTGTATGCGCATGAATCTGGCGTCATCCGAAGGCAAAGTTGCTCTCAAAGCGCCAGGGTGATGAGAAATGATCAGGTTCATGGAACTGGCTTCCTGTTGATGCAGCGGGGGGGGGGAGTGCACAAGACTGTAAACCAGATGGCTTGGAGAGACACATCAGAACTAGCATTTCAAACTGGCCGCTTCAAAAAAATGTGCAGCATCCACTGTACCATTGATAGCAAGGCATGACTAGCTGGCCAGCTGCTAGTAACGACACTCAGAATACACACCCAGATCCGAATGTTCAATAAACAATGAAGCCGACCGATATCACCTGGCACCATCGCCTCAGCTCCCGCAAGAGAGTCCAACGGCCAGCCGTGTTGGTGCTAAATGGGCTTGCAGATCGGTCAAGTGCCAAAGTGCATTGGACAGGGCATGCCCGGCACCAGCAGCGTTGCGCGCTGCTAGGCGTGCTTGGACGGAGTTGTTTGTCCGAAATGCGTGTTGCGTCGATTTCCGCAGCAGGCCTGCTACCTCACTGAAAGCCTCCTTAGATGGACAATGGGAGAAGGTTTCGGGTCATGGCCAGTCCGGAGCTACCAACAGCTCTTGGCGCACCTGAGGCAACTGGTCCAGCTGTGTCTTTGGTTCCGGAAAGGAGGCAACAGCGGCCACCGGAAATGTGCATTCTGCCGAGGTTTGACCACGTTCCGCGGGGCGCGAGTTGCACTAAGGCATCGATGCTGCTGGGCCACTGAAGAAGCATATGGCTACGAAAGTTAACAAGGGACCCTTTGGTGGACATCATGGTGGGGATTCATGGCCACCAATCACTTTTGAGGTGGTTCCAACTCTTAAACTTCATGTCCCAGAGCACCAAGGGCACATTGGATTCGGCCGTGGGACGCAAACGCAGCGTCACACCGTGGAGCGTGCCAGTAGCTGTGCGGATTGGGTGCAGAGCGTCGATGCCGCATCTACAGAAGTCAGCGTGTCCGCCGACTTTCCTTGTTCGTGCATGTTCGCGCAAGGGCACGTGCAGAAACGGTGTCTGTTGACAAAGGCACCCTACGCGAACCCAAGCCTATGGACCTATGGCCTCCATGCACTGCTCCTCACTGGGTCAACACGACAGTCCAGTTGAACAAAAAAATAATCCGGGTGACTTTCCCCTGCTGCTCCTCAAGCAACTTTTGGTTAGGATGAACCGAAGTTTGGAACATTCCATATTTGTTCAGGTTCCCTTGTGACAGGGGGTCTCTTCAAGAGGAAACTGATCTTACAGAATTACAAGTACCCTCCCAAATATCTTTGTGGGAGGAGATGTCCCCCCTCCTATAAATACTCGCTGTCAAATGCTCTCAGAAGGGTACCAGCCCGCTTTGCCTGAAACTATATCCAATGAATGAGCGTGGCGAAATCCTGGCAGTGAGCTTCTGACAAGACTCTCATGCGCACTTGGTTTCTGGCAAGACCCCTCTGCAAAAACATGTCATTACCAAATCTGGAAAATCCGACCTGTTTCGACCAAATACATTACGTTCCCTACTGAGCACCCAATACGGAAATCTATTTCCCAAAAAGCCAAAGTCCAAAGATTCGTTGCCAACTAGCCTGAAGCTTCAGGAAGTGCGCGCAAACTACGGGATTTGCTCTCTGCGAAAGGCTCCGAAGCTTCAGGAAGTTCGCGCAAACTCGGGGATTTCTTTCCTGCAGAGTTTTCTGTATGGCTAGTTGGACTTCTTTTGAAATCAGGCCCCTACAACGAGTTGCTTTTGCCAAACCCCCACTTGCTGAACGGACTGAGACGACCAGGGGTTCTTGCATTCTCCACCTAAACATGACACCAAAATGGTGCTCTTTTGGCCTGGTGGAGAAAGGAAAGAAGAACAAGGTCGCACCGCTGCAATCGCCCCCCAACAAAGTCGCTCTCACCAAAGGGCCCGTTTCTTTGAGAGGCAAATTGCATCAAACTGCCTTAACATCCCCTCACTGAGGCCTTCAACAATCAGGGGGTCTCCGAATTTCCCCTGCCAAGGTTGAAAAAACATGCTGAAGGCTTCCATTGCATTTAAGGGAAATGGCTCGGTCACCTGAAAATAGGAACTGAAAAAGGTGCCCCAAAGAGACGGGGCAAATGCCCGAATTCCTTCGCGTCTTTCGCAGTCTCAGGGCCTCACTGTTGGTACGTAGCGAGGGGATCCGGGTTCTTTCCTGGATCCCAACCAAGCAAACCTTCCCTGAAAAAATGAAACCCAACACTGGGCCCCTTAAATGGCTTTTGGGGCTCCATGTTAGCGGAATCTCCCTTTAAAGGGACCCAAAAAAAAGAGCCGCTAGGTACTTTGCAGGCTAGACAGTAGAAAAAACAGCGGGCTATTTTTTTTTCGGGGTGTTGGAGTGCCTTGAAACCAAATCAAGCGGACACAACATCATCATGTGTCCAATTCTCTGCCCAAAGGACCTGGATCTGAAAGGTGATCACGCTTTGGGGCCTCAGGTTGCCATAGGACCAAAAGGAACCTGCTGAATGACCGCCTCTCATCGATTGCTCGAATGGTAGGAAGACCCCATTTGGGGAAAGCAAATTCGCGATACGAACAAGCGGTGTGTCTAAAGATAAACCGAAACGCAAAGGCCCACATCCCTGCTTCCCCTGTATCCCCTGTTTGTCCGACCATTCAGGTTTCAAGTGGGCTCAGTGTCTTGGTTGACGTTGGAAGGGGAGCACAAACTCTCATTTTTTAGCAGTTGAGTGGTTGGAAATCAACCACCAAACCACAATAAGAAAAAACATGGGGAAAATAGTTTCCCGTTGCAACAACCATGTTTAGTGGAACCACTAAACAACAACAACAACAACAACCATGGTGTATTCTTTGCCGCCCGCAGCCTAGTGACTCGGGCGCTCTTGACCCTTCAGGGAAGATGTTCGCCTCTCCGAATGAGTCAAGGCCGGCCACATGAATTTGGAGGCCGAGGACCTCTTAGAGCTATCAATGCTGAAGGAACTTTCATTCTAGGCCTTGAACCTTAAGGAACCTGGGAGAACGGAATTTCTTAGGCCTTCAAGACCAGGAAACCTGAATGAGGGAGGACTTCAGAGTTTCAGCCTCCACTAAACAGCCCTCGAAAATGGCGCGCAAACTCCCAGCTTCATTTTCTTTGGAATGACAGTTGCCCTAGGATCTAAGCCCCATTTTAAACAAGCATGGGCCAGGACCCACTTTGGATGACAATCCTTAGGTGGTGGTTCTATGAACCCCCTCTGCTTTGATGGTGGCAACTGAACCTCAGGGTTTGGACAACTTCTGCTGTTATTGTCCCCTCCGAATTTATCAACAGCTGAACAAGGTCATGAATTCCCTGTCAGGACCATCCGCAACGGACGCTGATTTGACCATGTGTCCAAAGCGGGGTCCGGACCCTGTGCGAGCTGAAAACATGAGGAAACCCAACACAAAACCGAAGACAGAAGAGTTCAACGCATTCCATTTGCTTACACTACCTCTAAACCAGCGACAAGTGGTCTATTCAAGACTGATGTCTTACCATCACACATTCTCCCCAACACCAACAGGGACACAACACACAGGGCCAACACAGATCAATAAATCAACAAAACAAACAAAAACACCTCTACAACCGAAGCCCCGAACGTTGAAACCCAAACACCACCTGGCTCGAACATTCGAACCGAGCGAGCGCAGTTCCTGGAACGCGATGCACCACCTCCCTGACCCCCACGCGGTCACCTCAGACGGGACGACACCAACAAAAAGAAAGGGGCCCTCCACTGGAGGAGTCTAGATCCTCATTGCAGGGGTTTTAGACCTCGAAGGCTTTTTAGGTCCCAAGATTCGCCAAGTCTGGGGTATGTGCCCAGATGCATTGGCGACCAGAACCCTTTAAAAGACTCGGACAATTCATTGAACCCAATAAAAGGACGAGAACCCTTTAAAAGACGTTGGTCACTTTCAGATCCATTGGTCCCAAAACCGGGGCCAACAACCAAACGCTTTCCCGGCCGTTCTCACCTCTGAATCTGAGCTGGCGGCTCCATGGATCCTCCTGAGCCCTTTCCATTGCCGATGTCGGATGTCGGATGTGTCAAACGCCCGCTCTTTATGGATGGAAAGAGACACTCATTTTTGGTGTTGAAATCAAAAAGAAGCCCACTCTTCGTCGGGCTCCCATATGTGAGTCGTTTTGGGGAATTGAAGCCCTGAAAGAAGCACCTGCGTGGTGTTTGAAAGTGAAAGTACTTGGAAACACACCATCTCACTTGCCCAAAGGACCTCCGGACATTAAAAAAAAACAGGTTCACCTTTTGGGGCCATACTGTTGACCCCCCTGCAAAAAGTTTAACTTTTTGGGGGTTTAGTGGAAAACACCACTTTCTTTCAACCAAAAAGTTCTCAAGTCTAAAGATCCGTTGCCCAACAGCAGTCACCTTTTGGTGCCACGAGTAAAAACATGGAGACCAAGGAGCCCAAAGAACTCGGCTAGTGAGCCATGTGGCACAGGCGACTGCATGGCCCAGGACAGCGAGTTGTTCGGTGTCCCTGAGCTTTTGGGATCTTTTGGGGGCCAGGAAGGAGTGTTCAGCCCTCATGCCTCTCCACAACAGCGCATTCTCACTTCCCAAGTGGGGCAACACAAAGCCGGACGTGTTGGTCTTTTTCAACACCGACATGCTCTTCCCAGCAAGTTCTTAGTCCGGAAACCGGCAACGTGCGCACAGCAGTACTTGTGGAAATACTCCAGAATCCTCCAATCCCCCCCCCTCCCGCAGATATCCAAACAAGATCAGTACAGAAAATGACAGACATGCTGCACGGCCATTTGGCTGTGGCTCAACATAGGTACCCAAAAATGGAACCCTGGTAAATGGAAACATGAACTAAAACCTGCCGTCCCCTGTTGGTTTAATCTTGACCTCGGGCCCATTTGCGAGTACTTTGTGCTGGCTTCCACCCACTTGTCGAGGGCCTCCGCTTGGCTCGGAATGCCTCCGAGACACTTTCGGCGGATTGGCAAACGAGCAGTGAAGTTTTTCCGTGCTGTCCTCAGATCCTCTGCTAAAAGGTTGGTTAAATGGACACCCAACCACACCCTCAACAGCTAAAATCCCAAGGAGCCGGACTAGGACCCACCAAGCTTTCGTTGCGTGCCTACGCCATGCCTGCGTCCTATCGGCCTACCTACGCCAAAGACGACCACCTACGCCAAAACCCGACGCCTGCTTACGCACCTATGCGAAGCGGCGCATCGCATCTAGGGCTGCGCAAAAAAAAGGCGACTTGCAAGTACCTAGAGTCTCCATGACCCTTTAACAATGGTTGGTCGTTACCCTAACTAATGGGGTCATTCACCTATTCCCTAGGCTTCCAAAGGCCATTAAAAGAATGGTCGAGGTCGCTAGACTGTTTTTTGCCGAAAGACAGTTTTTGCGCCTGGCCCTGAATATCCAAAAAATCATGCTTTTTGTTGCCCAAGAATTGCTTAGGGTCAGGTCACTGAAAGTCACACCGCCCTCATCCTCCCAGCTGCAAATGACTGCACCCAAGCCACTCATTCCCCGGCTTGCCAAATGTATGGTCGCATCACTGTTCAAAATCGCCAGGTGTCCCGCCTACTGTAGAGGCGTGCATAGATTCTTCGCATGTTGGTACTGAAGCCCGGCTTTTTTTGAAAAATGCTGCAAACTTAGTGGCTTCAGGGCATCGCTGCGGATCAGGCATGCGTTGTGGGCTCCTGGGGTTATGGTTGTCCACGCTTTTAAACGTACTTTCCACGCTTTTAAATGTACTTTCCACGCTAAAAAACGTACTTTCCACGGTTTGTCCATGGTTCGTCCACGCCTCATTTTCTTTCGAAATCGATTAAACAATCAACAAACAACACGCAATCAGACTCTGTGGAGCTGTGGACAAGAAGTGGAAAAGCACGCACAGGCATGTGAGGGACAAGCCAAATTGACACAGCATGGTGGCGGCGTGTGATTACAACGGGATGAAGCGACTGTAAAACATACTTAGCTTATTTCATAAAAGGCAGCAATAAAGCTCTTCAACCTCTCACTGCACAGAAGCGCGCGGGGATGTCATGAGCCAGCGGTCTCGAGTTGGCCAAGTTTGTCTAGACCTAGTTTTAATGGTCGAGGGACATTACTTTTATAGCCTTTCGTTTTTTAAATGGTCGAGGCTATTTAAAGAATAGTCGAGGAAGCACAGGGTATTCTTAAAGGGTCTCCACAGACTCCAGGTACAAGCGCAGTCCACGAAGTGCACTTTGCAAGTGCACTCCATCGAAACGTAGGACCAGCAGGGACCCGCAAATGGCAATCGCCAGCGCACAGGAGCAAAAGGCAACAGGCGGGACCAGCACTTGGCGCCACCAAAGGCGGGACCAATCGCCGTTTTTTGTTGTTGTTGTTTTTAAGACAGGTGCGCTACTCGAAGTCTTTGGCAGCTCCAGCGAAGCGTGAGGGCTTGTAAAGGAAGGACGAGCCCGGAAGCCCGCCGGATTGGAGTTTGGACGTTGTACTTGTTGGACATGCACGGCTTCGTGAGCCGTCAGTCAGTCCATCACCACAACGCTTCACCTTGTTGAACCCTTCGAAAAGCAGCCTACTGCTATACGCAACATGCAAACAGTGTCATCACGAAGATGTGAGCCTTCATCCCTTTAAGAACGCGGCCCAAATGATAAATCCAGTCAAGTTAATGAACACCCCTTTTCACAAACCCCTGTTTATTAGTATGGGGGTGTCTCTGGTTTTAGTGGGGATTGTGCAGCAGATTGTTCACTTTTGGAGGGGAACACCCCCCATTAATAAACTGTGTGGGTCAAAACCAATGGTACCATTTTGGGGTAGGTGAATTCACCACCCAATTTAGAACCTATCTTAGTGGGGATTGAATCGGATGTTCACTGGGGCTACGATTTGGCTTTTGAAAAGCCCATGGCCATATAGCTCATCGCTGTTTCAGACTCCCAATGGCTCCTTGGCTCCACCAAACTCTGCCAGTACCGACACGATGCAAGGGAGGGAACGGGCCTTTGGAGTTCCATTTCTGATTCCAGTTTCCCTTTCGTAGGCTTGGTTGACGTTGGGTTTGGGGATCAGTTAAGTTTGGAGTTCAACCACTAAACCACAACAAGCAAAAATGCAAAAAAATGCTTCCCAACAACAACCATGTAGGGGGGATAGTGAGCAAGTGAGCCACAATCGAAACCCCAAAAAGCGGAGACAAATCGTGTGGGGAAGGCTGACCGCCTCACGTCAAGATGAAAGCGGGAAACAGCTGCCCACTTCTCATGCTCCGACGCACGTGTGGGGAGGGCACTTTTTCTTCTAACGAGCGCGTTGGCTGACGGTGAAACCTGCGGCATGTGCCAAATCGATAGATAATTTGGGGTGAAACTGCCATATCTCTCCACTCCGAATCCCAACAATTAGATTGAACACCTCACATGTCGTACTCCCCAGTTGCCCAGTGGCCAGAACCAAAAGGGATTTGCGGCACTCGCTTGCTAGAAATGCAAATGCCCGGCCACTGGGCACCAAAAGGAGTGACGCAAGAAGAGCAGCAAACGGCCACGGAGGCCGTTTTCTGGGTGCTAAATAGCTCTGAGTGGGGAAAATCCGGGTTCCTTTTAAGAAAGTTGGACATGAACGTCTTTTTTGGGAAAGTGGTGAAAACAAAGAGCAGTGTTTGCCATTTAGCACCCTCAGGCCAGTTCAATGGAACTCGGAGGAGTCAGATGACCCAAGTCGTCCATCGGAGACCTCAGGCGGTGAGATCGCAAAACACACAGGGCCCCCCCAAAAGCACATGAATTGAACCCTTTCATTCTTGTATCCTAGGCCCTTTCCTAAGTAAAACACTTTCCTTGTCCCTTCCTTTCACTCACCATTTGTTCGCTTCCGGACCGTTTATTAGTTGGGGAAGCGTGGTGAGTCAATAGGTGGGTAAGAAGGGATGCAATCACCCGTCTATTGCCTTTTTTTCTGGGACCTGCAAAGCTAACAAGTAAGATAAGGAAAGCGAAGTCCCAAGAAGAAAGAAAATAGACTGCATCCCTTCTTACCAACCTATTCACTCACCACGCTTCCCCAACTAACAAACGGTCTGGAAGCGAATACATGGTGAGTGAAAGGAAGGGATAAAGAAAGTGTGCAAGAAGGAAAGAGTCTAGGAGAATGTGTTCAAGTTTGGGGGTCCCCTAAAATGTAGATTTTTGGGGGAACCCCAGGAAGGCAAAAAACTCGGGGGCTTTCTTAAAAGGGTCAAGTCAACTTTGGGCTTATCCAAAACAGAGCCGAGACAAGTCCCGAATAGTCATGCCGACTTGCTCAGTGGACCAACTTTGTAGGACCTGCTTTCTCCGCTTGGTTTTAAAGGAAACCCCTGGTCAACAGGGTCTGTCATTTGCTCAGGGTATATACCCCTTTCGGGCCTTTGCCCAAATTGAAAGGAACGCCACCCATTTTGGGGTTAGTTGGAGACCAAACCAACTTCGAAATCCCGGGTGACACCCCTGGGACTTGCCGAGTTCAGTGGTCAAACTGGCTTTTGTTCGGCTTTGACGTAAAATGATGAAGATACCTGACAACCAAAGTTGTACCTCCCTCAAAGCTCCCTTAAACACTGGTGAGAGCCCTAAAGTCATGGGGTGAAATCCTTTCTTGAGGGTAGTTTGAGGGTCCAGGTACAGGCTTCCCGATGGTTGCCCTGAAACCATCACCCCTACTAAGGGGAACTCACCTTAAAAGGAAAAGCAAGTTGACCAGAAACGAAAGGCAAACCGTTTTGGAGCCATGACTAAAAGCAAAGCTGGAACACCTGAAAGGTCTTGAAAGGTCGGTTGCGGACAACTTGAGAAAAAGGGAACCCTGTTCCGAGTTGTCTAGGTCCTCCAGTAGAGAGGTTCGAATAAGGGTACCCATTTTTCTGTAGTCTATTTTAGTAGGGGAACCCTCCCCCCAAAAAAGAAAAGGGCACCTAGCTGGGGGACCCAGTTGTTCACTTCAGCACCGGAGCACAGCGAAACCGCGGGCGGCATGGCACTAGGTGCCTGGCGGACTAGTTGGATCCGCGGCGCAAATTGATCCTTGGGCAGTCGAGCCTGCCACAGGCCACAGGCCGTCGCACCCCCCCCCCAAAAAAAAGAAGTAATAATGTGAGCCTGAACCGACGTAGGCCTTAAACGCTCTAGGGGTTGATTCCGTTTCCATTATTTTCCGCCATCGTGTTTTTTTCAAGAACCAGCTGTTTTTGCAGGGGTTTAGGTGGTTTCTTAAAAAAAGAAGGATGCCTGGAAAAAAAATGGCAAGGCACCCCTAGATACATCGATGCAACATGTCAGCCACCAAAAAGGGAGCCGGACAAAATTGGGTTGAACATCAGTCTGTAACCACCAAAGGTAACCTTCGGGACACTCTGGGAACGAAGCTGAACGAAGCTTGAAGTTCCTGGGGATAGAATCCCTTTCTGCCAGACATGGCATGGGAGTATTCCAAATCTGGGTTGCTCCCCCTGCAAAAGGTCGATCACTTGTTGTGGAAAAGCCGTCCTCAAAAGGTCTTTCCTTTTGGGAGATTTGGTCACACCCTGCAGACCAAACATGAAATAGAACAACATGGGTGCTTTAGCTCATGTAAGCCAAATAGATTGGCTCACTTGAAAGCACTTGAGTTCTCGCTTTGGCAAAACCGCCAAAAGGGCTCCATGAAACAAAACAAATCTAAGCCACGGTCGAAATGACCTATTTCCTCAAGAGGACATGTGCACGAGACATTGAATAAGTCTCTTGGAGTTTGTGGGAAATTTGGTGAATGCATGTCCCTCCCATGGCCCACCTGATGACTTTCCAGTTACACCCACCCCCACCCAACACATGTGGACCCTCTACATTCATTCGGACTGCACGGCGCCGGTTCTTTCTTTCACGGATGGCCCATGTGAAGGTGCGAAGGTGCGCTTTCAGCGTCCTCCCGCACCTGGCACCTGCTGTTGAGCTGCCACCAAACAAAGAAAAAACACGTCGAGCCCTACTTTCATCTGAAGGTGCCGCACGAAAAAAAATGGTCCGCAGATTTACACGAAACCCAACATACCCTCGCAAGAAGAGGAATCTGCAAGGGTTGAGAAGTCTCTTGGTGGGGGTGGGCTTTGTGGGGTTAAATGTGAATGAGTTTGCCAGGGGTGTATCCTTTCAGGCACGGCAGGCCAATTCCCCTCGACAGCTAGGGAAAGCATCGACTTGAGCAACAGTCGAGCCTTTCAACCTCGGGCTCAGGATCTCATTGCCCACCCACAGCTCATTCCATCTCAAGTGAGGGTTCGCTCATGGTCACATGAGTCGCGACCAACAGCTGGTATTAAAGCGGTCCGCCCAAAACCTAGGTTCAAGATCGCATTTACATTTACTGGCCTTCACCTGCCAGAGTGGCGTTCTTGATTTGGCTGTTACTTGGCCAGACTTGGACCCCCTGAAGTGAATTTTCTTCTTAAAAGGGATGAAGGCATCCCAAAAGGGCCTAGGAAAAAACGGCTATGTTGAGTCTGATATGGTTAGATCACGATAAGTCCAATTGGCAATAAGTATCTCTGCCACCGGTGGGAAGAGCTGAATCAGAATGGGATGTTGGGTTCTCCGAAATGAGTTGCTAGCCTGGCTTCATGTTGCGTCAGGTCCAAAGAAAACCGGGCCCCGGAGCCCTTCCTTTGGGGAGCGTCCGTATGGTTTCCCAGAAAAATGCAAAACAACCTGGAAGGGGTACCAACCAAAACATAGACCCATCACTTGTTTGCTCTTCCCTGACCCTAAGCCAGATCACCAACCTCCAGCAAAAGATGCCCTAAGGAACGTTTATGAAGTCGTTTTGCTCCCGGTCGTCATAGCGCACCCTACATTACCACTTCATTTTTTGGCGGAGAATCCAGATTTGGACAGTTTGGCTTTTGAGCCGGGCTAACCAATTCTTTACGCTATCCCCGATTGGAATCCGATGCTTAATCTTTTTTCGGCGGTACACATAGTGTCGTTCCAACCCCCCTCGAAAAGGTGCCTTCAGGTGATTTCAGTTGTAACGGTTGATGCCGTAAGAGTCCTATTTGGCCCTGCACCAAAGTATTTTCTGATTCAGTTTCATATTTCCTCTAAGCAAATATGTTGATATTGGAGGATTCACCAGTAAAAGGGTTCATAGCAACTTGAAACAGTCCCCCGTTCGGTGTTTATGGACGTCCCATCCGCTTTGCCCGGTGTACCCGCTAAGCGAATTGGCGGCAGATGGACAAAACTCGCGGACCAAGCCGGGAAAAGCCAGCAATTTCCAGGGGGGCTTCCCCAATTTGGACAAACCAACTGGTTACACACAGACGTTAACTACAGCGTAGAAATATTGAAATTAGCATGTACATATGGATTGCAACATCTGCTTGATTAAGTGTGAATACTATATATATATAGGGGGTGCCAGGTATATCATGCATGTGTATATATATATATATTATCACCTCTTTCTACAATATGCACATATTTATATATATATAATGCTTACAGTACACACAGTACACCAGCCTAACATGAGAGCCAACACAATTGCACCACGGAGCCCCGCGCGCCGGCATTTCAAATCCATTTGTTTTGAAGTGGCGTAAGTCATGGTCTCCAAGCAGAAGCCCCTAGGCCGAACAACCCGGAATCTGTGATACCGACGTGGCTTTCCCATCCCCATGACCAATTGCTGTTTCGCTTTAAGGGGAGTACATTGGCAAGTAGCAAACAAACCTGAAAGTCAACCAATGGCTGTGGCTCAAAATTAAACAGGAGGGGTTACGCAGGTTTTGGTCCATGTTTCCACTTACCAGGGTTTCATTTTGGTACCGCCCTGGCGAATTCACAGGCGCAACCACCCCCAGGCGCGAGTTTCGACCATTCACGTCTGTTCGTCGGCTTCGGCAACTCGCAACTCCTTCGGCGTCGAGTCGGCTGGACGGGGTCCAGTCATTGAGTCGGCGCCCGAAGATATACCCCAGCCCCTGGGAAAACCTTGGGCGACCTGTCCAAAGATATCCCTAAACCCTCAGCCCTTGCAAAAAGGACGAGCCCAGTGCGAAGGTGATATCTATATATAATTACTAATATATATATATATATATATATATTCATTTGTGTCAAAAGGATAATTTATGTGAAAAGGATACATATATATATAAGAAAAAAAGGAAAGCGCCATATAAAAAGAGAAGAAAGCGCTTCTCGAGGGTACCCTTTTCAGGGTGGGGTAAAGGAAAACCAAACAGAATCACCCATACAGTGGGGCATGAGGGTAGTTACACCAGAATCACTTCCTATCAGATCCTCTGACATGGGTTTGTCTCACAGCACCTCTGGTGCTTCGAGGCTTCCCTTTGCTTTCCCTTTGAAACCCCAAAGGGTTCCCTCAAAACTTGGTTGCTGTAACGACCCCTCTGCAAAAAGTTAAGCTTGTGTGGTTTAGTGGAAAACTAAACTTCATTTCCCAGAAAGTTAAAGTCTATATAAAGATCCAACCCCATAGCAGTCAAGAAAAACGAGACGTCCCACATACTTTGCCCTATTTTACACACCCGCCAGATTGATACCATATATATATATATTGTATATAATTATTTATACATATACGTGTATATGGGGTTTGATCAAAAGTCCTTGACACAGAGGTGACAAGAAACCACCCAAAGAGATTACTTTCGCCACCAAATGGGAAAAGGCATGATCATTTTGGGCTCATCAGCTCGCCGCAGGAAAAAACACATCGGCACCGGCTCAGCGAGTTGCGCGCAGCAGGTCTTGTAGGCTCTGCAGCTTCCAGGGGTGCCTGGCAGTTGTCACATGCCAATCGCAAGGGTAGGTGCGCACGTCTTTGGGTATATCTCCTTTTAGGGGTCCTCCCCAAAATGGCTTCGGTTGTTTTGTTGGGTGTCTGGGTTTCCCAAAGAAGAGCCACAAACCTAGGGGTAGGCTCAGAAAAAACTCACACCCATTTGGCCGTGGCTCCAAAAACCGGTACCAAAATGGAAACCTGTTGAGTGGAAACATGGACCAAAACCTGCGTACTCCCTCCTGTTTAATTTTGAGCCACACCCATTTGTTCACTCCCATGTTTTTCTGCTGGCTGACGCCTGCTTCGCTGGACACATCTACAACCAGACCCGCTTCTTCGAATTGAACCAATGGGGGGGGACTGATACGTAGGTCTCAGCATCATGGCAATCATGGTCCACAACACAAAGGTACCCTATGTCCGATTGCGTTTTTTTTGCTGCATCCCCAGCACAATGGAATATCAAACAAATCCTGCTTGGAGGAAATCAATCAAACGTGCCTTCATGTGGCTTCCCGCTCATCCAAGTTCAATTGCAAGTTCCTGTGTCCAAACCAAGGACCCCTCTGCAAGCGGCTTCAATAAAATACATGAGGTTGTTGCCCCATGCTTTTCAACCACGGCGCTTGACTCGCACGAAAACTGATCCCTGAAAATGAGGAAGTCACAAATGGGTGTCAGGGGGACCCCCAAAATGGGTTGCCTTTTGGACTCCCAAAACTTATTAAAAGAGGGTGACTCCCTGCCGAGAATGATGAACAATCTCGACATGGCGCTTCTTCTCATCTTTTGGCGAAACTATTGGCATGTTTCTCCCATGACCCACATTTGTCCCCCATTATGAACATGGCTTACCTTGCTTTTCAAGCTCCCCGCAATCGCATTCTACTTCGTTTGGCCTGGGCAGTTGTGGGCCAGCCGACAACGGCTCCGCAAAACCCAACAAAAACAAAAACCACTCGCCTTTGAATCGCGTGCGCCAGACTCCGCAAAACTTGGCAGGGATGTCCAAATATTCCCAGTTTTCTAAGGGTACCCTTTTCATCCTTTCAGGGATCCTTCTTTTTCTAAACCCACAAGAGACCCAAGGAGAACGGATCCGGTGTTGAAAAGAACGAGAGTTGAAAAGAATGGGGAATCAACCCCTAGAAGTATGTTTGGAGGGGCAGGAGGGTACCCTTAATTTTTGGGATAGTTGAAAAGAATGGAAAAGGAATCACACCCTGGAGGTTTGGGGCTTTGGCTTTGTCTCTTGGGGCAAGTGCCCTTTGGAGCGGTTGGAATCAGACTTCGTGCCAGGAGACCAAAACAAACAAGCTAAGTCGTACCATGTACCAAGAGGTTGGTCGTAGCTGTTACCCCTTTTTGTGGTAAAGGTTGAAACCGTCCGGGAAACGAAGAGGAAAACACCATTTTGGGGGATCCCCCAAAACAAAGGCACATCCAGGGAGACATACCTTGCTGCCGCCTGCCTCTAGATGCAAAGGTTCGAGGATTCTCAAAAAAATTGGCAAACATCAGTCATCCGGTAGACCCCCAGTCACCCTGAGAAAGCATGGGCACTTTAGCGTGTGTTTTTGAGAAAGCCCCAAACTAAGTTTTTCCCTTGGGTTTCCCTCGAAACCAAGCCCTCAAAACATGACAAACGCACTTGTTAAGGGACACCCCTCCAAACAAAATGAAAAAACAAGAAGACACCACTGGGCCTCTCTGGTCTGGGGCTACACTTTTGAGGGGCCCTTCAACAAACTGGGGACACCTGGGTGTGGGTCAAACATGGGTACCCAAAGTAGAATCTCGGTGAATGCAACAACAACAACTTTCTCCTGCGGTCCATTTCCTGGTTTTATTTTGACCCATACCCACCTGACGAAAGGTGATCTTTTCCAACGCAGAAACCCTCCAAACAAATGAGAAAAACCAACAGCACCACTGCACCTCTCTGGTCTGGGGCTACCCTTTCGAGGGGCCCTCCGGACGAAAGGTCCGATCCTTTCCACGCCTCACAGTCCGCATGTCTGCATTCAGAAGACCATAGCTCTCATCCCTGAGGCGCTCAGCCGTGTTGTCTTCGGATCACTTCGGATCGCCTTTGCGGGAGGTGGCCCCCCCTTTTGAAAAAAAAAGAAGCAAGTGGCCCTGGTAAATGGAGCAATACCCATCTAAATCAGTGGAAGTCATCGATTTTTAACCAGGCTCACCTAAAAAGGACATGCTTGTGGGTATGCGTCCAATAATAGGACTCTCAAAACGGTGGTGTTCCGTGTGGTTCCTGGTCAACCTACCTCAAAAAGGGATAAACCCAAACATACACACACCAACAGAAACAGAAACAGAAACAGAAACACACACACACAGACACACAAACTATCACTATCGGCAGAGCTCCAATGATTTCTCATTCCCAACGAACAGCATCCAGCTGCGGGTAGTTCAAGTGAGCAATGCCCGAAACTTATTCACCTTTGGTTCTAGCATGCTCGTACGGGTTTACAGTGCCCTTCCAAAATCCCCATGAAACCAAGTCGCAGACCCATCTACTTGAATGGCAAAGAGGGGATGTTGGGCACTGCTCAAGTGTGCCATCCCTTATTGGCCGCGGCTAAGGTTGAGCTGCTATCTCATTGCTTGCATGCGATCATGCAGTGCCCCTTCTCACCGTGTCAAACGGGAACTTGAAAGCTTCGCTTCTTCAAAGGAGCGGAGCCAGGAAAAGGTAAACCCCAACAACTGACTTGTTCTACGTCCAAAAATCCAAGTACTGTCCAAAAAGCAGTGGTTGGGACCCGGGTTCTGTTTGTCACACTTTGGGGTTTCCCAGAGTTCACGAGCTAGGCTAGATGGAAACCCGAATCGAGCCTTTTGTTTGCCTCTCAATGGTCTTCCCCCAAAAAGCAAAAAGTAATTGCAATGTCCATGAGCTCAGGGACGGCCACTTTCCTTAGGTGTAAAAAGACCTGTTGGGTGGCTCGTCTTTTTGTTGAGGGTACCGTACCCAACTAAATGGGCTTGCTTTCAAGGGAAACCACCACGGAGACCACCCAAGCGTTTGCTGGAAAAGGGGTGCACCATGGTTTAGCCCCAAAAATGGCTGTGGGTCAAAACCAATGGAATCCCATTTTGGGGCAGGTGCACCACCCATTTTAATGGGGATTGGGATGTTCACTGGGGGTACTTTTTGGATTTTGACCCATGGCTCAAACGGGCTTCTGTCTCAAGGGCAAAACCGCCGGGGAAAACCCGTTGACGTCGTCTCACGGGCCACTCTTCTGCTTTCCAAGGAGCTCGCCTGGCCTCTTCTCGCCTGAGAAGAAAGAAAAAAAAACAGAGCGATGGGGCGGTTTTTGCGACAGTCCATTTTGAAACAAATCCTGGACAATCTTGCCCAACTGGGCCTGTCTGTTTTTGAGGCTCGGTATCCCTTGTTTGGTGCAGGGAAATCAACAGGAAAGCCGATGCCGTTTGTTTTCGTTATTTGTTTGGGGGGTCCAATCACAAAAAATAAACGAGCCACCCATGTTTTGTGGTTTGCAGGGACCCCACGCTTTGAAAGTAAGCCCTCAAAATGCTCACGGACTCACGTAATCAGTTGCCTTCAAGCCTTGGCAGGGGACGCAACTCACTGCCAGGTGGCCATTCAAGGGCCAATAGGCCCAGCCCACCACAGGCCGTTCCTCCAAGTAGCGCCTCGATGCAATGTGGATGGCTTTTGTTGGCGCCTTCAAGTTGGGCCTCTGCTTGTTGTTGATTTCGCCAGCATGCCGACATGTTCCGATGCGAAAATTCAAGGCTTCGCCCAGCAATTGGCTGCTTGGTACCTGTGGTACACCGAATAGGCAGAGTTGTGAATATGGGTGTGGCTCAAAATCAAACAGGAGGGTTTTTTGTGAGCCGCAGCCATTTGTGAAGGGAGGAAGTGCCGTTCTTGTCATCAACAACCTTGACTAACTCGAGCAGTGCCAGGTTGGCCACGGGCATCCGGCGTCCCTGTCAGTAACGGCTCATGCGGACATGGATGTGTCTTTCATTGGGGGGGGGGGAGGGAAATGGCTTTTGGCTGGCTTTGAACCAAAAGGATTCAAATGATTTTGCGGGTCTCCTATTTTGAAACAAACGTGAGGTAAGGTGACAAGTGTTGAGAGTCGAATGCGTGGAAAAAGAGATGGGTTCTCAAAGTAAACCATGCAAAACACTCCGCAATCCCAACCACTCATTGAACACTTAGCGCACCCAACTGTCAACAAGGAATCCAACCCGCTGAAAAAAAAGAGAAATACCCGAAACACACCTCCAAACCTCTCAAAAAACGATTGCCAAAGCCTGCTCAAAACCACGTCGATTGGCTGTGTGGAAAAGCCACGAAGGTCTTACTTCCTGAGCTTGGATTGCCAGGAAAAGTGCAAACTGTTTATCCACTCAAATGGCCATGGGTCAAAACCCAAATCGTACCCCTAGTGAATATCCCAATCCAACCACTAAAAAATAGGTTCTAAAATGGGTGGTGCACCGAAAACCCCAAAAATGGGATCCAGGTCAAAACCAGCCACAGCCAAATGGTAACCCAGCCCGAAAAGTTGAACGTTCAGCCTTGCAATTTTTTGACCCCCACAGCCTCCTTCATGAGCCCGAGCGTGGCTTTGGCGAACCACTTGAGCCATTGAGCCCAAATGACTTGTCTGGCCTTCCCATGGGGTCCTTGGGGCAACACCCGGACATCGGTCGCTTTCCTTTTTGCTTCCCTTCAAAACCCTCCAAAGGGCCATAAGGTGGAACCCAAAAAAAGGGGGGGTGCCCGAAATGGAGCTTCTAGAAATGATATACAGCTTTTTGCATGTCATGTTATTCTGCAGTGAAACATAAATATCTCCAAAGTGAACATAAGGTCCGCCCAAAGATAATATTGTACCGTGGCTTCTTTTGGCAATGGAATTCAAAGGAAACCCTTAAAAAAGAAGGAAAACAACCAGTCGCTTGGTGTCTTGGCATGCCCCGCAAACTCATAAGAATCATTTACGCCCTGGACGGGCCCAAACATGTCCAGACTCTTTCTTTGCCACTTAAACGGTCCAAACCCAAAGGGCGGTGATCTTCTTTTTTTTGGGGGGGGGAGCCTTTTTGGGGTGGGTTGTTGGGGACTGGGAAAAGCTGGCTTCACTTTGTAGCATATTTCAAGACACACTCAAAAAGCAATTAGTTCAAGTCCAGGAAGTTTCGCGACCGAGGCGCAGCATGCTACGCCACCACGAGGAGTCGGTGGCCTGGGCAAGCCAAACACAGAGTAGTTGAAGCCACTTTCTGACTGCGTCATGCTCTTGAAGCTCTCAGCTTTCGAAAAACCAGTCGTCCCCGTTTGACATCTAGGGGTCTGACACCCCGAAGTGCTTTAGATGGCAAGTTTTCCAGGACCCGAATAGGGTTTATCATCTCACTTGCTGAGTGGATGGGCCAAAAGAAGTAACCAAACTTTGTGTTTACCACCAAAATGGTCCAAACCCAAAACGTGACTAAAGTCCATAAACTCAGGGAGTGCGCCATTTAGGGGATTCCTCTGAAGTGGAATCCCCTCAAATCATTGCTTGGACTTCTCCGGCAAAGGCTTGAAAAGTATCTTACCCACAAGAACCAAAGGTGCAAGACATCGTTGTGCTATCTCTTTGGCAGAAACTCACCTGGACAGTCCAATGGCAGCCGAAAGCCGCATGGTCGTTGGGACTTCTGGCAGGGCTGTTCCAATGTCCCTTCCTGGACCTTGCGCGGGAAAAAACACCTTCCGCAAACCTTGCGCGGCTGCAGTGCGGTGCTACCTTTTTTGTTGATATGTCAACATCTATACATGTTGGCTTGAGCGGAAAAACAAACGCCACTCAAATGGCTACAGTTCGATTGCAGTAACTACTGTGATGGACAAATTCCTGCACCACTTTGCAACCATGGTCGAAACCTTTTGTTGTTAGTATTTACAGGGGGGATCGAGTCATTCCGTGGGTTTCTTCTATGCGAACTGGATTTGGCCATCCACATCCGTTTCTCACTGGGCTGTCCGTTGATCCCCTGCCAAAAGCTTCAGGAAACGGATGGGAACCACCAAGTAACATTCCCAGGGCAGCTCAGCTGCCCTCGAATCGGTTTGGATTGGCGGCTTAACCACTACATGATTAGACTTAGGCCCAGAAAATGTATATTTTATTGTTCGCTTCACTTTGAGTCACTGGTAAAATGTAAAATGTATCCTAAGTCTACCCCTGACTAAACCAACTAAAAAGCTAAGCCAACGAACCATTTGGTGGTTGAGCCAGCCGAGGCACGGTACCGAATTCCCCGAGCCATACCGCCGCCACGTCGGCTCGGTGCTCCTCCGACCTTGCGGAGACTTGCAAACACGTGAGTGGACACAATTCAGCCGGACTTAGATCTGTTTTTTTTTTTTTTTTTTTTTTTTTTTTTTTTTTTTTTTTTTTTTTTTTTTTTCGGAGGGTGTGGGGAAAATGAGGGTGGGCTGGAGTGGGGGGTCGTCAGCCGGCCAGCCATGAAGTGTTCTTGCTTCTGTTCACGTTGAGGCAAAGGTTTAGACCATGAGTGTTCTGCACGCCCAAAGGCCCAACTCTCCCAAAGGCCCAACTCTCATCTCGCGCTTGAGACCTTTATACAGCAATTGCCAAAAGACTTGCAGAGAAACATGGCCGTGGGTCAACACCGATGGGATCCCATTTTGGTTGGTAGGTGAATTCACCACCCTTTTTAGAACCTATTCTAGCGCTTGGATTGGGATGGTCACTGGGGGTACGATTTGGGTTTTGACCCATGGCCACATCGGTGTCTTGGGTCTCATTGTCTGGGTCTCATTTCGTGGCTCGAGTCGGCCACCTGAGGCGAATAGGGATGGCCATTGAGATTGCCATAACCTCGCCCCTCATGACGGGAAGTAAGAAGAACCCTGCACAGGAGTACCCAAAAAAAGTCGAACCAATTTGGTCCCAATCCAGCAGCAAGTCGCGACGATCAATGGTCGCTGCTGGTGTTCAGTTTAGTTGGAGAGGTTCTCTGGTGGTAAATTCCTCTAATATTCCCACTCCAAAACACGAAACTAGCTTAACGTCCAAGCACTTTGTTCTCCCATCAAAACCTAAACTTTCCTCCGATAAAGAAACTACTGCGAGAAGTCGGGCGTTGCGTCAGCTGTTTGATGGTGAAAGGACAGACTCTTCGTTGTTTAATGGGGGAATGCCTGGTCGTAGTGTGACGCCATCACAGGTGAAACCACCATCTGGCATAAGGATCTTGCGGATTGACTTTGAAGAACCTAGTATCATTGCAAGAGTCTATCTGGGCGGGCCCAAATTTCCTAGCCTAAAAAAAATGTGAACCTGCTTTCTCCGGCCGGAAATAAGCATGGAATAGTTAGTTCCAGGGGTCACTGGATTTCCCCCTCAAAGGTTGCAATTTACAAGTGGTTTCATACTGCCACTTTTGGAGGTTCCAAAAGGGAAATGGATCGGAAACCCTGACTTCACCAACCGAAACCGAGGGATCTATCTGAAATGGGTCACGTCGCAACCCCTCGAGAAACGATGTCGCCATATGATTCGTCAAGGAATAAAATGTCCGCCAATATATATATATATATAATTATATATATATATATATACATGAGGCTGTCAAACCCCCAAACATGGCCTCAGCGTTCTTTTGGTTTGCCAACAAATGGTACCCTCAAACAAAGACGAGCTACCAAAACAAAGACGAGCCCCCCCAATATGTTTATGCAAATCCCTGCCATAGCCTCGAGTCCAAGCAGCTTCAAGAGGAAGCCCCAGCGCGAGTCGAGGTGGCTGCGCCACGCCTATGAGTTTTACGCTGAGGGAGGGGGTCTCTATGTATTCAACATGGAACTGACAGTTGGCCCAGAAAAACTGGGTACACAGAAAGTCCGACCTCACACAAAAAGTCCGACCTCACACAAAAAGTCTGACCTCACACAAAAAAATAAAATGCTCAGATGGACTTGTCCATATTTAGTCCAGCCCCCGAAAGTCGGGAAATAGCTTTGGAGACCCCAGAAGTGACTGGCTAGAACAAGTTGGCAAACCTTTTGGGCCCTGTACACAAAGGATGAAGACATCTAGACCCATCCAAATTTGCCAACGAACTGAGATCCACTGACCTTCACTTAGGCATCCAGCCATTCGAAAGGTGCACGATCTCAGTCCCATAGGCCATTCGATCCAGAAAATCCGACGTCTTGGCCAACAAATTGTTGCACGCAGATTTGGTCTGCCCCTTTACAGGGAGCTAAAGGGACACCACCCATTCAATCCATTTGGGTCTATATACCCGAAGCGGTTCCCAAGTGCCATGGTCAACACTCCAACTCAAATGTGGCTGCCCGGGAACATGCTCAATGGATTTGGTTTGGTTCTGGCGGGGGTATCGTTGTTGTTTGGGACAGGGGGGGGTTCTTGTTGTGAAGGCGTCCATGATCATTGCCAACCGCAAGCAGGATATTTGGACCAGGTGTCCTCAAGTGATAGATGGCACTGACCAGGTAAAAGTCTGTCTGATATCAGAACCTGATCTCAAACACATGCCTGGAACATCGGGACACCCAAAGGCGGGGTGTCATGTTGATACCCGTTGAAAGCTGTTTCCAAGGGAGCTGCGTCCCATTTTTGACACGGAGTTGTCTTGAAATTGGTGACCCCACATGGGGGCGGCTCCCCTTTGGTCAAGGGGCGCTTGAGAGACTTGAGCAGTGGCTTGGCGCCCTGTGACGAGTCCAGTTTTTTAGCATGAGTGTGGCAACCACAAGGATATGGGTCAAAACCAAAGCACCAGGGGACCGTGTTACTCCATGTCACCACTTGCAGGGTTCAATGTTGCGTACCTATGTTTGACCCACAGCCACCAAAAATCTCGGGAGACCAGCGGGCCCAGAGAGACACTCCCCTGCCGGCGGGCTCCCTCCATCGCTTCTGTCCTTCCATTTGCTTCAGCCCGCTGGAGAAAATACACATATTTCCAGTAGTGATAGATTCCCTTTAAAACCAGCAAGGAACAACTGTTCTTAAGCACATGGATGTACCCAGTGAAACCCAGTTACCACTATAGGAAACCAGCTATGGCTACCAGGATTTACATCATGGTTTCCCCTGGTTACCGACTATGGTAACTGGGAGCACTGGGATACATTGAACTCTGCTCCAAAAAACACATATCAATTTCAGCCAATGGATGTGTCTCTTCCCATTTCGGGAAGCCTCGTAGGAGGTGAGGTGAATCAGCACCGCGAGGTTGGCGCTGAACACAAAGATCATGGCCAGCACCAAGGTCGCCTCGGAACGGGAATCGAACACCGAAAAACCATCACCCCCTATGGGGCGACTCAGCCTTGGGAAAATCAACGGGGGAAATAATGGGCTTGCGGCAAAATAGGGGGACCCTCAAAATTGTGTTCCTTTGGCTCCCCTTTAAACCAACCGAAAAAGGGTAGCCTAAGAAGAGATACCCAAATGAAGCTCGCTTAGGACCTGGAAAACACAGGTGATCCACGAAACAGGGTTAACAAAACGGGGAAACCAAAAGGTCGGATGTGGTCGATTCGCTTTGGGCCAGTGAGTTTGGGCCTGAGCTGTGTGGCAACAAGGTTGCGCCAAAAAGTCAAAGATGAAAGATCCAACATAGCAGTCGAGTGAGGTTGCCAATTACAACGGCATGATACCGAAATGGGACCTGTATTACTCAGCAGAAGCAGAGTAAGTGGTCCTGACCCTGCTTGTGGGGCCGTTCTCGTCCCCCCCCTTCTTGTCCACAAGTCAATCCTCCTGCAAATATGACTCTCACACTGGATGGCGGCCTAAATAGGCCTGCCCTTGGTTGCTTGTGACCCCCCTACAAAAAGTTTGACTTTTTGGGGGTTTAGTCTAAAACACCATTATTTCAACCAAAAAGTTAAAGTCTAAAGATCCGTTGCCCAATAGCAGTCAAGTACCTTCCTTTCCCATCCAAAAGCCGGTGCCTGCTTCAATGTGTCTGACACACAAAACCCTCAGCTCTGTCTGGCTTCTTTTGGCCTCAACAAAAAACCATCCCACGAGTCGGGATCCTTACATTATACACCTGAACATTGCCTTGTAAATGGTGGTTTCCAACTTTATTTTGGTGTGGAAAAGGCAACATGTTTCAAATGGGCAAATGGAGATCTTTTAAGGAGCCCTGCCAAGAGAGACAACTTTGTACACGCCTGCAGATGCACTTGGAGCCAACCAAACAATAGGCGCTCTCTGTCAGAAATCACATTTTTGGCACTGCTGGGAAGCAGTTGCACACCGCACCGCACCGTGAGGGCTCCCTTTTAAGGCGCGTTGTTCGGGACGTAGCATATCCACCCTTTTACGCGGGACATACATGGGTTTTCCAGGGTTGTCGAACAGGGCGTCGAACAAAATTTACGGGTACCCGTTCCAGGTTGGTTGAAAGGGAAACCAAGGGAAAACCGCCGCCGTTGAAGATTTCCACTAGTTGGTAACCTTTCGGCATATGCTTACCTCCAAGACGAACCATTGGTTTTCCGTGGTTACATAGTAAGAATTTTGTTGCCCGATTCATCAAAGGGTACCACATACAGAAAAGTGTTGCCCGAAGTGTTCCCTACCCCCAAATTGAAGGGGAACCCAATACTTTCGTTCTTTCTGGGGGGGATCCTTCAGCACAAAGCAATACTAAACCAATGATAAACCCGATACCAATCCTAAACTTGGGGGAGGCTCATCAGACCCCCGAATTGTTCTTATTGGATCCCCGACAAATGATCTTGCGGGGGCCTTACTTATTCAGTCACCCACATTGACGAAACGCCTCAAAAAACACGGGGACATATATACATCCCACATGAGTCACAGTCGAAAACAAGGTATTAACATGGTCTACCTAGAACCATGTAAATAATCCCAAAGGCGGAACATACGCACCCATTTATGGCCCGGAGTATCCCTTACCCTCCAATTACCCGGGTTTTGATCAAGTGCCTCACACGGCCGAGGGGCAAAACCAATGGGATCCCATTTTGGGGTATAGGTGAATTCACCACCCATTTTAGAACCTATTTTCGCGGTTGGATTGGTTGATGTTCACTGCGGGGTACTTTTTTTGGATTTGCGTGTGGGTCAAAAATAGGATAACCCCAAATTTTGGTCCCTAATACATGGATAAACTAAAACCTGGTGGTTTAATCTTGAGCCACACCCATTTTGACCCATGGCCATCTGGCGCGCTCCCATCAAAACTCACCAGACCTGGGCCTTCGGGCGCGACTCCGCGAGGCGAAGAGCCTCCAAGGCGGCTGGTGGCCTGAAGCGCCCACCGAGCAACCGGTAGCAACCGGTAGCAACCGAGCAAGGGGTTGCCAAAACCAGCCCCAGGAAAGATCTATGAAAAAGCCTCCTCCAAGCTTGCCGGTTTCAGCGCCTCAAAAGGTAGACCATTAAAATGGAGGCCCCTTTTTCCCTTTCCCTTCCAGAAAGGAGAGGGTCCCATCGTTTAGGAGGCCATCGGGGCAGAAGTCACTGCGACTGCTCCCTCGGGAAATTTCGGGGGCCAATGGACACTCACCACGAGCATTCCCGAATGGCCCGCAAAAGCTCCTCGCTTTTGAAGGAACCTCCCATGTAGGGCACCCTTCCCCTTTTGGGGGGGCTTCTGTAAGGGATTTTCAACCTTGCACGGGGATTCTGCCTTGGGTACCCACGCTCGGGTTGTGCGAATCCGAGTTTTGAGCAAACAAAAAAGACAAGTCCGAGACTGAAAGGACTCTACAGTGCCCTTCAAACTGGACAAGTGGGCGGAAAAATGCTTGACAGTGCCAAAGGGAATCTCAGAAGATGTGGCACAGAATCAGCCGCCCATTGCGAACGGTAGCTGGCCAAGGCTTGGCGATCAACGGCCGACATTCTTCTCCCGGCCGTAGTGACATAGGGTGTCACAGCCAAACTCAGAGAGATTGCCCTGTTGAGCTCATAAGCCCAATCCTACAATGGCGATCTCAGCACCAGAAACATAAGGCGTCACTGATGAGGATCAAGAAATCGCAATTGCCCTAGTGCTCGGCATGACGAAGCCACTTGCCAAAAGTCCTCTTCACCATTCGCTTTCCACTCCTTCCATCAATAATGAAGGTGATGTTGGCACGAAGGTCGTACAAAATCGCTCTGCAAAAGTTGGCCAGACCAGGTTGTGTTTTCTTCCAGGGTACCCAAATGCAACTGAACAACACTCAATGTTCCGAGCGGGCTGACACATACCCAAGCGGCGGTTCGACCATACCGAAATGAGTACTCACTTGCTCAGTCTCCTCATTGGACCTTTCTTACTTCGAGAGAAACCGCAATTTCTCATCCCAAGTTCATCCTTCGAGAGAAACCGAAATTTCTCATCCAAATTTCCTACTTCGAGAGAAACCGGCACTGGGACCTTTCTTTTCAACTCTTGGTGAAGCCAACGAGGCTCCGCCTCGCGGGGCCTCCACCTCGGGAGGTCCTGTCGGCTTCGTGGCCCAAGTTGGGCGCCTCCAGTGATACCCTTCCGTTTGCTTAAGCCCCCGGGAAAAAAAATACGGAAACATAGGCCCAGTGATAGATTGCCTTTAAAACCGGCAAGAAACAAAAATGGATGTACCCAGTGAAACCCGGGTACCACTATAGGAAACCAGCTATGGCTACCTGGATTTACATCATGGTTTCCCCTGGTTACCGACTATGGTAACTGGGAGCACTGGGATACATTGAACTCTGCTCCAAAACATGTACGGTATTCAACAAGAATCCTTCGAGTTGTCAGCAAGCATGTCCAGCGGAACCCATCTGCTGTACCATACTGTGGATGGACGAAATCTTGCACCACTTTGAAACCATGGGAAACCATTATTTGTTGGTTTTTAAAGGGGAATCGAATAATTCCAGGGATTCTTAGGTGGTGCAGGAATTCGTCCATCCACAGTATGTTTTGGATTTGCAGCACGGTTGCACTGGTTTGAACCTTGTTTGCACTTGTTTGCGCCGGTGTGCGCAAGGTTTGCACTTTTTGCGCGCTGGTTTCCTTGCTGACGCTTTGCAAACTCGCCTCCGTGAGGAAAGAACATGAGACTACCGCACTTGATTTTTCTGCTCGAAACCCAACACCAAATGATCGAGGGCAATTGTGGTGGCGAAACAAAAACGCTACGATGGAGGCTCCCGGGTGTCTTCTCACAAGATACTTACAAAAGACGTGGGCGAGCATACCTTTCATGGCTTCAAAGGGAAACCACAGCAAAACCACCAAACACACCACACACATTTGGCGGAGTACCGCATAGTTTGAGGGTTCGTCTGGATGTTTCCAAAAGAATCGAAGGGTAATTTCTTCTCGAATGGTTACGCGAGGCATAAAAGAAACCACTGTAAACCAGGGCGAAACGAAACCGCTGTAAGTCAGGACGGTATCCCATGCCTAAGGAAGTCTAAGGACGTCTTCACGAAGCTCATGAGCCAATCTGGAAGTTAATATTGAGCCAGGTTTCTCTGTTTCAACCACCAAATTTGGTTCATGCCAACCCCTAGAACCCGACTTGCGCTCATCTCGCCGGTCCTTCTACGTACATCGCTTGCATCTCGCCGTGCACCCCGAGACGGTCCGGAGCCGCTTCTGTGTCCTGAAAACGGCCACATGTTTCTTGCGCAATCGGCAACCATGGAGGAAATTTTCCTGATGTACAACATTGTTTGTTGGCATTGACAGCGGATCATCATTCCAGGGATTCTTAGGTGATGCAGGATTTCGTCCATCCACAGCATGTTTGCTCTTTGAACATCAGAAAGCTCGTCACAACTTGGCGACCAAACAGAGAGGTTTAAAGTGTAGGGCTTCTCTTGCTGAGTGACTGGCAAAACAAAATGAAGCAGGCTGGATGGGACTTGTTTGATTTCGGCCTCACGAAGAATCAAAGGAACCTGTTCAAGAGCCGGACAAGGGGAAGCGGACTTTGAGTAGTTGGGTTGCACACCGATTTATAGGTTAGAAAAGCCCAATCCAAAATAAACGAACTGCGTCGTCCTGATCCGAACACCTGGCAACAGGGAAAACACGCTCATCCAGAGTTTTTAGGTTTAGAGTGAAAAGGTGCAGAGTCGTCAGTTGGTTGGGGCTCAGGCTTGGGATGTTTATGGTTCAGGCTGGATGTCTTAGGGTTCGGTTTCGGGTTGGCTCAGTGGATTTGGGGCTTCTTCCCCAGCTGATTTCGCTATGGATTTGCTCTCCGCCCAGAACCTTCGGCCGGGGGCCCCGGAACCGGCTGCTTTCAGGGAGAAGTTTGGTTCCGGAGATTCGTTTTTGTTCTTCCCCAAGATCCCTTTGGGCTGTTGGGGGCCAAAAAAAACGAAATTCCGCTCGAGCTGGTTTTTGATTTAAGGCAAGACCGGGTTGGTCATAACTACGCTCAATGCCCGAGGCTTTGGCCGCCTTCCGTTTTAAGCTGGGCGTGGAATTGGGCCAGATCAAATGGGTGGCTCGTCTTTTTCTGAGGTGGCGCCTTCTTTGGCGGGTTTTGAAGGGAAACCACCTTCAAACCGTTGCTTTCGGACAAGCCACCCACATGGATCGGCCCACAGTGCGAAAACCGAAAAACGCCGACGCAGAGTCGCAGGCTCCAAGAGTCGAAGTTGGAGAGGCCTTCTCTGCCCCTCCGCAACCTTCGACGTGGGATGTTTCTCAAAGCCTCCGACGTCTCAATTTGTCCCGTCAACCACCATGAGTTTCCTCCATTTGCACATTCCCCGCATGGAAAAAACCGGACCCAAGAAAAAACGTTGGTTTCCTTTTGTTTTCCCTCACAAGAGGGCGTTTCGACCAGTTTGAAAGGGAAGCGAAAGGGGAACCCATCTGCATGTTTTTGTTTTTTTGTTTTATTGTTTATTTTTTTCTGTCATGCCAAAAGCTGAGCTTTATTGTGGTGAGCTCGTTGCAATTACCCCCAAATACAGAAAACGCTCGGCAAACAATAGGCAGAACCCACAACCCTAGGCTTCCTTGCCGCCATTAAAAAAGCATGGCCTTACCCAATTTGGCTGCCAATCCTTATATAGGTAAACAATGGTGGTTCTATGAAACTCAACCTCCCTCAAATCCACCACGGGTTTCATCCACCACAAATGGGTTTAATCCACCAAGAATGTGGTTTAATCCACCCACATGGTGGCCTGCCTGAACCCTCCACCACGGGTTTCCACCAAAAATGGGCTTAATCTACTGAACCCCATCATTTTGGGGGGAAATCAAGTCCCATTGCCTGGAGAAAAAAAAGAAAAGAAAAAAAGAAAAAACAACAAAACAAAACACCATCCACACGATCGTCGCGGATGCCGCTCCTTAGGGGTCGGCAAGGGCGACGAAGGCGCAGAGGAGGGGACCTCTTGCCTGGCTCGAGCAAACCGGCGCAGGCCCGACCAATCGGTGGTCCTTTTCGAGGACAATAAAAAACCTGGGAGATGATTATTTTTTAACCACCAGGTACACCAGGAATCGCCAGCTGGATTTGTGTTTCTTCTTTTTGCGACCAAAACAACCAAGGACACCTATGGTTGTGGATGGATTCCTGGATACTGAAGGAATGCTGAAAAGAGTACAGTACGAAAATATTGCTAAACAAGAAACAACATGAGGAATAGGTTAAATCTATAAAAAGCGCATATTTTGGGACGACCATTGGGGTTAACTACTTGACATATCATATTTCTCACAAAAAAAAAGAAAAGCTAGCCATGGTCATTTGGGGGGCAATATTGATCAAGATCATGTGAAATTGAGCCCATTGACCCTCCCGCAAGGAACTATTGAACTGTCAGCGCACTGACGGATGAATTGAGTTGCCACGTCAACACGGCTTCCTAGCTTGGCTGGAATTAGGACCCCAGCAAACAAATATATGTTTTGCCCGGTAGTGGAAAACAAAGGGAACCCCAAACAAGCAAAAAAAAAGAGGGAGAACTAATTCTGGGGAAGCTAGGAGGGTCCTCTTTAAAACCTACAGCAAACGCGTGCCACTTGCGGAAACGTGACTTGAACGGCCTGGGCCTTCCAAGTCTCAACTTAAGGGAGGCACGAAAAGACACCTAGTTGGTCAACAAGTGTGAAACCTGAAAGTTTAAAATCCAGGAACTCAGGGAGTGAAAAAAACAAAATATGTAAATTCATAACCCCCAAACCTGACATAGACAATTATGGATTTCCGAGTCATTTGTGTTGGCTCTGAACCCGTATCTGGATTGCCCCAAACTTAGGCAGGAAGCGAACTTTGTGAAAAGAACCATGATGCAAAACCAGAAAGACGAACCGTTCTGAGGGCGTGTCTTGCTTTTAGGGTACCCCTTTCAAGACATCAACAACATGCTGGTTTTCCTTTCTGTGTCCCCCTAAAACCATCCAAAAGCAGGTTCCCTCAACCAAAACAGACGAACGCGCCGTCCATAAGACGCTGCGCCCGACCGGATCCGACTCGACTCGACTCAATTGGTTGTGGGTCAAAAATGGGAACCCGACTTGGAACCCCTGAACTTGGTTGATGTTGAAAGGGGAGCAAAATAATAATAATAATAATAATAATAATAATAATAATAATAATAATAGCAGTTAAGTGGGGATTTACACAATAAGCAAACATGTAAAATGTTTCCCAACAACAACCATGTTAATGGAAAGCAAAGACTAAAACCTGCGGTCCATAGTGGTGGCTTCATTTGGACCTACACCCAAATGGGTGTGGCTCAAAATTAAACAGGAGGGGTTGCGTACGTTTTGGTCCATGTTATCATTTACCAGGGTTCCAGTTTGGTACCGGTTTTTTGAGCCACAGCCAACTCCGCTCCGATCTGCGCGCACCCGCCTGGCTCTGAGCTGAAGCAGAAGCAGCCAGGGCAGGCGGACGGTGAAGAAGGCTCCGGGGAGCCACAGCAGGAAGAGAGCCCCTGAGACCACCACCTCCGAAGGGACCTCAGAGAATTCGGACAAATGCGGTTGACTCTCACTTACCAGGGAAAATTGGCCAAAGTAACCAAACTTGTTTGAAGATTTACCACTAACCTGGCCTTCCCAAAAAATGACAACTAAAGTCCAGGAACTCAGGGAGGGAGGATTTCATATTGTGTACTTACTAAGAATCCTGCCTTAAGGAGGGAATTAGGACATAAATCATCATATGCGTACACATTGTACCTTCACATTCCGATGAGTTCAGGGAAGTTCGCAGAAGCCCAAGGATGGACCAATTAGATCATCTCGATTCCAGATGTAGACCCATGACCTCATTTGAGGAGACCCAAGAAAAGCCCGAGTCCAAACTCCCGAGTCCAAAGTCCCGAGTGAGTCGTAATCAAAACCGATGGGACGAAAAATGGTCTAACAGTGGTCTACCCACCTGTTTCCTGTTTGGCGCACTTTGAGCGTACCAGCGCGCGCCATGTACTCATTGAGGCCTGGGGGCGACAGACAGCACCTGCAAGCAAGCCAGCTGCAAGCAAAGTAACCACACCCAAAACATGGCTGCGATTCTCCTAACCTTCATCTAGGGTTTTGAGCACGTGGCTCAAGTACCAAGTACTGGCAGAGCGCAGTTGGAGGTTCCGTTGGGAGCCAACGACACCCGGTCAAGGTTCCACCCAACCAGCACCCCCGGCTCCCAACCGCTAATTACCACCGCTTGTTTGGTTTGAAGGGGGGGTTGTGTGGGCTGTGGGGGGTTTTGGACATGGGATTTTGGACTTGGCTAACATCTTATGCTGCAGACATAGCTAGAGATGGTCCTGGTAGATGATGGAACCAACTAAACCAGGGCCCTCGATTTTTCAACCGAACCAACCAAAAAGGACACATATGGCTTCGAAATGCTGAAGCAAGAGCCATGGCATGCCATGGCAACCGAAAGCAGACTGGATCAATTGGCAGATCGACTCCGGTGGTGGACGTAGATCTCGCCATGGGCCCCGAACTAGAAATTAGGTTTTCTGATGCCCTGAAAGTGTTCAACTTTTGGTGGGCGAAATGAAAACCCAACCACCAAACCCATCTAAACCAACCTAGCTGGGAATCGCCAGTAGAACCCGGCCGAATTACAGTTCAAACAAGGAATCTTGAAGAACCTTCATGTTTTTTTTCAGGGGGCGACTGAATTTACTTGGTTTTGTGAACCCTCAATGAGGTCGACTGTGAAATGTGGCTCCTTGTGAAAAAATATCTCTGTGCCGCCCGGCCCCCCTAGGAAAGGCCCTTCCAGCACCCAACGAGAACTCGCCTTGTGCTCCATGTCCAAAATCCCAACTAGTGTCTTGAAAAAGCGCCCGGGTGCTGAAAAAACAACCTTAGCAGTTCTGAGAAACAGTTCTGAGAAACTGTCTGGGGCATAGGTGACCTTTTGCAGAAATAGATGGCCATGATGAATGGGTTGCAAACCAATCTGAACCACTGAAACCCATCTATTTCTAGCCAACATAACATTGGCTCTAATACATGGGAAACAAACCCCATCTCAACCAGTGGAACCAATTTCACTCCAATTTCTGTTCACTAGCCGATGACACCTCTCTAGTCTATTTTAGTCGAACCCTCCCCAAAAAAAGGGTAAAAGAGAGGTGACTACAGTCCAGGAACTCGGGAGGGAGGGCCTTGGGCCTTGGGGGGGGGCCTTTTTTCTTCTTTCCTCACGGACTGGGCCCGCGGCCTGACCGCAGGGCCCCACCAGTTCGGGCAGTGCCAACTCTGCGCACAGGAAGGAGCTCACGCAAACCATCGCCAGCACTGCCTTCGGAGAGGAGAGCAAAAAAAGGTGATCTCTAGGATTTGGACGCCTGAAAATGGCGCGACGGTTTCCCTTTGGTTTCTCTTGAAAACCTACCAAAAGAGAAATAACCTCAGAAAAGACAGACCCACATTTGTTGCTTCCGGGGTTGCCGTTTCCAGTAAAATGAGCAGCCTCCCTTGAAAAGGGCTTCTACACTAACTACCAGGAAGGCTGCTTGTTCATTTAACAAAGTCGTGAAAAGGCTAATCAAATGTTGATTTGGTTGTGGGAATGAACATGGGTGAATAGGATATGTTGGCCCCGTAAATATTGGGTATTCGTCTCTAGAGCGTCCATCGATATCTTGTGAACATGTCCGTTACAAGGTCAAAGTACTCGCAAAATACCAAAAAGGGACCCCTGAAACCGGGACAAAAAACGGCTGGGAAAGCACATCCATGTTTTTTTTTCTTAGGGCCCTTATGATTTGGCCTACCTTCCATTCGCATGGCGCGGCTAATTTGACGCCCATTGCGGCGAAGAAAGGGCTTCGGGGCTAAAGAAGGAAGCACCCAAAGACATGCCTGCATCCGAAAAGGGATGACTTAGGCTCGAAAACCTCTCCGATCGAGTGGATGGCCAAGAGTTTGAACCCCTGGCTTTCCTAGAGGGTAAATGGGAACCCTTCCCCCTTTGCACCAAACCACCGGGCTCCAAACCACCACTTCGAGGGAAGCTAAAAAAGTGTTTTCCCGAAACTCCGGAAGTGAGCCCAGGGTGTCATGCCGATTTGGGGAGTCAATCAATGTCCCAATGTCCAATCAGCTCCCAAGCTCCGAGTCTCACTTCCCGCGTCAGTCTTAATGCACAAATGAACTGCTTCCAGCATGAACCCTTCCCAGTAAGTCTCGGGAGAACCAGTCTTGCTACTCCACGAAAGCTCAACATGGACTTCAAAAGTCGAACTTCAACCTGTACCAAGCAACACGAGCGGCTGTCCATTGTCGTAACCTTGATGCTCCAGCCTGTCGTCCCAACCCTGGACCCGTGGACCACAAACTCAGGCCCCGCCTGCTTCGCCCAGCTCTTGCCGAAACGGAGCCGCCCAAACTGGCCGAAACGGATGTCTGGTTTCGGCCGAGTTATAAAAAGCAGCCTCCAAGGTCCCTATTACCAATTCTTGACGAACCCCTTTCCCCACGCACCGCAGTTCAAAGAAACCATGCGCTTAAGGGTGGAAGTTGGAGCCCCCAAATGCCTTCGATTCTCTTGATGGGTTCCCTGTACACCGGGTAGTACGCCAATCTGTAAAGCCATTAAGTAAAACACGAAACATGAAAAACACAAATCAAATGTGATATGATGGATCAAAACATTAAACAACGCAAGTCCATTTAAGCACAAAGGGCAACAACCGACTGACCCCCTATACATGAATGAACGGGAGCCCAGGATCAATAAGTTAAGCATCCCAACTTGAGTTTGAAGACCAAAAAAGGCAAGACGTTAAAAAAAGCAGTCAGACAATGATAAAAGCCCTTGAAATGGGCGTCTTGGGCAAATGACGGACATCCGAAAACATGTATGAGTTCAAAGGGGACAAACCCTATCTTGAGGATTCAAAGAGCCTCATTCCTGTATGGGCCCACTAGGGTGGGGGGGGTGGGGGTGGGGTTGTGGGGAAGCTAAGTCATGATCATTAAAGAGGAGTGTTAGGATGATCATCGAAGAGGAGTCACTTGACTGGTTCGCCGTGGACAAGCCATGCGCTTGACAAAGACAGTAGGCTCGATTGGAGACTCAGTTGCGAGTCATGGTTCATGAACTCTCCTGCAAGGCGTACTGTTAGTTAGTTCTGATTGTTCACTGCCTCATTAAGTGCGCGATTGACTTTGGCGACAAGTAGCTGCGTTTTGGACAGGATCAGTCAGATTCTGCTAGTGGAATGCAAATGGGTATGCAACAAAAAGAGCAATTCCAACCACATGACGGCGTCATGTTGGCTTCCCTTTAAACCAGTCGTGCAATGAACAGTCGCGTTGCTGTATTTACGTAAGCCTCTTGAATAATGAAGAACGCAAATGTTCGCCCCCAGTCACCATTGCCACGTGTTCTGGCTTGTGGTTTCAGCCAGGTTGTGATATAATGCCAAGCCTGCATGTTCGGAAGCCACAGGTGGGCGATTCTACCGCATGGTTTATACTATACCTGGTTAAACTAGAGCTTAAACTACGATTGTGTAGTGTTGGTTCCCTTCAAAAGCACGGTCTTCAGTGGATTCAGTTGCTGACACGCACACAACAATTGTGCTTGTTGGTGTCGTGTGCGGTCTGTCCTGCTTGGCGCGCGCTGAGGAAAAAGTGAGAATTTGTTCAAACCAAGCAAAAAGGCGACTTTCGGTGACCGCCTTCTTCTTTTGCGAGGTCAAACGAGTTGAAGAAGGTGGCACACACTTTAAATCAGAATCGCAAGTGCTGCTAACAACAACTCACCAACTCCCTGAGAACTGCATACAGCTCGGTTCACTTAGACTCCTTGAAGGGACCTTTGGCTGTGTTTCTTCTTCTCAGGTCGGTTCATTCGGAATACCAAAAAGACCATCACGACTCTGGTGCCGTGCTGAGCACCGGTTGTGAGGGACCCCTGCGCAAACCAGTCTCACTTCCGATCGAGCGGATTTGCCAAAGTCCAAGCTTGGTGTTTGCCACTCAAATCGTCGCCCCCTCCCCCAAACAACCCCAAAAAAAGAAAAAAAGCCCTGGGGAGGTGAGCACTAGACCAACAGGTGCAGGATTTCGTGCATCTGTGTTTTGACCCATACGCCTGATCGCCCATCTGGCCTTGGGCGCACAGGCTAGTGCCATGGCGATTGAAAGGAGCAGCAAAGCGAGCTCCACGATGTTGGCGACCCTCACCGACTCTTGCCTCAAAGAACAGGGATCCTTACATTATACACCTGAACATTGCCTTGTAAATGGTGGTTTCCCTTTATTTTGGTTGAAAAAGCCATGTTTCAAATGGGCAAAATGTATCTTTTAAGGAGCCCTGAAGAACTTAGTCGATCCAGTTGGGTGAAACGAAAAGCCACGGTTCCATTCTTTTTGGTTTTCTGACGCATGGGTAGCTGAATGGGCTCCTTCTGTTGGAAAACTTTGCTTGAATGGGAAAACGCTTTTGTGGCCCTTCCCCACCCAACTGTCGTTTGGTTTGTAAATAAACGCTCATCGATGGAGGGCTGTTCGGGGGGATTGTGGCAAGGGCAGTCCGTCTTCAGCACTTCAAAGGGGTTCTGCTGCGAATCAACTTTGGGACAACTCATCAGTTCAGCTTCGCCTGCTATCAACAATCTTTGTGTCGGAGCTTTGGGGTGGACAGGTTTCCGCACTGACATTGTCCCACTGTTGTCGTAGATGTTCAACCACCGAGGTTGGTTTATAGACATGGCTTTGGCCGGTACAGCAACGCTCTTGTTACTTTACAACCATGCTGCTTCGAGCACCCTTTGTGCCTTGGATTTAAAGAGAACCCCGCACCACCACCACCACCACCACCACCACCACCACCACCTCCTCCCCCCCAAAAAAAGACATCACACGCAACACACACACACACACACACGCACTCGGCAAGTGGGTTTGTGACTTGCCGTGTTGTTCGGGCGCGGGGCAGCGTCTGCGCTGGGCTCAGGTACCAGTCATACTCGTGAGCTGTGTAGATCAAGCGCCCTTGTAGCGCTGGCTCCATGTGGAGGGGATATCTCGGAACGTCGCAGAGGTACATGCTGTACCTTGGAAAACACACTTCCAATCGAGTGTATTGGCCAAAAGAAGTGACTAGACTTTCTTTTTGCCACTAAACTCAGGAAGTCAGACTACTATCAACCATGCAAATTGCAAGATGAATCTTGGCTGTCCGCAGATTAGCGGCACATAGTCCCAGCACAACTCATGAGGGAAGACCTCAAGGCAGCTACAAAGGTGATGCTCAGCGTACCCAACATGCGTCTGTCAAGAAGACCTTGACTCTAAAGTGCTTGCGCGAGACTGGCTGGCTACAAAACGTGCCAAATTTCATAAGAGAGGTAAATCCTGTTATATGTCACGTCCGAATGAATCCCTGGTAGCTGCACAAGAACGAATTCCTCTGATATGGGTGCTACACAGTGGGTGTCCGTCATTTGGTGGAAATCAACATGATACTTCGAAATGTGTCAAACAAATAGGACCCAAAAATGGGCGGTGATCCTTCAAGTATCCCTTTAAACCCAGAATGACAAGTCCACCGCACATGCACACAGACACACAAACACACACCCACCCACCCACCCACCCACCCACCCACCCACCCACCCACCCACCCACCCACCCACCCACCCACCCACCCACCCACACACACACACACACACACCCACACCCACACACACACACAAACACGCACCTTCCATGGTCCATGCGTGCCTCTCTCGTTGTGCGTACTTGACAGCCCTTGGAAGGTCCTCAGACATCAAACCGGGGCGCTCCAGTGCCGAGACTATCACCAGCATATCCGAGTTTGCCGCTAGCACCTGTGTGTAGATGGCCCAGTTCAAGTGACCCAAATAGAAGACAAAAATGATCCAGCAAAAATGATCCAGCGCCAATGAGTTTATAAAAGCAGCTGTTCATGGGGGGAGGGAGTGGGGGAGGGAGCCCAAAAAAGCCTCAAATAAGGCCTTGCCATGACCTGTTCAACCGGTAGCAACCTCTTCTCAAATGGAAGAAATTGGGTTTTGGGCAGTGCTGAAGCGGACCCCTTTTTGCGCTTGACCGATATCTGCGGGACCCACCAAGCAGTCATTTTCAATCAAGCCATGCAAAATAGGCGCCTCTCATTTGCAATGCATCCTCGAGCATGCCTAGATTTGAAACCGAAAAAGTTAAGGGTAAGGGCAGAAGCTCCAACCACATATCAGCCACGTGTTTTACCATGGTGCCTGGTTGACTATTCGCAAAGGATACGCAACAGGAATCTGCATCATGAGGTCGGTTTTGACCAACCAAACTGCAGCTTGTCAAAAAGACTGCGGTTCAGCCCTTGCAGTTTCTGCTCGCGAGAAATCTGCTCGTTTCAAGGAGCTTCGTGCAACAAAGATGTACGCAGGCTGCCCACATGAGTTCTGATGCACCCAATTCATCAACGTAGCCTCCTTGTTGACACTTTCAATATGACTCCTTCACTTAGCGCGTGAAATCAACAGCTGGACATGTCCGTACTATGGCAGCAAAGCACATTGTTTCTTTCCAGCCACCAAGAAAATGAACCGAACCAAAAAATGAACACCTGCTCACAACAGCTGAACACTTCCCTTAAAACCCCTGCAAATGGCTACTCAATTTAGGAAACACCCATGTGCACCATTCTCGCTCACCCTAAGAAACCGATGCATTCTCGGAGCCCAAAAGGAATTCGATGCTACGAGCGACCTTCGTTCTCGGCTCCCACGGTCCGGCCCAAAAAATCCGCCCAAGCGGAGTCACCTCTCAGCTTCCCTTACTGGTTTGGATGGCGACGAAAGCCAGCGCTACTCCGCAACCCACAACTTCAACCCACCGTTTGGGTTTGGGGGGGGGTTTTCCCCCCCCCAAATTGAGGGTTTTCTTTGGAGCTTTCCTTTGAAGCCACGAAACACAAGGGGCTCCGAGCCACATGCGACCCCTCTTTTCTGTGTTGCCTGAAGCTCCGCCGGTCTAAAGTGCTTTATGACCCTGGTTCAGACTAAATAGAATTTGAGTCTAACCCGACCCTGGTTCGGAGTAAATCAAATCAGAGGCCAACCCGACCCTGGTTCGGAGTAAATACAAAATCAGGGGCAGAGGCCAACCCAGTACCCAGAGGCCAACCCAGTGGAAGGACCAACTTCTCCCCGCCTCGAGGCTGCCTTTCTTGGCGGCCACCGCCCAGTTCTCCTTCTCATCTTCTGCCGCGGATGGTGGGGCCCAGATGGGCACCCCCTCCGCGCCGCTGCGGATCTCGTTGCGGATGTCGAAGCCCACGACCCTGCAAAGTGGTTTCCTTTTAAGGGAATACTAGGTTGCCCTGGAGAGCGTCAACTTGCCAAGGCAGGGAATGAGAAATGGAGAGACCTTTGAAGAGTGTCAACTTGCCAAGGCAGCGAATGAGAGTTCTGGAATGACCCCTATGAACAATCCAACTGGTGGTTTCCTTTCCAAGAACCCCAAAATCGCTTCATATCGAACACCTGGAAGCTCATTGATCATTTCTTTGAACAAGCAACTGTCGTCCAGTGCTGGCTCTTCTTGGTGGAATGGCTCGAGTATCCATCACAACGAAAAACACACGAATGCACATGTCACAGCTGGCACGGGTTCACAACTTAGGCCAATTCACTCATATATTCACAGGAGCTAGAAAAACGCTATCTCCAGCACCTTCCAAGGTGAACCTGAAGTGCCACTGCGTGCCATTGGACTAGCGTGTGAAGTTCTGGAAAGCTTGAACACTTGCCCCTGCTGATTTTGGACCAAGCCTACCCCAACCCCAGAGCATAGCGTTGAGTCAGGTTCACATTTCGTGGACCTGAACATGTAGAACAAAACAAAACAACCACACTTCAACACAGTTCCCCAAAGAAGAAGCAGAACAAACAACGAGTGCTGCCCCTTGAAGGGTTTCCCAGGAAAACAACTAACAACCAGGGTGTGTGCCAACCACCCCCCAATTGTCGGCTTTCCAGGTGATGGTTTCAGAATTTCAGCTTGACCTTGCTCAGCTTGAACGCGCCTGGGATTGGTGCGATAGCGCCGGGTCAGCATGCCCAGATGCGCCAACCACTGGGCCTCCGTAAAGGTCTTGGTGTACCAAAGGCCCTCCCCGTCGTCCGCCGACTCGGTCAAGGCGATCCAAGGCGATCGCGAGGGAGGGTTGACCCAAGTCATAGGGGGTTTGGGTGGAGGGTGTTTCAAGGGGAATGGGAACCTAGGAATTTCATACACCCCAGCTTAGGTGGTGTCCAAAGCTGGTTGGGGATTCATCACCTTTGCAGGGGAACATTTTCCCTATTTTTAGGACGGGTTTGTTCATCCGGTGTCAACATGACACTTTTTGGGGAGAATCCACTTTTGGTATTTGGGCAAGATAGTTTGCGACCGGCTCCCTTCAAAGACTAGCTTACAGCTCGGACAAGCCTCTTGCAAAGGCAAAAAGGTATGGTTCAGGGGGTCCACTGTCTTGACATTCCTTCTTTGTCTATAATGAGTCAACCTAACCAAAACGTGTCGTTACTGTCCCTTCAAATTGATCCGACTTTCCCGAAAAGAATGCCTCAAAAAAGACACGCCCTCATATCTGACCTCCCCCAATGATTGGTGGAGCCTTACTCCCCATGTGCATGATGCCAAATCAAGTCATACCCAAATATGTGGGATTTTGGGACCCTCATACTCAGACCAACCAAAAAATGAAGGGTGCACAGGTTTGCTAAGAATCGCCTGCGGCTCAAAACATGGGACAGGACTCTCTCCTAATCTGCTTTGCAAACCAGAAGACCCCGAAGCATCGCTGTTGTGTCACCTTGGGGTGCAGCGCAAGGAGCAAAAGCAAGACCAAGGCTGCTCCACATACCTGATCGTAGCATAGACATTTGGCTCCTGGTAAAGAGGCCCCAAAGAAAGCGGTGTCAATGTCCTGCCAAGACCCCACGCTGTCAAAATAGGCTTGTTCAGTTCTTCATGTCAATGTCAGCTTTGCTTGCGGCCGTCTGACCTATGCTTGGAATTTTGGTCACAATCCACACCTAAATGAAATGGTATGCCCTTAAATCTGTGAACTCGGTGCCCCACAGTTGAGGAAAAGCGGCGAACTCACTCAATTCGCCTATAAGTCATACTACCCTTTACTTCCCCACTGTAGCTCTTTTTGCGGCATCGACTTTCCCTCTACCCTTCAATCACAAGCCATCTGGCGAGTGGCACAGCACCAGCCGCGATGGGAGACGTGGTTGTTCAGGATCACCACGAGGCCTCACAGCTGGCCGTGGACAAAAATCACCCTGGTGACATCAGCCATGCAGCATGGCTCAAGTCATCACGTCGGGGGCTGACTTTTTATCACAGAGCAAATCGCCCTGGAGCCCAGTTTTCTACCATGCCATCGATCTACCTTCCAGGGACGATTTGGGTGTGTTGCTTGTTCGGATTCAGCCCCCCAAAAGTTCAAAACGGGTAATTACCCTCCAAAAAAGGGAGCCACCCATTTGTACACTATTTGTACGGCTTTAACCTTCTTAGATGCAGAGTGCCTGTGGTTTGCGTGGCTTGGACCCTGGAGGAAGAACCTTGCGGGTGCGATCGCTAATGACCGAGGCGTCGGGTTTCGGGAATGAACCGGACTGGGATCCCCGGATCCATTTATTTGGGTGTGTCTTTTTATGAGGGTAATTATTTTGGGGTTGGTTTAAGGGGAAACCAAGAGGAAACCACTCATTTTTGGGGGGTCCCCCCAAAAAAAACACACCCTTTTCTCATTCCCTTCTTAGAACCAGATCCAGTTGCGGATGGCTTTTGGGGGAGTTTATTGGGTCAGAGCACCTCGAGGGACTCCCAGCGCAGGAGGCACAGGGGATCCTATGGATCCACCTGAACATCGCAACTTGTAACTGGCGGCTTCTGAAAAGGCGACATGGAGAAGGCAAAATGGATATCATGTGGCTCCATGTTTCAAACGGGTTGGCAAAAATGGAGATCTTTTTTTTGGAGCCCTGAAGGAGCCCAAAGCCCAAAGCACAGAGCCCCGATGCCTACGCGGAGCCTGCGCGAAACTTGAAACCTGGAGCAAGCGGAAGAACCGAAGTCTCGGCAAAACCGCAAATGCGATAAGCGCTCGTAAGGGGCGGAAACCACCGCCTACACACACAAAAGATGCAAGCATGCCCAGGTCCACTCACAAAAAATGACAACGGACTGGTGATGCTGGGATATACATATATATATATATACATAATACAGATACACTGTACGTATGTATTTATATGTGTCTACATATATATATATATATGTATATTTTACAATCACTTCTGAGTGGATTGGCCAAAACATGTCCACTTTTTGTTTACCACTAAAATGCTCTTCTCAATAAGTTGCTTAAATCCAGAACTCAGGAAGTGAGTATATAAGGACAACTCACTTGGATTGGAAACCAGATGTTAATGTCCAGGAGAAAGACAGCAACTACTCGCTGCTTCTCACGTTTCAGCTTCCAGCTCAGGAAAAGCTAAGACAACGCTTCCGCAAACAGCACAGCTGCACAATGTAGGACCCGCTTTTTGATTTGGGTACGCTTTAGTAGGAAGTTGTTTTTCTAATTCAGAACCCTGTGACTGTCTGGGGGTTCGCTTTAATAGAAAGCGTTTTTGCCTTAAAAAACAAGGGCGAGAATAAACGGGCCAAGCAAATCGGGCTAAACAAATCCTGGCAAACAATAGGGACTCCGTTTTTTTAAGCCCTGATTCGCTTTTATGTAACTGTTTTGGGGGGTCGCTTTAACAGTCAGTCTTGGAACTGGCAATGCTCAAGAGTAAGTCTTGGTAACTAAATAAGAATTGGACATACTAAAGTAAGTACGGAATCTGAGAGCCAGTCCTGGCAATACTGAATTGGCAGTACTAAACTAAGTAATTATGGGGAATGTGAGAGTCAGCTTGGCAATCCCAAGTTTGGCTTTGGCAGTTCTAAAGCACGTCTTCTAGCAAGTCCAAGTCGTTGAAGAGGAACCCGCTCACTGGTTCCACTGCTGAGTTGGGGCGGGGGGTAACATTATGAGACTGCAACGTTGGTGTTTGAACCATGCAAAAAGTGCGCACATCTCTTGACGACACAGCAGCTGTCCAGCCTGCATCCGTCAACGCCTGCACTTTGGCATCGAAGATCTCTAACGGAGTCAGCGCCTAGACAGATTGTGGCAGTAATCTGGATTGGAATGGAATTTAACCTTCCATCTGGTTCAGACCCCTGGAAAAGACACACATATTTCGAGTAGTGATAGATTCCCTTTAAAACCAACAGGGGAAAATATAAAGTATTCTTAAGCAAATGGAAGTAAAACTTTGTCTGCCAGCACCTCCGAACCACGCCTTTTTGGACAGTACTTTGGAATTCGGGCATGGGACGAAGCAGTTGTGGGGGGCTGGTACGGATCAGTGGGCGGGCTATGTGGCCGGGCTGGCATTCTTGTTATCAACACCAATGGCGGCCGTATGTTTGGGAAAAACCAAAGGCAGGGTTGGAGGGGGTATGCTCTTCAAAGGGCATCCGAAAAAGCCCAGGAAAAACTTGAGCTGAAATGGACTTGAGTGAAGTGTGGTGTCCTTTCAACAGCCAACCAAAGAGGGAGCACGGTTTACTCACTTCCTTACTTACCCAGAGGCTCGTGGGCCCTCCTAGGGAGGGTCCGGGGCCCTCCTAGGGAGGGACCGGCCTGTTTGTCGGATACGGGGCCCTCGTGGGCCCCCAGTGCAATCCGGACGGGATGGGTGGAACCAAAATGGCCTCCAATCACACCTCCCCTAGCATTACTATCCGACGGTTATCCGACGGTTATCCGACGCCGGGCCCTCGTAGACACTCAGTTTTGGGGGGCCCCGGCCCAATTATCCGACGGTTATCCGACGGCTATCCGACGGCCATCCGACGGTTATCCGACGGCTATCCGACGGCCATCCGACGGTTATCCGACGGTTCTCCGATGGTAATCCGAAGCTTGTTTGCAGCCCAAAGGCCCCCAACAAAAAACCAGCCCGAAACCTCCTACGACCGCGAGGGCCCGCGAGGGCCCAAGGGCCCGAAACATGAGTTGGGAGCGTCTGGGAGTAGAGTTTCTATTTTGTTTGCTGTGTGTGGCTGCCATGCTTTTTGTGCAGTTGGATTTTTTCTAGGCCTGTCACTGGCCTGCTTGGTCGGGCTGCTGATTCTCTTGAAGTGGGATGTTTGTAGTAGGGCTGTGTGGATGTCGCTTTCTTGCCGCAGTTGCTTTTCTTCAGGGCCTGTCGCTGGCCTGCTTGGTCCGGCTGCTGCTTTTCGTGAAGCAATATTTTTCCGAAGGGCTTCTAGTTTGCCTGTTCTGTGTGGCTGCCGTTTTTTGTTGGTTGTTGTGCAGTTGGTTCTTTTCAAGGCCTGTCACTGGCTTGCTTGGTCGGCCTGCTGCTTTTCGTGATTTTTTTCAGTATAGAGATTGTTGTTTTTTGCTTGCTGTCTGTGGCTGCCGTGTTTTGGTGAAGTTGGATTTGTTTCAGGGCCTGGCACTGGCCTGCTCGGTCGGGCTGGTGATTTTAGCAAAGTGGGATTTGTTGTAGGGCTTCGAATTTGCTTGTTGTGCTTGAGTGCCACTTTTTTGGTGCAGTTGGATTTTGTTCAGGGCCTGTCACTGGCCTGCTTGGTCGGCCTGCTGCTTTTTGTGAAGTGGGATTTTTCCCGAGAGCTTCTAGTTTGCTTGTTGCGTGTGGCTGCCGCGTTCTTTTTTGTGTAGTTGTTGTTTTTATAGGGGCCTGTCACTGGCTTGCTTGGTCGGGCTGCTGCTTTTCATCGCTTTTCGTGAAGTTGGATTTGTTTAGTAAAGCTTCTAATTTGCTTGTTGTGTGTGGCTGCCATGTTTTTTGTGCAGTTGGATTGTTGCTCAGGGCCTGAGGGCCTGTCACTGGCCTGCTTGCTTGGGCTGCTGCTTTTCGTGAAGTTGGAGTTATTTAGTAGAGCTTCCAATTTGCTTGTTGTGCGTGGCTGCCATGCTTTTTGTGCATGCTGTCACTGGCCTGCTTAGTCAGGCTGCTAATTTTCGTGAAGTGGGATTTTTGCAGTAGGGCTTCTAATGTGCTTTTTGTGTGTGGATGCCGCTTTTTTGGTGCAGTTGTTTTTGTTTCAGGGCCTGTCGCTGGCCTGCTTGGTCGGGCTGCTGCTTTTCGCGGTCTTGTTTTTTTAGTAAAGCTGCTGCTTTGTTTGTTGTGTGTGGCTGCCATTTTTTGTTGTTGCGCAGTTGCATTTCGTTCAGGGCCTGTCACTGGCCTGCCTGGTCTGCTGTTTTTCGTAAAGTTTGATTTTTTGATTTTTTAAGTAAGAGTTGCTACAGTAATTGCTTGTTGTCCGCGGCTGCCGTTTTTTTGTTCAGGGTCTGTCGCTGGCCTGCTTGGTTGGGCTGCTGCTTTTCGCAAAGTGCTTTTTTCTGGTTTCTAATTTGGTTGTTGTCTTTGCCTGCCTGTTTTCCGCAGATGTTGTTGGCAATCTTGCTTGCGAAGAGCTGTTGCCTCACGCAGGGCCGTGGGCGGTGGGCGGTGGGCGGTGGGCAGGACATGCGGGTCATCAGGCGGGCCATGCAGGCCACAGCCGGACCAAGCCGGCCAGCGACAGGCCCTGAAGAAAAGCAACTGCTCCAAGAAAGCGACATCCACACAGCCCTACTACAAACATCCCACTTCAAGAGAATCAGCAGCCCGACCAAGCAGGCCAGTGACAGGCCTAGAAAAAATCCAACTGCACAAAAAGCATGGCAGCCACACACAGCAAACAAAATAGAAACTCTACTCCCAGACGCTCCCAACTCATGTTTCGGGCCCTTGGGCCCTCACGGGCCCTCGCGGTCGTAGGAGGTTTCGGGCTGGTTTTTTGTTGGGGGCCTTTGGGCTGCAAACAAGCTTCGGATTACCATCGGAGAACCGTCGGATAACCGTCGGATGGCCGTCGGATAGCCGTCGGATAATCGTCGGATGGCCGTCGGATAGCCGTCGGATAACCGTCGGATAATTGGGGCGGGGCCCCCAAAACTGAGGGTCTACGAGGGCCCGGCGTCGGATACCGTCGGATACCGTCGGATAACCGTCGGATAACCGTCGGATAACCGTCGGATAGCCGTCGGATAGCCGTCGGATAACCGTCGGATAGGGGAGGTGTGATTCGAGGCCATTTTGGTCGATCAGCGATCCATTGATCCCGTCCGGATTGCACTAGGGGCCCACAAGGCCCCGTATCCGACAAACAGGCGGGTCCTTTCAGGAGGGAGGGCCCCGGACCCTCCCTAGGAAACCCCACTTCATGCAAAGCAGGAGCCCAACCAAGCAGGCCAGTGACAGGCCCTCCAACTGCGCAAAAAAAACGGCATTTGAACTCCCCGTGTAAAGAAACATCACTTTTGGGACCCGGGATTTTGAATTTTTGAATTGTTTGAACTGTCCAAGTACAGAAACATCACGTTGGGGACCCGGGGTTTTGAACTTTTTGAACTCCCCAAGTAAAGAAACATCACTTTCGGGACCCGGGATTTTGAGCTCCCCAAGTAAAGAAACACCCGGCGGAACATCACTTTCGGGACCCGGGATTTTGAACTCCCCAAGTAAAGAAACACCCGGCGGAACATCACTTTCGGGACCCGGGATTTTGAACTTTTTGAACTCCCCAAGTAAAGACACATCACATCACTTTAGGGGACCCGGGATTTTCAGCGTTTTGAACTTTGTTGGTCTCCCCAAATCAGGAACTAGGATTTCACAACCCGGGTTTTTGACCTTTTTGTCGGTCTTTCAATCTCCCCAGCCCAGGAACTCAGATTCGAGGGGCCCTGGATGTTGACCTAGTTGGTTTCTTCCAAAATTCGCAAGTAAAGAAGCATGAATTGAGCGACCCAACTTGCGTAACTTTCCACCAACCCACACTAAATGAAACAAGCGGCCCCTCCAAACAACCAACCAAAACTAAATGAAACAAGCGGCCCCTCCAAACAACCAACCCAAACTCAATGAAACAAGCGGCCCCTCCAAACCAGCAACCAAACCTAATAGAAAACCGGCCCCTCCAAACCACCAACCCAAACTACAGTAAATGGAAAAGCGGCCCCCTCCAAACCACCAACACAAATTAAATGAAACTAGAACCATCAACCCAAACTAGTTGGAAAAAATAACCAACCCAACCAAGCCAGCAACCCAAACTAATGGAAAAACGGCCCCCTCCAAACTACCAACCCAAACCAAATAGAAAAAACGGCCCCTCCACGCAACCAAACGAAACTAAATGAAACAAGCGGCCCCTCCAAACCAGCAACCCAAACTAAATTAAAAAAGCGGCCCCTCCAAACTACCAACCCAAACTAAATGAAACAAACGGCCCCTCCAAACTCCAAACCAGCAACCCAAACTAAATGGAAAAAACAGCCCCCTCCAAACTACCCACCCAAACATAATGTCAAAACCGGCCTCTCCAAACCAGCAAACGGAAAAGCGGACCCCTCCGACCAAACCACCAACGAAAATTAAGTGAAACTAGAACCACCAAGCAAAAGTAAATAGAACAAGCGGCCCCTCCAAACAACCCAAAAACTAAATGAAACAAGCGGCCCCTCCAAACCAGCAACCCAAACCAAATGAAAACAGCGGCCCCCCCCCAAACTACCAACCCAAACTAAATGAAACAATTGCCCCCTCCAAACCAGCAACCCAAACGAATGCAAAACCGGCCCTCCAAACCACCAACCCAAACTAGATGGAAAAGCGGGTTAAATGAAGCTAGAACCATCAGCCCAAACTAAATGGAAAACGCGGCCCCTCCAAACCTCTTCTTTGCAAAGCCAGGCCTTCCCCGTTATTATTATGCTTGTGGGTTCTCAGACGCGCATTTTATTGTACCAGGTCCACATTGTATTGCGCCAGGATGATGCCATTGTTCGGGTTATGACTATACATGGCTATGGTTTTTAAGGGGCATGCAAAGCCCGACGCGGCGCGAACCTTGGTACGGAGGTATGTAACGGGGGCTCTTGTAACTCTGTAGCGAGAGAACAGTGCTTGACACTTCCACAATTCCAGCTCGAAAGTTGCATTTGTTGATTCACCCGGCTGCAACGTTTCTTCTGCTGAAGGGCAAGCTCTTTGCAAGTTATTTACATCAATTCTGCTGTTTTAACTGTGTGTTGTTATCTTATTTTCTATTTGTTGTCTTATCTATTTGTTTGATATCTTATTATTTGTTATTTTTTATCTGTCTTTATCTCTTCCCAGTAAAAGAAACAGTAGATAATTACTCAGTTCAGATTAAGTGTCCGGTATATAGACTATCTATTTGCTTTCTCTAATCTGGGCTATGTTGCCACGAGCCTTAGCCCCCCCCCCCAAACCAGCCCGAGGGCCCGCGAGGGCCAAACATGAGTTGGGAGCGTCTGGGTAGTGGAAAAAAAACAACGGAACTGGAAGTGATCCTGCTTCTGGTTCGTCGCTTGGGATGAGCAACAGCTCAACAGCATCAAGGGAAATGAGGCCCAAACACAGCAACTTGGGATTAGATGAATCTTTGGCTTCCACCAGGGGCTAGAAAAACATCCAGCAGGACCGGTCCAGCCAAAGCGAATTGTTCTTAGGAATTGGACAACCAAATGGCGCAGCGGTTTTCCCGCTAATTTTGTTCCTTTAAAACCAAGAAATAAGCTACCAACTCAAAAGAAGACTCCCATGCATATGGAGCCCATATTGCAACCTGCGACTGCGATATGATCTCAAGAAGAAACACAGCAACAGCTGTTGCCCGAAAAAGAACAACTGCGCGCAGTGCAATCCGACTACCTCCTGATCCCGTATGTCACCATGCTGCAATCCCACAAACATGAAATCGACGTGCAGCGAATCAGGGTGGTGCTGCTTCGCCCCTTGACTGCTCTCCTGAAAATTTGCTTAAGCCTCCTGGAGAAAATACAAATATGTCCAGTAGTGATAGATTCCCTTTAAAACCAGCAAGGAAAAACACAAATAATACAAGCAAAATAGATTCCCTTTATAACCAGCAAGGAAAAGAAACAAAAACAAAAAACAAATGGATGTCTCTTAGTCGCCCACGAGCACACAAACCTGGAATTGCTCAGGTCCGGCACAAAGAAGAATCAGTTGCTTGGCGGCCAATGCGATTTGCTGTCCAATCTCTGGCGTGTACACAAACGCTTTCTTTTTCTTAGGCACCCACTAAACATGAACAGAACCAAGAGACAAAGCAACCGAAACAAAGGGCCAAGAACTGTGAAGGTTGGTCAAATCTCTACACCCAAAACAACACACGCCCATAAACAGGAGGGGTTACGCGGGTTTTGGTCCATGTTTCCACTTACCAGGGCAACCCATTTTGGGTACCGATTTTTTGAGCCACGGCCATGGCAAGTCCTGGCCTCCTCCCAACAACCCCTTAAGGTTTGCCGAGCAAACCACGGGCTTCGCGATGTCCCAAGGTTTTCTTTGTGGGCATTGCTCGGTGTAACTTGCGACTTGCGGAATAAGGCAAAAGCCAAGTCGGATGAGACGAAAGGGCCACATCTGGGCAAACTAGCACAATTCAACAGAAAACATAACGGAGGCGCCCAAGCAAAGGACCTACCTGAGCCCTGAGCCCTCAAAGCTACTCTTAAAAAATAGGAACTCTTTCCATGATTTTGAGTTTGAGGGTCCAGGTAGATGCGCGAGCACGTTTTATCCCCGGATGGGTGAGCTCGCATGCCAAGTCCCCCTGCCTGCAGCTCGGGGTTGTGGCACAAAGACTGGTCCTTGCCCGGAATGTCCTCGCTTGTGAGGTTCAAGAAATCCAGGCCTCAGCTTAAAAGCTGGCAGCTGCGGCGGCGGCCGCGGTGGGGGGTGGTGGTCGTGGTGTGGTGGTGGGGGGTGCTGCTGCTACTGCTGGCGGTGCTGCTGCTTGCTGGTGGTGCTGGTGCTGGTGCTGCTGCTGGTGGTGGTGATGCCGCTGCGGCTGCTGGTGCTGGTGCTGGTGCTGGTGCTGGTGCTGGTGCTGCTGCTGCTGCTGGTGATGCTGCTGGTGCTGGTGCTGGTGCTGGTGCTGGTGCTGGTGCTGCTGCTGTTGCTGCTGCTGCTGCTGATGCTGCTGCTGGTGCAGGTGCTGCTGCTTGCTGGTGGTGCTTGCTGCTGGTGCTACTGCTGGTGCTGCTGCTGGTGCAGGTGCTGCTGCTGCTGGTGGTGATGCCGCTGCTGCTGGTGCTGGTGCTGGTGCTGGTGCTGGTGCTGCTGCTGCTGCTGCTGCTGCTGGTGCTGGTGCTGGTGCTGCTGCTGGTGGTGCTGCTGCCGCTGTTTGTGTTGCTGCTGCTGCTTGTGGTACTGCTGCTGCTGCTGGTGCTGGTGGTGGTGGTGCTGCCGCCGCTGCTTGTGGTGCTGCTGCTGCTGCTGCTGCTGCTGGTGGTAATGCTGCTGCTGCTGATGATGGTGCTGCTGCCCTTGCTTGTGGTGCTGCTGCTGGTGCTGCTGCTGGTGGGAGCCGATCAATTGTAAAAAAAGCCGCCGGCAGACCTTCGAAGGCTGAATCTCAAATCCCTTAAGAGTGTCCAAATTTGGGGGGACTTTTCGATTCGTCTCGCTCTAGCAACAAACAACCTGGGGTTGCTTTGATTTCCGGGCGGCTGTAGGGGAGCCGCACACAGTTGAACTGCAAGTCCACGATGGAATAGGCAACCTCCGCTAACGACATGACGTTGAGGCCGTTGTTCACCAACATCTCCATGTGCGCACCGTACCTGAGCAGGCTTGGCCCTCGGGGCCCCCTAGTTGAATGATTGGTTTCGTGGTTTGCAGGTGTGGAGGTTGAGTTTTGCAGATGCGCAAATCCCCAAACCACCAATCCAAACCACCAATTGAGGAGAGACTTTCATCATGATTAGAGTTAGGCCCAGTTATAGAATTTATATTTTATTGTGTGCTTCACTTTGAGCCACGGGTAAAATATAAAATGCTAAGTCTACCCCAGGAAACTGGTGATAAGAGCGGATTGAAACTGGTGACCGCAGCTGTAGCTCTGCCTGCGTAGATCGCACCGGTTGCGGGGTGCGTGGCGCTTCTTCTGCCATCAGTAGCTCTGCTGTGCACACTAATCCCTCGCTGTGACCACGAACATAACCATTCCCCCCCGCCCCCACCTCCCTTTTTTTCCACACAGTTGTTGGCTTAAGGCCTTTTTTACTCTTTGCACAACACGAGCCATGTGCTTACCGTGAAAAGACCTTGCGGCAGTGCATTACAGGACAGATCAATACAATAACCAGTCCGTCTCAGATACATTTGGGTCTGACCTGAAATACATCCCAGGCACTCGCCCGCCCCTCCCCCATTTTGTGTGGTCCGCAAAACCTTTTTTGGTGGCCTGCGCTAGGGCTCCAATAGGCCGTGTTACCATGAACAACCAGCAGGCAAGTTCAATACTGAAGGGAACATTGACCAATGGCCGAGGGAAAACCACACGAAGGATCAAAGAACATGAAAGGAGCATTGACCAACGGCCATGGAACAACAGGGATCCTTACAGTATACACCTGAACATTGCCTTGTAAATGGTGGTTTTCCTGTATTTTGGTGGAAAAAGCCATGTTTCAAATGGGCAAGATGTATCTTTTCAGGAGCCCTGAACAAACACACACACACACAAACAACTCTTTGATTGGAGAACTGGTGCACAACTGGTTCCACGCAGGTGCCCCTGAGCAAAAAGAGCGAAGCACATTCTCTTTGAGGGTGCCGCCACCTTTACAGCGAAACCAAGGAAAACCATCTGATTCTGGGGTGCCATCTTTGAAGTCACACCTTACACAGGGTGTATCATGTAAAACTTTGGGATACCGAGGTTCAGGGCAGGTGGACAATTCCCCTAGCCGCTCAGCTGAAGAGGGGTCTAGCAAACAAGAGTCTACTGTCAACTCCGCCCCCCCAAGGGAAAAGGGGTTATACTAGTTGCACTCTTTATATCTCTTCATCTTACTTCCTGAGTGCAGTGGCCAAAAAAACGCCAAACTTTGTATGTACACCTAAAATGGTCCATGCCCCAAAAGCAACTAAAGTCCGAAACGGAACTCAGGGACTGAGTTATTATAATCTGAGTGGCTTGTTGTCAGAAGCCCTGGAATGATGATATTTTTCTGTAATTCCCAACTGACAATGGTCTCAATAATTACCCACCAAACAATGATCTCCACCACAGTTTCATTTCGCGGAGCGAACGCATTTCTCAACCATCCACAGGATCGCCCACCCAAGCGTAAAATTCACCCAGCCCGACCTGCCCAGCGACTCGACGACTCAACGCGTTTTTCTGGGGTCATTATTTTGATAGCTTCTGGGGGTTATCAAAGTCAGAAAATGGGGTTGTTTCCCTTTAACCCACCACTTAGAGGCTGACTTTGATCAATTTTTCCAAGGCGCCAGTTGACGCAGGCCAGCGTTCGCCGCTGCTGGCGCTGGTCCAGCAGATAGCTGCCCCGCACCACGAGCGGCAGCGCGTCTAGGGGCACCAGCTGAGCCAAAGCCGCCTGAGGGCAGTGGATTGCGGCGACCCGGAACGACCCCCGGTGGATTTCCACCAAGTATTGTCTCGGTTTTGCTTTCTGCTCCCCTGCTACAAGCTTAGCTTTTAGTAGTGGTTTAATGGCAAACTGGAAAACCCAGTAGTTGGCAAACAAGTTAAAGTCATAACATCCAAGCAACATGCACCAAAGTTTTGTTGGTAGTTGTCCCTCCAGAAAAAAGAAGTGTTGGAAATAATGGGCAAAAAAAACAAGCTCTTGTTTCCTGAGAAAAAGGACACCGCTTGGGGGTATTGGAGGAGGAAGGTCTCCGTGGCCACAAACGCCACTCCGATCAAACGGATCTGCCATATCGCCAAGCCAGTGGCACGAAAGTGCCGCAAACTGGATACCAATTGAAGCAGGGGCGGAATTTGTCATTTGCCCAGCTTGGACCCAGAAACCTCCATTCGCTTAAGTCCCCTGGAAAAAATAGAGTTATGTCCAGTAGTGATAGCTTCCCTTTAAAACCAACCCGGAAACAGAAGAATCGTCTTAACCAAGTGGAAGGGAAAAAAGGTGATCACCTTTTGGCGCCTTGACTACTGGTGGCCAAAACGGGAAAACCAATGGACACCTCCCTTCCAGCAGGCCTAAGCTGGGGCAATGCGGACCTGTGGCCCCATGTACCAACAAGAACAAGGGCTTCGAATCCCCAACCAAGCAACCAATTAAGGCACACCTGAGTTTTCTTGGAAGGAACCCTCAATCCTCCCTTGAAAACGGACGATTCGCAAGTCCAATATGAGGCGGCAATGTCCCATTTGGTGGCTCGTTGTTTTGGGTCCAGGTGCATTTTGCAGGGGAAACTCCCTACATGAGCAAAAGAAAAGCAACAACAAGGAGAGGCACCGCCGGAGGCATCAGCTCACAGGCGCCTTCTTAGCATGCGTGCTACTTAAAAGCTCCTCACAAGCACTCATACCCGCACAACCCGTTCATGGATCCAACCTGTTTTACGGCCATGGAAACAAATAGCGGTATCCCGTTTTGGAATGAATTTGCGCGAAACTTGCGGGAAACCAAACATTTTGAGGCTAGTGGGAGCTGAGGATGAAATTACCCGTGGTTGAAAAAAAAAGGGAAGTCCCATCTACAGTAGGAGGATCTTGTTTCATCTAATTACTCTTCACCCTACACCAGTCGAGGGCGTCTGATTTCAGAGGGGATCCATGCTTTGTTTAACTGGAAGCACCCCTAAACCCGCCAAATGGAGAAACTCAAGGTCAAACATAATATGGCTGTGGCTGAAAAAACGGTGCCAAAATGGGTTGCCCTGGCAAGTGGAAATATGGACCAACACCTGCGGTTTGCCCCTCCTTTTTAATTTTGAGCCACACTCAATATGAGTCACAATCAAAACCCGGTACAAAAATGGTCTACCCAGAACCATGTAAATAATTTAGAAGGCGGATATCCGCAGCTATTTCTGGTTGGGATCTTCCCTTACTAACCTTCATCTACCCGAATCGGTTTTGAGGACGTGGCTCATATGCACCCGGCCCCATGACCCCAACTGCACCCAGCCCTCAGCTCTTGGACCCGCCTGCTGGTCGCTGGGCCGGCAGCTGGCAGGACCGCTCACGTGGCTTGCGCCGGCGATGAACGAAGCGTCCTTCCCGTGCAGCCGACAGGTGCCTCCAAAGAACCGGCTCGATGTGGCCGGATGTGTTGGAACCTTTTCTTTGGGGTGAAACCACCTTTAAAAGGAATGGGGTTCATGTAACCACCATTGTTCTAAGGGTTGTCATCATCCAAATTGGGTCCTTGCCGTTCTTTTAATCGGGGTTGAACCTTAGGGTTTTGTTTGGCACAACGCGCCAAAAGATACAAAGATGCTTGAAATAAGGCTGGGGGCGGACAAAAACAAGGTCCCAACACCCTTTGGTCCCTTTTTGTGAGTTTCTGGAAGGCGCTGCGCGGCGCACCGGTTCCCTGGTTCATGTCTGAGAGTGGGTCAGTGACATCCTCAAATTTAACAGGCCGGTTTCAAGGAGTTTCCCACCATGAAAACTTGAGAACCTCAAAATATAACCTGCTTGGCGGACGCATGAGAACACCTCTGCTGAAAGGCCCGACTTGCAAACGTCAAACAATAAGACACTACTACTCTAAGGCCCTACATGCCCCAAATGAACCAACCAGATTGAAGCATGTTTTTGCGTTGTATTGTGGCTGGTCTCAGTAACACCACCTGGTTTCGGGGTATGTCCGTGTGAGGTATGCACGTAGCACCTTGGTCATACACTCGTGGAGCGTCATCGCCGCTGTATCTCCATGAACTTTGGACGTGCTTCTTGACCGTTGCGAATGGCAGCTAAGCCCGAGGTCGGCCTATGAGTGCCCAAAACCCGACTTTTGGTTCTGTGAAAAGTTTGCATCGCCCCTGCGACTGTGGATGGTTGCGAACTCCAGAAATGGCGCCAGCGTTCAAAAACCCTATTGAATGATTCAATTCCCCGACATAAATGCCAACAAACGTTGTGGTGTGAATCATGGTTTCATTTCGTGGTGCGAACGGATTTCGCAACCATCCACAGTATCAAACCAGGTACCAGCCTTTGGCCAGCGACTTGGCACGCAGACTTGCCAAAGCCCCCAGCAGTCCCTTTGGTCCCTTTGGAATGTGTGAGTCAAACCACTTGGAAAATGGGATACCCCCTATGAACTCTCATGGAACACCATTGCTAGGGAACTCTATGAGCCCCCGCAAACCATGGGATATCTGGAGTGATGCCACTGGGCTTGAGGCCTACCTTCAGCCCTGAGCAGGGGATCGCGCCAACGGGGTGTCGCAAACGGGCCATCTGTCAGGCGGCTTTTTGCACCTTTGGGTGGCGCACACCTCTCACATCCGGGGAAAATCGGGCTGCTTCAAGCTGCTTTGTGAAACTGCCTGAAACTGCCGGAGAACCCAAACCTACGGCGTTTGTCGTTGAGGCCTCTCATGAGAAACCCCCATTTGCATACGTCCCCTGAAAAACATCATGTTTCAAGAAGTGATAAATTCCTTGTACAAAACCAGCGAGAAAAGCACGGCATATTCTTGAGCAAATAGACGCATTTTACCCGCAAAAGTCGAACCTTCCTAGTCGCAAACCCGCCATGAGCTCACTTGTAGTTCGGAGATGACTCGTGACGTCCATTTCGCGCAAGTGGGTAAGCAAGAGAACTGCCCTTGAACTGCGGACGCCGTAACAGGTGTGGAAATATATGTCTTTTTTCAGGGGACTTAAGCAAATGGAGGTTTCTCATTCAGAGAGCAGGATTCAATTGCTGGTCCTTTGGTAACTGAGATCACGAGATCCACCTTTGGTAATTCCCAAACCGGAACAATGGCTGATTACCTATATACACATGTATATATATATATATACTGTAGTGGTAACTGGGATTCACTGCCGGGACGGTTGGTGCCCAAAATGGCAACCACACCAGGCCACTTCAGGTGCGCGGCCGAAGCTTTTCAACTCTTGGTTCTACTAACATGCTTATAAAGGTCTAGGCTTTACAGAAACCCGAATGACACCAAGTAGAACCACCTGCTCAAAATTGCCAACGAGGGGTATGCACCATTTGAAGGTACTGGGAGCCGGTCAGCTACTCTCGGCATGTCGCCAGCCTTCACGCCAGGAGAAGAAGGCGCAGCCCGCCGCGTCTCTGCAGCGCTGCTGACACGCCGAGAACTCGGAAAGGCGAGTCGAGGCGAGGCGGGCCGAAAAGCAGCGACCGGGATAAGCCGAAGGAAACAGGATACGATGAATATCTGAACAAAAACCGGGAACATTGTCACGGGAGGAAACACTGGAGATGTGAGAAAATCGATGAGAAATCCAAATCAACAGCGGAAGGGCCTGAAGAGGTAGCAAGCAGAACGGCAATCAAACTCACATCCCTCCCCAAACAAAACAAGGGGGTATTGAAATCACGGCGGCCGTACCCGCTTGTGGTTGGGATTGTCCCTTACAAAAGCGTTACTGCCTGTCGACTGAGCTATGTTCAAGGTACTCCCATTTCTCATTTCGCCCATAATCTGGAAATGCGACATGGCCACTGTCCCTTCGGAGAACTGCGCAACGCTAAGCAACGAGAGCTAAGCCAGGAACACCCAAGCCCCGACTAAACCATCCGCCGATGCCGGGAGCCCCAGGGCTCCCTCTTTTTTTTTTCGAGAATCCTTTGCCTGGGTTCCAAGCGCTTTGAGTCGCGCCCGGAGGTCACCGGAGGTCACGGCGAGCTCCACCCCGGTTTGTTGGGCCGAACTCTGGAAGCCAGAAGAAAACCAAACCAACTTCCACCTTCTCATCTTGAGCCTCGGAGCCTTTCCTTGGTTGACGTTGGAAGGGGAGCGAAAGAAAAAAAAAGCCTTAAGTGGGGATTTCCCACTAAACCACAATAAGCAAAAACGTAAAATGTTTCCCAACAACAACCATGTTTCCATGTCAAGGCGTCCTTTTCCATGTCGGAAGAGCCCTCGAAAGGAAAGACGAAGCCAGCCAGCCTTGCAGAAGGTGATCACTTTTGCTGGTTCTCTGGGAAAACGACAAACAACCCCACAGGCAAAAGGTGAGTCTAGAAGACACACGCAAGGCGTGAAACAGAAAGCCTCCAAATAAGGGTCTGGCTTTCACATTGGTTCCCCGCGTGTCCCCTCCAAAAAAAATGAAGAGGGGCACTGAAATTTTCCTCTCGCGCCTACTAAACCCAAAAAGACCCTTTCGAAAAGTATGAATGGCTGTACCAACCAAAGAGTGGCTGTTGTCCCATCTCAAAATCCTGGTTGCTGTCCGTTTTCTGATCTGCAAAGAGGACAGTTTTCCAGGGGATAAATACGGTTCCCTTTCTTTCTCGCCTTGAACCTACCACCAAAAGGACACTCCTAAAGGGGACAACCAACTTCCATGTGGTTAAGACCCCTGGAAAAAATATGTCTATAGTAGTGATACATTCCTTTAAAAACCAACAAGGGAAAATGAAAAACCCCCTACACCCAACCCCCTACACCCTACACACCCTACACCCCCTACACCCCCCACACCCCCTACACCCCCCACACCCCCCACACCCCCTGCACCCCCTGCACCCCCTACAAACAATTGGACCTTGAGGTGTGGCCGAGGCGCGCTGTGCGTCTGCGCCTCAAGGCGGAGGTCTTCCTCGTACCTCCACGAGAGGCTGCCGTGAAACGGATCGCAGCGCGGTTCGTGTCTGGGGTGCAGTTGCCACCACTAAAACAAAGCCGGTTCATATATGACCACCATACAAATTTCATGATCCAAATTGTTTACCTATGGATTACCAGGTTTACTTATCATCCAATACTGTGGAGTACCTATCATCCAACAAAGCCACCATTGTTTACCTAAGGATTCTCATCCAAATTGGGTCCCAAGGCCATTCTTCGAATTGGGGTTGAATCCCCGGGTTGCCATGCTGTGGATGGCTGACATCGATATCCGGAAATCGCACCACGAAATGCGACCATGGTTGAAACCAGAGCCGTTGGTTGGTATTTACAGGGGAATCGAACCATTCCGTTGGGTTTCTTAGGTAGGGAAATAGTGGCTCTGGTAGATTATGAAGCAACCTGGTCAACCATACATCGTCATCTATTTGTTATATACTAAACCTAAAAAGGACACCTATAATGTGCCCTTTCAAACATTATCCACGGAGGGAAACTCAGCTTACGGCCAAACAGGTGTCTAAAGCCACTCTTCGGGAAGTAGACGGGCGCCAGTTCAAAGCTCGAAGGGACCTGAACTGAGGTCAAAACCTTCAGCAACAAATCACCAGCACTTGCCGATTGAATCAGACTGAGTCAAAACCAACTTCTGTGTGCCCAAACACTTTGACATGCTGGTTCTACCAAGATGGATACAAAGGTTCATGGCCGCCTACTAAAATGGCCCATGGTGGAGGTTTGTCAGAAGTGGCCCTCAACACACTTCTTGGGGTATCGCCAAACCCGCATTTGTGCTGGTTTGCTGCTTGCTGAGGGATGATAATGAGGTTTGTGCAAACCTCCAGGCCAAATCCGAAGCTGCTGATTGAAGGATTCCTTTCAAACTGTGCTCTTTCTGGGTGTCAGAATACAAGTTTGGAGCCCCCATGTAGAGAAGACAACAAGGAAACCACCATCTTGAGGGTCCCCTAAAAAAGACCCTCCTACCTAGATCGTCGAAATCGGCGCTTTTTGGGAAATCTCACTTGTTGTTGTTTTGATATAGCAGGCTTCGTTCCTCGAAAGCGTGGCGAAAAACCGTCGGAACTCTGCGGGGAAATGGGCGGAATTTGGCGGTCACAGTTTTAGTTTGCGGCGTTTTGGCAGTTCGACATGTCGTGTTTTTGTCCTTTGGTTTTTCCGGCTACGCGGCGGCGCTGTGTTTCTCAAACTTCGCGCTTGTCTCGCGGTTTCGGCGGCAAAGGTTCTCCGCGCATTTCGCGACGAAGTTGCTGCCCCAAAGAACCGGGCTGTCCGGTGTTGGATCCCCTGCTATAAGTTGAACTTGTGGGTTCAATGGAAATCCAACCACCAACTAAACAACTCATCCCCTGCTCAAAGTGACGAACTTTTCATGGGCGAAATGGAAATCCTGGAAATCCCTAACGCCAAGCAGATCTGAAAAGCTAAGGAACCAGATGGCTGGGAACCACCCACCAAGAGACAGATACTTCTCCCTGCGTCCGGGCGTCCGCCCCGCCGAGAAGCAGCCGCCCGCGGGACTCTCCGAAGCCGCGCGGCAGGGCCCGGCGCAACGGAAGTCCGACAGCGCGCGGCAGAAGGGCGCGGCTCCTGGATCGGAAGGGCCGGCGTTCAGCGGTTGGAATGGATTGGAATGACTGGAAGAAAAAAAAGTGTCCCCGATTTGGTTTAATTGAAAATACCTGGGTTCATTCCCAACACCCCTGGGTCAGGAATGAGACTGGAAGAAAAGTATCCCTGGTTTTGGTTTCCTTGGGAATCCCTAGGTTTCCCAAGACCCGGAAGGTCGTTCCCTACTGAGCACCAGTGAGCGCCAGTGAGCACCAGTGAGCACCAGTGAGCACCAGTGAGCACCAGTGAGCACCAGTGATGTTGACCCTGGATTGATTCAAGGAACTGATTTACATACCTTTTCACATCAGGGTCGATTCAGCGGATCTGATTCTGACCAGGTTAAGAACATCCTGGAGAAAATCACATCCCCCTGTTGGAGATACAGGGGGATGTAAACAGCGATGTGAAATAGTTCCTTGATTAACAAACCCGTCCTATTCATAGGGGGTGTTCCCCTCCAACAGTGATTCCCCGCAGAACCCCTGATCAGTAGGCTAGATGAATGTGGGGTCAACATCATTGGGGTCCAGCAAAGGTCCGGAGGTCTATGCTAGCCTCTTTTAGTGAGGCAACTATCTGTTTGGGGGTTCCTCTGACCAGCATCCTTCGGACTAATCCGAAGATCAAACTTAGGTTACAATGCAACCTGGACCTTCCATTGATACCTTTTTTTGTGCTCGCCTTTTTGTCTGCTCGAACACACATTTGGTGCCTAATTCTTCAATTTCTGCCCGAGCAATAAACAAGTGCCCGAGGTTTATATGTTCAAATGTGCACTTTCCAAAGTTGCGTTTGTTTGCGGGTTTTTGCGCTCGTTTTGCGGGCGTTGCGGGCGTTTTTGCACACAAGGGGTACAGGAAATCACATGTTCATGTTCTTTGCCATATTTAGTCTACCCTGAAAAATAAGAGTAGTTCTGCAGGGGACCCCAGAATGATGCTTCGCCTTCAACATCTGGCAGTGCAGGTGCTGTGATGATCTGCGTTACTCTTCAGGCTGTCTGAGATGATATGTGGTTTATCATCCCCCGCAGTCGCCGGAACCTGTGGGGTCTTGGGCGAGGCGGTGTGTATGGTTCCTGCCATAAGTGCCATTGTGGGTCATGCCATGGTTCCTTCGATAGGAACCTAAACCTTACAACACATGGTGATCCAAACATTGAAGGTGCTTTTCCGTTTTAAAGGATTGCTTGAGGGTCCAGGAATCCTTTTGAGTCTTATCTAAATGTTGTATCTTCCATTTGCTCAAGTCCTCTGGAAAAATGGACATAATTCCAGCAGTGATGGATTCCCTCTAAATTTAACTGGGGACAATAATTATATTCTTATCTGGGCTCTCCAATCCGAGCCCTTCCAAAATTGTAAAACTTGTGGGTCAAATGGAACCCCAACCACTAAACCAGCTTTAAAAACATCTAAACAATCGAAATCCCCAAGGAACCGGAAGGCTGGGTTCCCTTCCAACTGAACCAACTAAAAACTCTCAGAGGGGTAGGCCCAACTTCCGCGCCCAACTGCCCCGCCTGCGGTTTCCACGCACCCTGCGGGGCAACTCCAGCCACCGCCTGCGGGACTTCCGAGATCTCGGCTTTAGCCATCAGCTGGAATGACAAACTTACCCCTTGAAACTCCCTGCGCCCTGGGGAAGTTATTTTTTTTACAGACATATAGCCGACGTTACCCAAAAAGTTGAGAAAAGTCGTGTTTTTTTTAAGAGGCAAGCCAAAAAAACGGGCTCCAAGCCACCGGAAAGCCAGGAAGGGTTTTCTTGGGCGGTCTTTTTTCTGGGACCCCCTTTTGGAAAAGGAAACCCCCATTTTGAGGGGTCCCCTAAAAAAAAAGCACACACACAAATAAGGTCGCTACGTCTTGGATGAGCTCTATGCCAGGGTTGCTTCAAAAGGCTTGGGGTTCATGTTGGAACCAACCATTGGACATGAATCACCCACATGAAATCCAGCTTGGGGCCTAATTCAGGGTAAAAGGCAGACTTGCACTCCAAAGGTCCGGATAGGCGGGTGGGAAGGTACTTGTTGATATTAGAGGATCCCTTCTGGATGTGCAATGGGAAATCAAAGCAACATCGGGGGAAAAAAAAGTAGGAGTCCCACTACTGTTGCAGGACCCACCCTTTTGGATGTGTGTCAACACTAGGTGTCCGTGTGGGGACACTTCCAATCTGGAGTGCTCGCTTTGACATGCTTCAGCAAATGCGAGCAACGTCCTGGAAGAGCTAAGAGGTCCAGACATATGTGAGAACGCAAACGGCAAACAGTTCATGAGCATATATATATATATAGTGATATGTATATGTGCAAAATACAATATAATTTCACGTGTATCAAGGGTTGGCAAATACATTGAAGATTAAGTTGCGAGAAATCAGCAAGGAGCACCAGGTAAGCCTTTTGTTTGCCTGCCCTGTGGATGTTCGAGCCGGTTGCCTGGAGTTTTTTCTGTGCCAGTGAAAATGGATCTTACTGTGGAGCCATGGGAAACTGAAACCACTGTCGGTTGGCAGGGGAATCACGATTATTTCTTATGAGGGTGCGAAATGGATCTCTTTCATCCGCAGGGATCCCGCCCCGGGTTCCTTTTGGAACAAATTGCTGAGTCCTGCAGTTTGATCGGTTTCTCCCTCAGGACACCAAGGCCGAAAGTCCAAGGGGTGGCAACAAATGGGCGTGTCTTTTTTTTGAGGTTTGCCCTTTTTGGTGTTGAAAGGAAACCAAGAGGAAAACCACCATTTTGGGGGTGATCTAAAACAACACACACCCAAATGGTGTGGCAGACGGTGCGTGGTGAAGACATAGGTGCATTCATCCCTGATTGATTTGATGGGGAGGGTGCACACCACGAGGAAGTAATGCATCCCTTCCAAAAAGAACATCAGCCACGGGCAAAAGGCTGCAACATGTCAACAGACAAACGAATCTAGGCCAGACGGAACGTGAATGAAACCAAAAAGGCAAATGGAACTACCTAAGAAAAGTTTGGCAATTGAATCAGGTGCAAAGAGAACCTTCGGCCTCACTTCTAGCTTGACTGTCCAAGTTTTGGCGCAAACCGGGTCCCTTGAGTCTCAAACAACCCCAAAAAGGCGAGGGGGAACCCCCCAACGCGAAAACGACACACACACACACACAAACACACGCACACAAACACAAACACTACACAAATCCAAGACCAGAACTACGTGTTGTTGCTGGTCAGGCAAACCGGTGTTGGGATCGGATTTGTTCCTCTGCTGGCCCACATGACCATGGATTCTGAAATTATGATCCTAAACATTTCGCATGGATTCCTTCTGGTCTGCTGGAAAAGGTCAATTTAGTATTTTGCCCCTGCCAGCCCTACAACAGTGGACAAGCTTACTCGACTAGCCAAATGCGCTCCCCTTTGCAGCAGTCTTGTCACTCTACCTTTTCCATGTCTCTAGTCTCTCCCTCCCCCCAATTCCCTCAAGGTGCCTGACTCAAACTTCATGTTCTATATTGCTCAACAAAGTAGTAAAACTTCCACATTTTTTCAACCTGGGTGTAAAGTCTTTACATAGGGAACCCCATGCGGTTTTTCTCCAACGCACAAAATGCCCGCTTTGAGGGCTGTGTCGCTTCCCAACCTCCCCAAAACCCTCCCTCCCCCCGCTAGGTCCTCCAATAAAATAATGGTTAGAATAAGGGTGCCAACTTTCTTCTGTAGTGTATTCTAGTAGGGAAACCCAAAACCCCAAAAAAGAAACGGGCGAGAAAGGGCACCTAGCTGGAGGACCTAGCCCCAACACCCGTCTCCGCTCAAAAAAAATCCGCTCGCCTGGGCTGCGGCACCGGTCCCCCACCGACGCGGCTCCCGGCTCCAGCGTGAGGTTGCCGCAGGCCATCGCCCCGGAAAAATCGCTCTCCAGTTTTCTTGGCGGCGGCGGCGCCACATGGATCTTTTTGTTTGGTTGTGAGGATTTACGGCTGGAATTAGGACCAACAAATATGTTGTTTGCCTTAGTGGAAAACAAACAAACACCAAAAAAGCGAAGAATAAAAAAAAAGTGCTAATTCTGGGGAAGCTTTCGCGCGAATCGAGCGACGATTCCGCGGAAGAAGTTGTGTTGTCGAAATCAAAAGAAAAAACCATGGGTCTGAAAGGAACAAACAACCTTATTCAACATTCTTAATTGCCTTGAGGTGCATTTCATGCTCAGGCTCGCAACCCTGTGTTTGGCAAAGCCGGTCGCCGCGGCTCAGGTTTGCGGTTCCCACTTGTGGCTGTGTGGCAACGAGAGCGAATGAGAGTGGGTAACAGCATCGGGTTTCTTGAAGTCATGGTATACCTTGCAGTACAGGGTAACCTTTTGAGGCCATGACTAAAAATGGACAAAAACGGGAAAACCAAAAGGTCAAAAGGTCGGCTTTGGGCAACTAAGGTATACCTTGGACATATCAGATCATGATCTGATGAGTCTTGCTGGGGAACAAACGTCGTATTTTGACGACGTAAGCTGGAAGGTAAAGGCAGGGAGACTCGGCCGCTTTTCAGCCTTGCTGCCAAAGGCTCATGCTTTGAGCCGTGCCATGATGCACTGACGTGATCCGTGAACCTCCCCCCACCCCGGAAGCCATTGATGTAGCCGGTGTTGAATCATACATTTTGGGTTGTGGAGAAGGGGAGCAAACAATTAAACTTTAGCAGTTAGTGGGGATGTCCCACCAAACCACAACAAGCAAGACTGACAAATGTTTCCCAACAACCATGAAATGAGGGCCCCTAGAACCAGATATGATATTGAACCTGAATTTCGGAGAGATGCGTTGGCCTCCCATGAAGCCTAGGGGTTTAGACACGGCTTTAGACTTTGCATGGCGGGCACTTTCCGTGAAAGTGGAAACACAAGACTACATGTCCAAGCTCTGCAATAGTCTCTGGGCATGCCCAGAGAAAATCCAACTGGACCACACTAAATGGAATGTGGCAGCTTTCAGGGTAGAAACGAGTGACTTGATGCCATGTCTCAATAGATATCCAGATCTGAAACCTCCACAGGGTAACTGCATACGAAGCGACAAACATGTTGTTTCCCGAAAATGAAGACTCCGCCTAGAGTCAGACACTTGTTTGCAAACCTCAAATCCCCCAAAAAAAACAAAACAAAAGGAAATTAACACAAAAAACAATCGCCAAATGTCTGCGCCTTCAAGTGGTACGGTCTGCACATGGCCATAGGGGAAGTCAAACTAAAGCCATCGAAGCCTGCAAATGTAGGAAGTGTCTTGCATCTTTGCTCTTGACTGCAATGCTGAACACAGAACATGTGTGTATCCAAGGTTTTGGATACGTTGACAAAGACGGGAAGTCTCTTGACGCGTTAGGGGGGCAGCACACCAAAGGCTGACCGAGGAAAGAGCGTTGCTCCCTGAAAATTACCACCATTGAAGGGGGTCCCACATGTCAAGCGTATTCAGCAACAATGCAGACTTTGGCTCCATCCTCCAAACCTCGAATGACCCAGCAACTGCATGGCTGCAAACAAGATTGCGGAACATTCTCAACCGCGAGTCCACTTGAATCTGATGATTTTGCTGCCATCACAAGCAACGTAAAGACTATTATTGATGGTTTTGTTCGGGGGCCAGCCATCTTTGGCAACTCCAAGTAGGGTGCTTTGACACCAGGGTCAGCCGTGCATACGAAAGCCGCCGCGCGAAAAGAGAAGCGACCCGCCGACCGGCGGCCTCTTTCGAGCGACCGCCGTGTACACGGAGTTGAGGACGCCCCGGCAAACCTGAAGAGCGGAAAGCGACGTGGATCCATTATGGATGAAAGCTACTGCGGATGGACGAAATCCTTTTCGCATCACAAAATGAAACCGTGGAAAACGATTGTTTTTGGGTAATTATTTACAGGGGAATCATCATTCCAGAGTTTCTTAGGTGGTGCAGGATTTTGTCCATCCACAGTAGTACCATAAGGGTAATGGAGTTCTGGGTCCCAAAATCGGTTCTGTTGACACCCCTCGCACTAAGCTCCAGGAGGGTCGTGGGTGATCGTTGCAATCTGCCTTGGGGAAGCCACGGCTTTGTAACTCTGCCTGCGCTTCTTGTCGTCGAAATGGCAGCCAGGACCCGAACGTTCATTTGTGAACCGACCCCACAAACTGGCAGGGGCAATGCAGCATCCAACTGCAAGAACAACATGCTGATGTGAACAAGTAATGTTGATTTCGGATTAATAAACCCCGGTTTATTAATATGGGGGTGTTCCCCTCCAAGAGTGACAAATCCCCACTAAAACCGGGGACACCCCCATATTAATCAACAGGGGTTTGTTAATCCGGAGTCAACATTACCACCAAACCCAAAAAACAAAAAAACATGGAAATGTGAGTGTGCCTTTCTTAGTGGACCCCACAAAGTTGTGTTCCTTTGGTTTTCCCGGACAGACCCATGTAGACAAAGCCGAAATTTGGAGGATGTAGAGTCTACTGATCCCTCCTGCAAAACCATTAGAGGCCCAGCCGAAACGGATCGATACCCTGGATGCTAAGTTCGTTGTTCGCAAAAGGGGTCCCCTAAAAAGGTTTTAGCTCCTTTCGCTCAGTTGTTCAGTGACCCTGGAAAAAAAGGGAACCCTTTTTTGGGAAGACCATTTTAGTGGGGAAGCCACCAAAAAAACAGGAAAAAGGGAGCCACTGAACAACTGAGAGAAGGTTGGCTCCTTTCGAATTCCCCTTACCAACCAAACAGGGGTCCATTCTGAGAAGCCTCCACATTGGGCGCGCCTTTTGTCTCTCAGTCCGGATTCTTTTTTTGGGGCGCCCATCAGACTTCAGGGCAATAGGAACCTGCCCTCACTTCGGCAGCCCCGCGGTGTCCCGCATCTTCTTCATGGCGAGCGCCATCCACTCCAGCTCCCCGATCATGGCCGGGAGCTGCTTCAGCATGCGCGCCTCGGGGTCTTTGGGCGCGCCCTCCTCATCGAAGAGCTCCGCTGGCGAGGGGAAGCCCGCCAGCTTGCTCACCTTGGTTGACGTTGGAAGGGGAGCAAGAAAAGAAGTTTTAGCAGTTAAGTGGGGATTTCCCACTAAACCACAACCAGCCAAAATGTAAAATGTGTCCCAACGACAGCCATGTCACGGGGATGCAGCCCAGCTCAGACAAGAAGGGGCGCGCCGCCATGGCCGCGCGCATGCCGGCCCAGGGCCCCGGGCTGTAGGTGACGATGCAGGAGGGCTTGCACTTGTAATTCGAGCCCCCGAAGTGGCCCATGAGGCTGGTCAGCGCGGGCGGCAAGGAGTGGTTGTACTCAGCGGTGACCACAACATAGCCGTCTGCTGCCTTGATGGTGGCGGCCATCTCGTCCATCCTCGGCTGCTTTCTGTTTCCCTTCCAAAAGTTTTTAGTGTTTAGTTGAATGGAAAACCCATTGGTTGGCAAAAAGTTAAAGTCCCAACACCCCTTGGCAAAATGCAAAAAAAGTTTTGTTGGTAGTTGTCCCTGCAGGAAAAAACACATGTTGGAAATCATGGGCAAAAAAAGCAAGCTCTTGTTTCCAAAGCATCTTCGGTTGGGTCCCCGCCTTCAGGAAGAAGTGAGGCGTGCCCAAGTGCCCGTCCCCTTCCAGGGCGCCGCCGGCTCCGAAGATCTCCACGGGGTCCAGGACGGTGACCTGAAGCATTTGCTGAGGTTTTTCTGGAGAAAAACCAACAAAAACATGCCCAGTTGCCCAAAGGACAACAAAAAAAAGAAAAAGAAGTATCGCCTTTTGGGGCCGTGACTACAAATGAACCAAATCAGGCAACCAAAAGGTGAAAAGGTCGGCTTTGGACATGTATGTCCAGTGATAGAGTCCCTCGAAAACCCACCAGGAGAAAATACCACATCTTCTGAAACCAAATGGAAGTGACCTCGTGGTTGATCTGGTCTTGGGCATAGGCCTCGTCCCTGGCGCGCAGGTGCGAGACCACGTGCTTCAGCACGCGGTCCCCCAAACGCACGTCCCCGCCCCAGGGCGGAACCACGTTCCGCGCGGAGCCCATGAAGACCACTGTCTTCAGAGTGATCCTCTGCATGCCGGACTTCACCTCCTCGTCGCTCACCCGGACCCCGGAGCTCCAGCAACAGCACGCCGTGGCGGGTTTCGCGAAACCGCGCGAGAGAGGGGCGAAAGGCGAAAACCCAAGCTGCAGCGCTTTGGATGCCTTGGGCCGGACGGCTGTGATCCAAGTCCTTTGCAACTGGTCTCCTGGCAAGATCCAACGCAGGCAAGCCGCGCTCAAGGCTACGCAAGATCCGAGGGTCTGATGCTCGGTACATTTAGGTGACTCCCATAGATTCCCTGAATTGTCAGAGCCTACCTCATGAGGATGGCTTTTGAGGGGTAAAAAGAGGTCTAAGTACCTCCTTAGAAGGTACTTGGAATTTTCTGGGCAACAGCTTTGGACTTGCGAAGAGAGACCACCCAGGGGCCTCAGGCATCGGCCCCAACTTCGGCCCTCCACTTCCGACTGAACAAGCCAGATGCCACACACAGAAGGCAGAAATGGGTATGGGTCAAAATTAAACCACCAGGATCCGCAGGTTTTAGTCTACGTTTCCATTTACCAGGGTTCCATTTTGGGTACATCTTTTTGACCCACAGCCAAATGAGAAGAGACTTTGCACGCCAGCTCCTGGTATCTCAATGATCCTCGAAATCGTGTGCACGCTCTGAGTCTGTTGAAACACCTGAACGGGAAAAACTCAAAGAGGTTTTGATGAGGTTGGAATCAGCCATTCACAGGACTGCTTAGCACTGATCAAATCCGTCAGAGCCTCACACAAACCAAACCACCAGCTTGTAAAGCAGCTCTCCCTTGAGGAAAAGAAACTAAGTCGAGGTGCGCCAGCAAAATGACCTATCTGGAGACTCCTCCTGGAAATTGCCGGGTGTTCCAGCTTTCCAGGTGCTTGAGGCGTTTCAGGCGTTCCGTGTTGGATTTGCGCTACTTGCAGCGTTTTCGGGCGTTTGCGCCGCACATGCTGTTTGCGGCAAGTTGTGGTCGGTTGCGCTGAAAATTGGTGCAAAGCCGCACATTACCAGTAATTTCTAGAAAGAATCTCCAGGCAGACTTCAGGGCCGTGTCCTGCCTAAACCAGATACGCCTCGCGCGTTTACATGTCCCAAGTCTACCCTCCCAGGAAACAAACAAAGATATGTCCAGTGATAGGTTCCCCTTAAAACCAACAGGGGCAAATAGCCGCAAACTACCCTTGAACAAGGGAAGTCACCCCATGTTTCTAGATCGATATGGAAAGCCCGTACACCCAGTGAACATCCCAATCCCAACTAAAATAGACTAAAATAGGTGATGCACCTACCCCAAAATGGTACCAAAACGGTTTTGACCCACAGCCATATCCCTAAGGGTAAATTGAGGGTTTAGGTGTACGATATTCCTTTCAGCCGATGGAACCAGGTAGCTCTTGCCTTTGCCCCCGCGCCTCCTTTGGTGGAGTGCGCACCTCGGATCGCTGATCAGCGACACTGGGAGCTTCTATTTGGTTGAGGCCCAGGACAAAAAAAAACATATTTCCAGCAGTGATGAGTTCCTTTTAAAACCAGCAAGGGGAAATTAACAAAATAGTCTTTTCAGCAAATGGAGGGGGGTGAATGAAAAAAAAAAAAAACATGTGAAGAAGGGGACCCTTTCGTGGACATGTGGGGATTCATGTCCACCACTTTCGAGGTCTGTTCCCTATTCAATTCCACCGCCTGGGCCGAGCTTGGGCCACATCCGCAAATGAGTTGCGGACTCTGATTCATACTAAGAAATGAAGAATGACTTTCCCAAAATGATTCATACCATAGGATTCTGATTCTTACTAGTATTCCTGTATCCCAAAATGACTTTACCGGAAAACCCCACTTAGAGGATCACTAACCCTCACGCCCACTTGTGGCACAGCACTCACCCGTGTGTGTTTAACTTCGGGACTGATGCCAGGAGTCGATGGTCTTTCTCGCTTTAAAACAGCACCTTCGGCTTTGACACACATCATATCACATCATAGTTCACATCCTATGTATATTTTAACTTTGGAAAGCGTTCCCCTTGTTTTGGGAATGTCCGGTCTGCGCAGAGATTCCTCTGCGATTTTCTGTGGGGCAACCCCGTCCTTAGGCCCAAAAAAGAACCTAGACATATTTGCCATCCAAGCTATGTCTCTTTTTTTGGGTAGAGAGCCTGCTTTTGGTTTGCAAGGCAAACCACAGGACACCAACCTTCTGTTTTTCTGTTGGGGGAAGGGCCGACTTTTTTGCCAAATCAATTATGTGCGAGACCGATGCCTGCGTCCGAAACAATTGGTGCTCCAAAAAGAAGACCTACCTGGTGCTTCCAGTTTTCACTTTGTGGGTCTATCTCTTTTTGAGGCTATCCCTGTGGTGGTGGGTTTTAAGAGAAACCACAAGGAACACAACAATTGCTTTTTGTTGTTGTTGTTGTTGTTGTTGTTGTTGTTGTTGTTGTTGTTGTTGTTGTTGTTGTTGTTGTTGTTGTTGTTGTTGTTGTTGTTGTTGTTGTTGTTGTTGTTGTTGTTGTTGTTGTTGTTGTTGTTGTTGTTGTTGTTGTTGTTGTTGTTGTTGTTGTTGTTGTTGAACAATTCTGTAGACAGTGGTCCGCGGTTCATGGCTGTCCTTTTACAAAACCCCAAGTGTTATAGGGTGCTGTGGTGGCTATTGCCCCTGACATTTAACTGCGTGTTGACCAAACGTAGGACAACATACGTTCGCCCAAACGTCAAGTAAAGATCCAGCACATCAGCGATTCGCTCACTGAGCTTTTTTTTGGCAATACCCATATCGCCCAGTTCGTTCCAAGACTCTTGGAGCCAGGGTCCGGCCGCTGGTAGAATGATATCTCTCTCTATATATACCTAGATCTTCTTTGAGAACAATTTCCCAACATTTTCCTTAAAAAGCAAAAAAACGCGCATTGTTGGAAAACACGCTCATTTACCCAAAAAACACACATTTCGGTTCGACCAGCCATGTTCAAAACAAGTTGGTTTTGGGCTTTCCGCCGATTTCCGCGCATTTTCCTCCGATTTCCGCGCATTTTCCGCCGATTTCCGCGCATTTTCCGCCGATTTCCGCGCATTTTCCGCCGATTTCCGCGCATTTCTGGTGGCCAAATTTGCAGGATTTGCCACAAAATGGGTGCGGAACATGAAATTTGCAGTTTCCGCGTAGATTTCGGAAATTCCGCTCAATTGGCAAAATGAGCAAAAATAACGTAATGATCAAAAAAATGTTCCTTTTTGAGGGTCCAGGTATATATATATATATATATATATATATGGGCTTGTATTTTTTTACGGGGGCCGGGCAGGAAGGTTTGAGTGCGGGGTATGATTCGCAGGTGTGATTCGCGGGTATGATTCGGGGTATGGTTCGGGGGTATGATTCGCGGAAGCAGCAGCAGCAGCAGCAGTAGTAGTAGTAGCAGTAGCCGAAGTAGTAGTACTAGTATAATATTGTAGTAGCAATAGTAGTAGTAGTAGTAGTAGTAGTAGTAGTCGTAGTAGTTATTATTATTATTAGTAGTAATATTGCAGTAGTAACAATAGTAGTAGTAGCAGCAGTAGTAGTAGTAGTGGTAGTAAATAGTAGTAGCAGTAGTCGTAGTAGTAGTACTAGTAGTAGTAGTAGTAGTAGTAGCAGTAGTAGTAGTAGTAACAGTAGAAGCAGCGACTGTAGTGGCGCGGAAGCTTTGACAAGACTTGGCGCTGGCCTTGGCAAGGCAAGTTCATTGCGCGGGTATGATTCGGGTATGATTCGCGGGTATGATTCGGCTAGGTGCAAAACGGCAGTGATTACAAACTCAGAATGATGAATGTAGAAGTAGCTGTGGTAGTATTAGTAGTAGCAGGAGTAGTGGTAGTAGTAGTAGTAGTAGTAGCAGTAGCAGTTGCGGAAGTAGTGTAGCAGCTGTAGCATAAGCAGCAGCGGCTGTCTTGGTGCGGACGCTTTGAAACAGACTTGGCACTAGCCTTGGCAGGGGAAGCTCATTGTCCGGGTATGATTCGGGTATGATTCGCGGGTATGATTCGGCTAGGTGCAAAACGGCACTGATTACAGACTCAGAATGATGTATGTAGTAGTAGTGAGTAGTAGCAGCAGCAGCAGCAGCAGGAATAGTAGTAGCAGCAGCAGCAGCAGCAGCAGCAGTAGTAGTAGTAGTAGTAGTAGTAGTAGTAGTAGTAGTAGTAGTAGTCGTAGTAGTAGTAGTAGTAGTAGTAGTAGTAGTAGTAGTAGTAGTAGTAGTAGTAGTAGTAGTAGTAGTAGTAGTAGTAGTAGTAGTAGTAGTAGTAGTAGTAGTAGTTAGTAGTAGTTAGTAGTAGTTAGTAGTAAGGGTAGCAAAAGCCGAAGTAGAAGCAGTAGAGTAGTAGTGTAGTAGCGGTGGTAGTGGTAGTAATACTCGTAGTTGCGGTAGTAGCAGTAGTAGTAATAGTAGTAGCAGACTGTTTGCCTACTTACCCCCTAAAACTCCAAGCCCTGGGCAAGTTAATCTTGTAATTACAGACCTATAGCCCATGTTACCCAAAAAGTTGAAAAGTTGTGTGTTTAAGAGGTAAGCCTAACAGTCACTGGCCCCCATCAGAAAGACCTCTGAGCGCCTGGCATCCTCAAAGCTCGCCGCGAAGGCACTGGACCTGCAAGTCAAGCCGTTGGACGTGACGTCTAGAGAACCAGACTCCATGCCCAGTGGATGTCCATGGGAAAGCAAGGGCATCCTTTTTTTTGCTTGCTTGGGTTGTTGCATTCTTTTCAGTCAGCCTTATCGCCAGCTGCTTCTCCGAGCTGGTTTCTGCACAGATCGCTGCAGCAGTTTGCCCGATCGCTTTGTACAGGTCTTCGGGGCTCAGTTGGCCGGCTTTTTGGACCCTCAAAACTGTCCTCCTCGTTTAAACATAGGAACAATTAGCACGTCATTGACCTAAGGGCGGATGACAAAATCCACCGAAAACCCGGGGCTGAACAGCGGATGACGATGAACAGTTGTGAGTTGCCCAGCTTGTTGGTTCCCCGCCGTTTTTTTTTTGATGGACCTACCGGGTGTTTTCCCTTCCAAGCCAAAAGTCTCAAGGTCAAGGGGAACAATGTCCCCAAAAACAACGGCACCACTGGGGCAACTGGGGCCTCCGTCCCAGAATTCCTTCTTGGGTTGCTGGGGCTACTAGAGCCAAAATTTTCAGAATTGTACCTCTTTGACCATACGGGTGTGTCTTTTTTACAGGACCCCCAAAACATGCTGGTTTTCCGGGTGGTTTAGTCGGCACAGTCTTGGAAAAGACCAGCGCAAATGCTGTCTGCTTCCCTTTGGTTTCCGCACAAAGGCAAAACCGGTACCCAAAAAGAACGCACCAGGCAAGGCGGGACGGCGCTCACCTACAAGAAGGCCCTGGAAAAGACTCAGGGGTGAAAGTAGATAGCACACACAGGGGATGACCAGCCAATCTTCTAGGGGTTGATGGCCCATGCTTTTCCATTGTTCGAAACCAAAAGCCGATCCGTGGTTGTTTTCTAGAAAAAGGACCACTAAAAAGAATGGACATGGAAGATACCCTGGAAATATGCGGTATTGTGCCCTCTCGCCCTGATAATAAAACGGTCCCCCCCCTTAAGAATTTGGCACCCCGGGGAAAAACATGTTTATTGTTCGGGGGTCCCCTGTTCGTTTTGGGAGAACTGTACTCCCGGAGATCAACTTTTAGCAGGGGATCAGGAAACGGACAAAAAAGCGAAACACCTTAAGGAACCACCAAGGGAGAAGCCGCTTCCCAAATAAAACAAGGTAGGCCTTTGGGGGGTGCTGGTTGTTCCCTTTTTCTATATTTGGGGGTTGATCAAAAGGTCCGCAATACATGGGATGACCACTGGTTGGACCACTAAGAACGATATGCCATGATATGCCCATGGGAAAAGTTACCCATGGTCAAAACTGGGGGCCTTTGGGGAATATTGATCAACCCCGGTTTGAAGGGCACCCACCATACTCGCTCCATCGAACGCTCCATCGATTCGATCGCCACATGGCCTTCGCATTGTCTCTCTTGGGGCGCGAGGCCGCCGTGTCTGAGGCGATTCGCGAAGCGCGAAGGGCACATGGAAACGACTGTGCCAAAAAAACGTCTGTGGCTCCGATGTTCATGCTGGGTTGCCTTGAACAAAAACATCAGGTACCCTCAATCCATTGTACCTGACGTGTGGGCCAGTTAAGGTGACGTACTGGGTGGAATTGCCTTATCTTGAGACGCAGCAGCATCGGTGTTTACTCTTTCCTACTTGGTGTCATCAACGCGTCTTTTCTGGGAGGGTACCGTTTATTGGTGGCCGCAAGGGTGAATCGAGGTCCTTTTTTTGAGCACACCAGTGGTCCTGGTTTACCATGGTTGTCTAGTCCCGGAATCCATGACCAGCCCCAGCAACCCTGAGCAGCACAGGTGTTTAAGTGAAGATCCGCAAAGCACAAACCCAAGTGCTATCTCAACTGAAGGGCCGCCCATAGTGGATTCATCACATATGGCTACTTGAGCGGGTCGACTTTTTAAGATCAAGGTTCATTGCAAGGGTCTCAAATCATGTTTTAATGACATAGAGATACTGCCACATACACCTGCTGCCACACATCGAATGATGCATTGAACGGGCCTGAGAAGAAATGCTACCCCAAGCCTTGATAGTCGTTGGTTGGGTGTACTTAAAGACTTAGTGGTTTGTTGACCCTTTACTAAAAGATAAATGTGTTGTCATACATCCGTTTTTCATGCTCCCTTTCTTGAAGGGATCATTCATTCTCCGGTGACAACATCCCTCAGAGACCGCCAGGTTTATGACTCTGGGATGGCGACACTTTTCTGTGCCAAGGAGAGAATCTTCAGACGCCAGTTGCTTGCAAACCAACTCAGAAAGCAACATAACTCCTAGGTCATAGGTACGCAAAAAAGTAAAAATCACAACAACATACGTCTATTTATATGTCAGGCACACACATACTCCAGGGAGAGTGGCTAAGCTAAGCAATACCTCCAATTGCTTAAGCCCCCTGTTTTTTTGTTGTTTTTCATTTTTTTTTATCAGTAGTGATAGATTCCCTTTAAAACCAACAAGGGGGACATTGTACAAACAAAAAAACATGTTCTGAAGCAACTGGAATAATATGGTGGAGCTGTTCACGTGTGTCCCGCCTGGCTCATCGTGCTCTGGCGCCGCATCCGCATGCCTCGCGCTCTCTCTCTCTCTCTCTCTCTCTCTCTCTCTGTCTCTTTCTTTCTCGATCTCTCTGCCAGCAGGCTGCCCTTTTGGAGGCGCCCTGTTGAGGAGTTAGAGTGGGGCTAGGTTTGGAGGTACTTCCTAAGGGTTGTATCAAACCTAGGTCCTCCAGTAGAGAGAATAGAATAAGTTGGTACCAACTGTTTTTCGGTTTTGTCGATTTTAGTAGGGGAACCCTCCCCCAAAAAAAGTTGGTACAAGGGCACTACTGGGGGACCTAGATACGCCTCTGGCGACCTGCAAGACATGGCCGTGAACAGGGTCCCTCCAAACAACGAAGAAATATCATCCACGGCCGCCGCAAGATGCGCCAGAATTGGGGTCTCGTGCCTATGGATCTGGACAACATCAGAAAAAAGAACAGAGAAACGAAGCTATAGACATCCTCCACGAACCGAGAGGTGTTGGTTTTAATTACGATTGGCAAGGCTGACGTGCTGAGTGCCCAGAAATAAACAAGCCTTGTGGGCCGAAAAACAGCATCGAGTCAGAACCGTCTCGAGGAAGGCCCCTCAAGTAGGCAAAGGACCCGTAAACGGCTCATCCATCTGATATCCCAAGCTGACTTGAACAAGCCCAATCTCGGGCAGACCAAATCGACAAGGAGTTCCAAAAGATCGGTTTGGAGCAATGAACCACAACACCAGGGGCCACTTTCATTGATGCAAGTGGATGCGTAAGTTTGAAGAGCAAAGCTGAAGTCAAACCACCTCGGGCCAAATCAAACCACCTCTCTCGTGCCGGGCTCGGGCTATAGGAAGCCACTTGAAGCCCAGCGATCGATGTTTATTGGTCGTGCCGGCTCGGGCCTCCAAGCAGTGAAGCAAGAAAACCCCCAAGTGGCCAGCCAAAAACCTAAGCCTCCATTTGCTTGGGTTCCCGGAGAAAAGAAAAGACAAATGTGTCCAGTAGTGCTAGATTCCCTTTAAAGCCAACAGGGAGGAGTAAAATGCATTCTTAAGCAAATGGAAGTAAGGAATCGGACTGGTTGAACCACCAAGCATACTGTGGATGGACAAAAGCCATCGGGTTGCCTCCATCCCAACCTAAGTTGAACCAGACTGATCGAACCACCGAATCGCTTCCTTTGGGGTCGCAAACAGGACCCCACCGAATCGCTTCCTTCCCTCCATTTGCTTAAGTCCCTGGACAAAAATTAAACAAATATGTCCAGTAGTGATAGATTCCCAAGTGGGAAAGAGTGGAACCTCCAAACATGTCTTCACCTGTGAAACCAACCCGTGAAAATGAAAAACATATTCTTCGGATCGGAAAAAATAAAACAAACAATAAAAACAACAAATAGAACATGAAAAATGGAAAATGACACAACACTTAACCAATTGCACTGTGGTAACTACATCGATTGAGCTGATATGGTGTGAAATATCTGTGATATGGCTTCTTCGCATCGAAAACCCTCCGCCTGCGCCGGAGGAGTCGGAGAGACGCGGGGACTGCGCCGGGCCGGAGGAAGAGGACCTGAGGTTCGATGGGTGGCGCGCGAAGCGGAAAACCCGCCCTAGAGACTCCAGGAGTCTGAAAAAATGGGGTCATGACCCCTTTTTTGGGGTCATGACCCCTTTTTGTGGGTCATGACCCCTTTTTTTGGGTCATGATCACATTTTTTGTGGTTATTTTGGGTCATGACTCTAGGGGTACCTTCGAATTCCATTCTTTTCAGGGAGCTGGTTTTTGAAATGACCCTTTCATTTTGGGTCATGACCCCATTTTTTAAGGTCATGGAGACTCCGGGTAGAAAGAAGAGTGGCCCAACTGACTAGGGGGTCTGGTTTTCACCTTCCCCTCAAAACAACCCGCAATGGGTTGCACTCTGAAAACCGAGGGAAGTACAGGAGGTATGCCGGTTCTACTGTGCATGGGTCCGCGGTGGAAACCATAACGTTTGGCATTTTCAGGCGAATATAATCATTCGGCGTCTCTCAGGTGGTGCGAAATGGATTCCGTCCATCCGCCGTGGGATTTGAGGGTGCAGCCCATGTTCACTTCCGCATGTGGGACACGGTCTGCAAGAGATTCTGCTGCAGAAACGAGTTGCAGACCTTGTGGACCCACTGCTAGGGTCCATCAGCTACAGCAGATGCAAGCCTCCTGCCTATGATGTCTATTCGTCTATGCCAAATCATAGCATATGTTCCCAGACAATCCATGTAGGTAATATATACCAACATTTGACCCATTTGGAGGGTACATGTGGGCATATATTACCTACAAGGAGTACCCCAGGAATGGGGTACACTCTCTGCTTGAAAGAATGGCGTTCGTGCCGGGTTCGAGCTTGAAGTGACATGCCCTCCATTCAAGGATTCAGCAGTTGCTTAAGCCCATGGAAAAAAAAACACACACACACACACACATGTCCACTAGTGATAGATTCCCTTTAAAACCAGCAAGGGAAAATACCAACATGTTCTTAAGCAAATGGATGGGATTGAAGCTTCAGCATGACATCACTCACGAGAAAGGCCAGACGAAGCTGGCCCCAGTATATTTCCATTCTCAATTACGTCACCTCCCGGTAGGTCAAAGGGACACCACCTCCTTCTTTGGACTTTGAGAAAGCCCGAAGTCAGTCAAAAGAATGTCTAGCTTGATTGATGATGACCCCTGTTTCACTGTTGGTGAGTCCGACCTGTTTCAACCCAACCAAACTACAAGTCCAAAGATCCGAACACCCAAATAGCCAATCCCCCCCCCAAATCCGACAAAAACCCGTCAAAACCCGTCAAACACCCGACAAACACCCGACAAAAACCCGACGAAAACCCGTCAAACACCCGACAAAAACCCGACAAAACCCGTCAAACACCCGACAAAAACCCGTCAAACACCCGACAAAAATCCGTCAAACACCCGACGAAAACCCGTCAAACACCCGACAAAAACCCGTCAAACACCCGACAAAAACCCGTCAAACACCCGACAAAAACCCGTCAAACACCCGACAAAAACCCGTCAAACACCCGACAAAAACCCGTCAAACACCCGACAAAAACCCGTCAAACACCCGACGAAAACCCGACAAAACCCGTCAAACACCCGACAAAACCCGACAAAAACCCGTCAAAAACCCGTCAAACACCCGACAAAAACCCGTCAAACACCCGACAAAAACCCGTCAAACACCCGACAAAAACCCGTCAAACACCCGACAAAAACCCGTCAAACACCCGACAAAAACCCGTCAAACACCCGACAAAAACCCGTCAAACACCCGACAAAAACCCGTCAAACACCCGACAACACCCTCCCCACCTAAGGGCTGGGGACATTTGGGGCCCCGATGCCTGGGCTCCCGAGCGTCGCAGGCATCGACTTGCGCTGCACGCGAAGCCGAAAGCCTGGCGAAGCCCAAGGCTTTCCACTGGAACGCAGAGGAAATGAGTAGCTCTGATGAATTCCCATAGCTGAAAGCTATAGGGGGTTCTAACTTCGCATGAGGGGAAAGTGATTTGCGAGATTGATGGGTTGGTGCTAGGGGGCGTGTAGTTTGGGGTGCTGATTGGGTGCTGTTTGAGCTGCTGATGGCAGCGCGGGCGCATCTTTTCAAGATTGACGGTAGGTTGCTAGGGGGCATGCAGTTTGGGGTGCTTGTGCAGATGCTGTTTTGGGGGGTGACGGTGCGCGCGTAATTTTGCATCTTGACGGTGGAGGAAGGGGGGAATGCAGTTTGGGGTGCTGGTGCTGATGGTGCTGTGGGACGCAGTTTGTGGGGAGCTGATTGAGGTGGTGGTGACGGTGCAGGCGCATTTTTGCGATAGTGGCCCTCGGGTGCTATCGGGCATGCAGGTGACGGTGCAGGCGCATGTTTGCATCTTGACGGTAGGGTGCAAGGGGGGCACGCAGCTTAGGTCCTTAGATGGTGGTTTGGGAATTCGTTTGGGGTGCTGTCCGTTTGCTTGATTGACGGCCGGGTTTTGCTTGGGGCGTTCTTCGGGGGGTGCTTTTGGAGGCGCTGGTGTGCAAGCACTGCTATCTGGGGTCTATGCTGGTGTAGTTATGTTTATTATTACTGATATCTACTGTTACTATTATTAGTGTTTAGTATATATATATATACACGTATATGTATCGATATACATATATATATATATATACATATTCATATACATACTTGTTGTGTATGTAGAAATATATATATATATATAAGTACCAGCAGTGCCAAGCGAAAGGCATTGCTTCCCGGGGATAGTTGTAACAATCCAGAACGCCAACTTCATAACTCACTTGAAGGGAACCCCATACAGTGCATACAGAAATGGCACGGGCTCCGACCAGAAAGTGGCTTTTGTCGATTGGTTGGTTCCTGTGGAGCTGTCGCGAAGGCGGTCCATGTTTGCAGGGGTGCCCTGCTGGGAGGGCGCTCTTTCTGGGGGTTGATGAAGCGTTCTTTTTCTTGAGCTCTGAGTGGGCGCCGGTGTGACGCCATCAGATACAATCGACCCTTAGAACACACTCACACACCACCAGTGGAAGATTTGGGGGGGGGGGGGGGTAGATGACAAGTTCTAGAATCCAACCGAAAACATGAAACTCTGGATCATTTGCACAGAGGTGTCCCTTTTCGGAGCACACAGTTCGGCATGACGTCAGTGACATCTTCTTTGGTGGCCCTTTGGTGCACATCCTATGGGGATTTATGCCCACCCATCTCTGAAGGGGTTCCATATTCTCGATTGATCATTCGGTTTGTCTCGTTTGAGATCCAAGCTAGGCTGATCGCTTTTCTTCTGAGATCCTCTTGAGGGCAATGGCGCAGCATGTCAGTCAAAACGAATCTACCTCACAAGTGGGCCTACGTCCGTTGCGTGGATGTCTTTGTCGCCCTTTCTGGAAAGGTCGTAGTTCGTTTGTCAAAGGATGTCAAAGGACCAAAACTAAAACTGGTTCCTTTTCTTTAGGATTGCCCTGAGAAGACACCAAACAAGTACATTGGTAGGTCGTCTGTTTTGAGTTGGTACGCCAATTTTCTGGGCGAGTTTCAAAGGGAAACCAGAAGGAACACTACTACTTGTTGGGTCCAAATCCAAAAGAAAGACGAACCACCCACATGATTTTTGAGCTGTCACCCCGGTTTCGTGGGAAAGAACACGGTTACCTCTCCAAACCAGTAGACCAAACCAAGCAGTTTTTGTGAGCAAATTTGTCGACCAAACAGGGGGACCCAAACTGAATGGTTCCCTTCGGGTTTCCCTTGTGCCCAGCCCTAGAGGCCTATCCTCTTTCTCCAATCTATTTTCATATCTTTTATTGATAGAAATAGATGGATAAAGGGAACCCCCAAAAAAGAACAGGGACCCTCCAACCTCCCCCTCTCCACCTCCCAGCTCCCACCTCCCCCACCCACCTCCCACCTCCTCCCCCATCCAAACACAAACAAAACACCGAACCAAAGCCAAGCCCACGAGCTCGGAAATCTGCCTGCCGTGGTTGCGAACTCCTCCCACTTCTTGGGAAACCTGAAGTAAGCAAGGAGAAAAATTATGAGGAAAACACGGGAAACATATATGGGCTCAGATGCCCAGTGGATTTCCATGGTAAAAAAGGCCAGCCTTTATTGGTTGACTTTAAAGGGAACCCTCCCAACAAAAAAAGAAAAAAAGAGCACCACTGGGCAACTGGGTGGGGGTTGATCAATATTCCCTTCGGCCACACCATGACCATGGACACCTTTCCCATTTAGTGGTTGATTGTCATCTTCCAAGGTGCATTTCCTAATGGTCACCCCATGTAAAGGACCTGTGATCAACCCCCAGATCTCACTTGCCGAAAGGACCCAGAAGTCAACAGTCAACCTTTTGGGACCTTGACTAAACATTGACCAACACAACCACAAGGTCAGATCCGGTCGATTCGCTTTGGGCAAAGTGAGGTTTCCTTTCACACTCCACAAGGGGTGCCTCCCTCAAGCTGGAACATGGGCCGGGAATGGCCCCTGAATTTCGGGGCATCCCAATTTTGAAGGGTAGGTTGAGGCCGGGACCCCTTTTTGAAAGCTTGACGCTTGGGAAGCGAGCCAAACCATTCTATCCAGCAGATAGAGATGGAATCTTGAAGAAACCAAACGAAATCAAAGGGGTGACAAAAAACAAAGTGATTCTTTTTGGTGGTTCCCCAAGAAGCTGTCAGCCCTCTGAATCAAAGATATTCCAATCTATCACGTAGCCATGGCACATCTCTGTACAATGGCTGCAAACATCCAAGATGCAAAATCATGGAACCAGCTAAAGGAACTTCTGCAGGAAGAAATGGCTACCCACCAACCCCAGCATTCCCAGAAATGTAGATTTCCCCAAGGCAAAATCATAAACACAAAAAAGCGGAACCAGCGAAATTCTGGGCGACATACCCATCCTCTGATGCCCTCGGCTCTGACATTCATGGGACACCCCCCCCAACAGTTTTGAGGCCCTCTTAAACATGTGGGGTTTTCCCACCAAAAACACTTGATGTCTCTGAAGAACCTACACAAGCAAGGGCTGTAAGTTGCCCTGGTAGCAAGCTCATGTGCTCCGGCTTGCATCCTAAACTTACTTCTCGGATTTGTGTCCAAAGTTCTCGCTTGACTCGATTTTCCCCCCACAAAAAGTAACTATAAGCTCCAGCGCGCGAATCGGAAATGAAACGCCTTTATCGCCTCACATGCTCCACCCCGCCCCTCAATCTCCTGGGTGTTCGTGCGTTTTCTTTTTCCCCCCCCTTCTATTTTCCCCCGCGGGAACCCCGTTTTTGGTGGTATTGACCGGACACCGCTGCGCAACTGTTGGGGGGTCCAATCTCTCAAAGACGGCCATATAATCGGGGAATTAAAAAAAAAAAAAAAAACGGGGAGGCACCGAGCGACCGACCGAGCGACCGGTTGGGCTCGCTCTGGGGGTTCCGGCTTCTCGATCTCCAACCAAGCCTCCTGGAAGGCATCCAGGAAGTTGGCCTCGGCTGCAGCTGGGGTCCTTTCGCCCGGGGCACCGAGAAACCGATGATGCTATATGGCCATGGGAGCCATTGGGAGTCTGAATACACAAGGCTATATGGCTCTCAATGCTATATGGTTATACGGCCATGGGCTTTTCAAAATCCAAATCGGTTAGCCCCCAGTGAACATCCGATTCAATCCAACCACTAAAATAGGAAACCTAAAATGGGTGGCGAATTCACCTACCCCGAAATGGGATCCCATTGGTTTTGACCCACAGCCATATTGGATATATTGGGTACAAATGTAGTAAAGGTTGTTGCAAAGGTCATGTTTGTTTATCAAGGGTATAACAGATATACATGTTATAATGATTGTACAGGTTTACGGCTATTTGCCCCGCTGGTTTGGTTTGATTCTGCTACCATGGTTATAAAGGCTAGATGTCTCTCTGTCAGCCAATGTTGAGACACCCGTTGCCCCTTGTCGAAATTCCAAGAATACTCCAACATACCTTTTGAGCGGGAACCCCGATTCCTGGCGCACAACATCCACTTCACACCAGTTGGTATTGGTGTATTCATACTGTGGATGGACGAAATCCTGCACCACCTAAGAAACCATGGGGAAACCATTGTTTGTTGGTATTTACATTGGAATCATCATTCCAGGGTTTCTTCCGTGGCGCAGGATTTGGTCCATCCGCAGTAGGACTTCCATCTCAACTGGTGCGGACTAACTCTTGTCCGCCGTCAAACTCCTCACACGTCGTGAAACAACAAGCACAATGTTGACCCAGGATCTAAGTACACCCGTCCCATCCTTTGGGGGTGTTCCCTCCAAAAGTGGTCTGAATCCCTACTAAAAGGGGACACCCCCTATAAAACAACCAGGGTGTTTTTAATCCAGGGTTAACATTAACCTTGGGAATCTTAGCCAACTTGGACCATACACTCTTGAGTGAAAGATTGCACCATCTCCTAGTTATCTTTACCCACATGAAGGAAGTACTCTCATCTCGCAACTGGAAATCCCGACGGCCCCTGGCTGTACATCATTTCCCATTAACCAACTCAAACCATTTTAGCATGGCTACCCGCAAAGCACTACCCCCAGTGAATAAAGGGACATACAACCACTACATAGCCACTATACAAAGGGTATACACACCATTTGCCCCTAGTGGCTTGAGGCTAGAAACCATCTAGCAATATAAAGGGATGCACCATTTGCCCCTGCGGGTGGTTTGAGTGGAAACCATCTTACAAGCAGGGGGTTTGGAGCTCCCCCTCTCTCTAGGAATGGAAATCTGAGTCCCCTGAAAATGGTTTGATGCTGGAAACCATCTTACATCCAGACCCCTTCCCCACGGAAATCCGAAAGGTCAAACCTTTTCCCTAGCGTTCAACCCCCGTTACAAAAATGGCAAGGACCCAATTAAAAGATGACAATCCTTACATAAACCATGGAGGTTGTCGCACCCTCGGGTTGTCAATTGGTACACAAAATGGCTCACACAAGGGCACTTCAGGAACAAATGGACCACCCTTGGGAGGTGGTATGAACCCCCCTTTGTCTTAATGGTTTAAACCCCTCAAAGAATGGTTGAACATCGATTCTGAGGATGACAATCCTGAAACCATGGTGGCTTTATGAAACCCCCTTTGTTTTCATGGAATTTGGATGATGACAATTTGTAGGTAAACCATGGTGGCAAACTGAGCCCCCCCTTTGTTTTCACGGTGGCCGACCGAACCCCAAGGAGTTCCCCGGGCGAGCGGCGATGTGCTGGAAAAATGCTTCGCTCGGAGGCAGCTTCTCCTGGCACACGAGCGCTGGGGGGAGCAGAGAAATGCCCCACAAACTCGTGGAACGGAGACGTATACACGAATAAATCTATATATATATATATATGTTTAGATAGATAAATGTATACATATATGTATGTATATGTTTATGATGTAATATACATATATATATACGTGTATACATATGTACATGTGTGCTTCATAGATGTATCCCATATATAAATGCAAAGCCACTACTTGAACAGTTGAAAGATTAATCATATGGACCCTGCAAAGCTCCAGATGTGATACCTGGCCGTTGCAGAGTTGCCACAGCCCCAGTTGCCAGCTTCCGCGTCCACGCAGAAAACACAATTGAGAACTTCGATCTTGTACCTGGATAGCCTTTATTGACAAGGCTTGCTTTCTGGGGTCGTGTTGTCTTGGTGGTAGACACTCTTCGAACAAGGTCTACAGTTACTTGAGGAACAAAGAATGTGCTGGGCACTACACGCCGAGTTGCTTTCAATTGGCGAGGCGCACACTCAATACTGACCCCGGCCCTGTGGGAAACACAACTGCGACAGCGATGTGTGTATACATACATGTGTGTACATATATATACACATGCATCGTATATATATATATATACACATGCAAAACATGTTTACATGCATAGTATGTATTATACATGCATCATAAGTATATTGACCTCACATGCACAAGTTCCAAGAATAGGCTTGTCGACTTCTTGGAGCAAAGGCTGAACACGAGAACTGGGGGAGAAAAACAACAGAGGGGTCTAAACAGGGATCCTTACATTATACACCTGAACATTGCAACTTGTAAATTGTGGTTTCCAACTTGATTTTGGTGTGGAAAAAGCCATGTTTCAAATGGTTGCAAAATGAAGATCCAGTCTCCGCTTTCGAAGCGAGAGAGGGACCCCAACCCAGGTCCATCCCAGACACATGGTTGAATGTTCTCCAGACCGGGCCCGGTTCGCGAACGCAACATGCAATGAATGGACCCACAGGCTCAAGCATATCCCGCTTCTGCCGACTTTTTGTGGATATATGACTAGGTCCTCCAGTAGGAAGGTTAGAATAAGGGTACCCTTTTTGCTGTAGTCTATTTTAGTAGGGGAACCCCTGTGGGTAAAAGGGCAGTACTGGAACACCTAGATGAACATGTTGCTTTTATTCTGTCGACGTGTTTTACAGCACCCCAATTCCATCCTTTGGACTTACAGTGCTTCCTATACTCCCCTCACGTCGCCACAAGGAAACTCCCAAAAAAATAGCCCAACACGATCCAGCCCCCTGCAAAAAGATATCAGTTTGCCGCGTGAAAGGGAACATGATGGAAAGCCAAGAAGGCAAGAAGTAAAAAGCGCAAGCCTAAGCCAACAAAAGGTGACGTGTCCAACCGCCAGGAGAAAACTCCATGCCGTCTTCAGTATTGGCGCCAGAAAGCTACAAAGCACTTGTCAACATCCAGCTGGCCTTACACGTCGAAGCAAAGGGAGAAGTTTCGCGGGACCGCCGAGTGCAAAGTTGAGGAAAAAAAACAGCAAAAAAGTTGACTTCGCTTTGGACAAATGAGGCAAGGGGAAGACAAAAGGACCCCCTTGCCATAGGAGATCCCGATTTTGACGAGCGACCCCCAGGTCCCTAAGGGGATCCGTTTTGGGGAAGGTTCAGTAGCAATACCTGAGTCATCAAGACCCAGTCCTGGAACTTTGACTTTACCACTAAAATGGTGCAGGCGCCTTCCCAAAAAGTGACTCCTGTCCAACGCAGGGAGTGAGTTCAAACCTACCCCGTTCCCATCCATCCCTTCATTTCCCCCGCTAAGCTGATTGCTAAGATTCCGCTCGACTCGTCTCGCGGTGTGTTTTGGGCTCCCCGGCCGTTTTCTGCGAAATGGAAAAGAACTTCTGCGTCTCGAGGCACGCGGCGAAGGCCTTGGCTTGGGGAACAGGGGGACCCCTTAGACTGGGGAGGGATGGTGGTTCTGTTTGGTGTTCCTTTAAAACCCTACCCTAAAAAGGGAATTCTCAAAAAAAGACCTTGTAATCAAGTATGCTTCTTATACTTGGGGTCTCCTTCATCTGGCCCAAAAGCCGGTTTGCTCCTTTTTGCTGAGCTGAACCTTCCGTGGAATAGATCGCAGGCATCACAGATCTCGTTTGTTCGTTGATCTGATCCAGAGGCTCAAATCCGATCCGATCCAACAGGTGACGGAAGTGGCCTGAGCACCAAACTTCGCCAGCGCCACCAAAGACTCCCCGCCGGCCGCGGCGATGCGATGCCCGCGACTTCTTTTTTCTGGGGCCGCGGCCTCGTCACCCACCTTCCGCAGCTGAACCTTCTCCTCAGACCACCTCAGGTGTCGCGAACTGGGGAAGTAGAAAAAGCCCCAAAACGGGCGCATTGACCTTGACTATGAGCCAAGAGAAGCGACATGCAAGGCCAAGGAACGTTGACCGAGCTTGGTTGACATGGGTTTCCCCCAGAGGGGCATGTCTGGAAGCACGTTGCCAAACTGGGATCCCTTTAGCTTACAACCAGGGTAATGCTCCAATATGCTGCTAAGAGTCACCTCAACAGCAGGAGTCCCTACATGGGTACGTGCCTGTTTGAGAGTAGCCTTTTAGTTGCAGGATGTTTGGCGCATCGCCGCAAGGACCATGTTTCGCACCAGGTGCTTCATTGTGTATGATACGATAACAATTGATTTGGGATATATCACGAAGACACTTCTCACTTGCTGAGATTGGCTAAAAAAGGTTCGAGCTTGCTTTTGTTTTCTACTATAATTGTCCTCCCAAACAACATGCAGTCCAGACACTCAGGGGGGTTGCTGGATTCCCTGATTTTTTTTCGTGGCAATTGGAACTCCGAACAACGGATCCTTCAAGTGATTCGGCACATAGCTCTGAGCTGCCGGCTCCTCCATCAACTTGAGGAGTTCCTGGCAGTTGCGAACCTCTCAGAAAAAGACAAACACCAACTGTGCAATTGTTGTTTTTTGTGTTTCTTCCTGAGCCGCCTTTTGGTCGGCTCTGAGGGAAATTCAGCATATATGTATATATATATATATGGTCACACACACCCCATAAACTACCTGTATTATATATATATATATATATATTGGCCCCCTTTTGTTGGGAGTTGTGCTACGAAACTTTCAATGAACGACACCCATTTCGGGGGGGGCCTGAGTTTGAGAAATAAACCCATCATGTACCCGACAAAACACCCCGCGGGAGGGCCTCTTTGCCACTACCTTGCGGCTTATGCTTGTCTTTTGCCACCCAAAGAAGGGTTTACCGTTTAACATGTGCACTTTTGCACAGCACCCCCATTCATGCCATGTATAGATGCATGGAAGATTGGTGGAAAGACGACTCTACTCTGGTTTGGACTTCACACAGACCCCCCAAAAAAGAACAGGTCTTGGGCTTGGAACTTTCGGGAGACCTTTTTCGGGGCTCTCACTGAGTACTGTGGGGCGCCCAGTCACTACTTCGGAGCGCAGGAGCTATTTGCACTCGGCGGAAAGGGAGAGAAACGGTCCCATCTCTCAATGTCTCTCCTAAAGGGCCACTTGTTGCCAGCTTGTTCCGGCAGAACCTTTAGGGAATCCTGATCTGTCCGAAAGGTAGATACAATGAACAGCGATACAATGAAAGGTAGATACAATGACCTTTAGGGAACCCTGATCGGAAAACAAAGCACCCCAACAGTTTGTCTTCTGCTTGAATTCACAGATGTTGATTTCAGTTTCTGGGGACCCTCCCGCCGGCTTGTTCGACCTGCTTTCCGGCCCACGAATCCACCAAAACTCTGGGACGCCGAGAATGCAAGTCCAAATTATGTGTTTCACACAATTGAAGCCGGGTGAAACCTGCTCTTTGGACTTACCAGTTGTTTATGCACTTGGCCAAAGTCCAGAAACGGTAAATTCGAAGTTGTCAACGGCTAATATGAATTCGAGCAACAAAACGGACCCCAAGTGTTCGCCTTGCACTGCATGAAAGGGGACCTGCGAGTTGGTTGTTGCGGTTGTTGTTTCCTTGCCTGTAAACAAACAGTCGTGGGTAGCAGGGAAATAAAGGTTGGGTAAATTAAAGACTGCAGCCGCCTTAAGAATGTTCTTTTGGAACGGAGACAAACATCAAGCAGTCATTTTGTGGGCCTGTTCATGTTTGGACTCTTGTGCTAGAGTTTGTTGGTGCTTAAAGCTTGAGGTTGCGCAATCAACCTAGTGACGTTGCCTTTCTTTCCAGTGAAACACGTCAACTGCAGCGAGACCAACTGGACTTCGCCTCTCGGCCGGTGGGCGCTGCCTGGCATGCGAGAGTGGACTGGCCAGAACAGAGCCACCTGGGACTTTGTGTTTGCCACTAAAGTCCTAAGGGTACCTTCCCCATTCTTTCCAGGGATCCTTTTTTCTAGAAAACCTCCGGAAACCCAGGAAAAACATGGGGAATCAACCCTAGAAAAGTGGTAACCAAACCCGAAAAGTGACTGAGTTAGTAAACTCCTGAGAAAAACTTGCTGGTGCGATGAGTAGGGAATGCGTTGGAATGAACCGTTTGGGGAATCCCTCAAAGCAATTCATGCATGGGGATGGTTGACACGGTTGATAGGGGTCATTCCATTTCTCGTTCCCTGCTGAGCACCAGCAAGAAAATTCCTTTCTTATTTGCCACTACTGCTACGGTCTTAGTAAGTCCTGGGAGTGGGGAGTGGGAGCTCCCTGCCGAGGATTCATAGCCTCTTTTGAGCGGCCGAGCAAAAAAATCCACCCCAAAACAGCTCAAAAGGGGAAAAACGATCCCGGTGTTAAGCTTGCACACAGGGCGTCCCAACATGTGGAGAATGGATCATGGCATTCAGGCGACCTATTCTGGCGCAGTTGCAAAGCTACCAGAATCTAAGGGATGGCAATTCACCCAAAATGGCAACTGTAAACGGGTACTGCAGGTGCAAATGGGTTTGTCAATTTCTTTGAGTCGACTTTCTGTTTGTGGGAAAGGGGAGTCTTAAAGGAAACCTGTCTGCGCCGGTTTTTCAATTTGTTCGAGTCGCCTTTTTTGTGTGCGAAAGCGGAGGTTTACAGGCAAACCTTCGTGCGCCATTTTGCGGCGTCCGAATCCTTGAAAACGAGCCACATTCCGATGGCTTTCTGGAAGGCTCGAGGCGGCCCGTCCAAAAAATACCAAGAGCACACATCGTTGGCGATTGCCTCCACAAGCGTCGTTACTTATTTGCTGCTTGGAGGAACCACAGACACACACACACACACACACACACACACGTGCCCTCAAAGCTGAGGCTTTAGATCCAACCAAACAACAGTCAAGCAAAGGAAGGGCTGCCGTGGATTGCTTGTGCATCTACACACTACAATGTCCAGCTTCTCTTCCTCTACATTCGGACCCGCAGAAAACGCTGGCTTGTGGGAAATAACGTGGATCCCCCAAGAAAAGGAGAACCAGACGAGCAGCCAAGCCTTTTGCTGGTTGCAGGATTTCCCGAGCTGGCAAAGCTATGGCAGATTCGGAGAAAGCAGAAGCTGCAAGTGGGAACACACCTGCTCAAAGTGCTCGGCCAAGATCAGACAACTTCGTTGGATCCCCAATTCCTTCCCCCAAATTCATCCAAGGAAGGAGGCCACGCGTCCGTGCCGTCACAAGTGAAATGATTCAAGACTGTCACGGTTCAGCTGCGGATGCACGAACTGGGAGGCTTGCCACCGCACTGCTGTACATGGTGACGCAGGCGGCCAGAAGCCGCGGTGGATGGACAAAATCCTTTAGTTGGTAGGTGGTTCATACCAGTATTCCTAGGGCTAGGCAGAAAGCAAGGCAAAGAAATTCGGGGCCAGTGACGGCAACTGGGCATTTGACACAAAGAGCCTGGCGTCGAATGAGTGAAACATGCCTTGCGTGAATGAGTTTGGGATCAACTCACTAGCTCAGTGCATTGGCCATAAAGTCCAAACTTGCTATTTACCACTACAACGGTCTGCCCAGAAAGTGACAAAAGTCCACGAAATCAGGGAGTGAGATTAGCTCTATAATATCCCTGGGGTTCCAAAGGCGGTTTATTTTGCATGTTTTCTGTGAAAGGCGGTTGTTTGCCAGGAGTAGCTTTGTCCAAGCTCAGCTGATATCATTGAACAATTCGGGCGCCGCGCGTGCTCAGGACCAAAGTGTGCAAAGACTTGACCTCCGTTCCCACAAAACAAGCGGAGGGATTATCAAAGGACAGGCTGAAACACATAGATTCACCGGTGTCAAAATTCACGGCAGAAAACGTGCTTTCACGCTGGAAAACAGGCTTTCACGCCAATTTCACGGTATTTTCACGGTGATTTCACGCTACTTTTGCGTACATCACGGACCGCTATGTTCACACCAAAATTGTTGTGTCAAGACATGGCAACAGCATGAATAATCCATCAAATACCACGCCATGGCTCACTGCAGGCGCAAAAAACAGGCTTTAGCTGCAAAAAACAGGCGAGGTGCAAAGGACGTTTAAAAAAACAGTCGTGGATTTCCAGGGATATGGAGTCCCACAAACGAATATAAAGTCCAACAACTCAGGCGTGAGTCAAACAAAACTTTTCGGGCAGATGATCAAAACCAAATCTCTTCGCCAATGTCGCCGGCACTCTTCGAAATCCCGTCTGCCTCTCCCTCCGGCTCCAAAAGCATCTTCAACTGGCAGGGAGACAGCGTGGCTCGTTGCGACACGTGTAACCAAAACCAATGTGATCCCCCAACCCCCCACCCCCAAACAAAAAAAGGTGGTTTTCCTTTCGGCTTCCCTTGAAAACCACCAACAAGGCCACCAACTGAAAACGCAAAGGACACGCCCATGCTGAAGGGGGGCAACAATTCATTGGTCCACTCACGTTGACCCCGGACTCATCAACCTGACTAATCGGGGGCAATGTGATATTGTCAGCTCCGCTGGTAATAGCAAACCCTCAGCCTCACATCATGCGCACCGTTTGAGCTGGGAGATTTGTATCCAAACGCAGTGACCTCCCGAAGTCAAAATGACCTCAGAGAAAGATCCGCACCGCTGGACACGACCTGGTGCTTGGTGGAATTGCAGTGGCAAGAGAAAGGGCACCCTTTGGCGAATGGGCCCAAGCGTGTTATCCCTCCAACAATAAACACATACTTAACAAAAGCCCACGTGACCCCCTGGAACCCGCCGGAACCGTCCTGAAAGCTGCCCCACACCACCCCAGAGCCAATCTGGGCAGAAACCCCATAGCGACCAGCGTTTCGGAAAAACACAACATGCCCTACTGGTGGTCATGAACATGAACCACCTTCCCTCGAGAGGACTGGTTTGGGCGGCAGCATCTGCCAGGGCTCCCGAAATCACTTTGCAACCCAGCCACAAGATAACTCACTTGAACAAAAGCCAGACAGGTCATGTTGAACTCAACCCTGCGGGAAAAAAATAATATGCGCTTATATTAAAACATAACATGTTAGAAGACATGTCTCTTACATGCATTTCGGTTTTCCTCTTGATTTCCCTAAAAACCCAACCTAAACCGGGTAAGCTGACACCACCCTTGGGGCCATGCCAATGTGGCCATGGGTCAAAATCCAAATCGTACCCCCAGTGAACATCCAAATCCAACCACTATAATAGGTTCTAAAATGGGTGGTGAATTCACCTACCGACCAAAATGGGATCCAAAACGGTTTTGACGACAACAGCCATATGTAGTCTACCCCCCAAAAAAATGTCCAGTGGTTTTAAAACGGGTGGTGAATTCACCTACCAACCAAAATGGGATCAACCACAACGGTTTTGACCACCACAGCCATGAATGAGCCTGCTGCTCCGCCATGTCCACATCCTTGCCAAAAGCCTGGCGCTCGCCGTTTTCAGCTTGTCCCCGGCCGAGGAAATCGGGGAGTTCCTAATGGCCATGATTTTTAAGAGTTGGAACCACCTCAAAAGTGATTGGTGGACGTAAATCCCCACCTACGGACCTACATGATGTCCACCAAAAGGTCCTTTTTGTTTTTCTTTATGCCCTAATGAGAGGGGCGGGGGTTGGGGTCTCAAGTGGCTCAAGTCGATTTGGTCTTTGGTCAAAAAATAGGGCAACCCCCAACATGGGTTGCCCTAGTAACACGGAAACACGGACTGAAAATTGTGGTCCCCTGGCTAAGTTTGACCCATATCCATTTCACCGTTTCTCAGTGAGTCCAGCCCGGGAAGTGAGCAGCAAGTCTTTCGCTCACTCCTGTGACCCAGAAATGAAAGGTGATCACCTGAGGCCCAAGCGACTCACGCTGGTTCTGGGGTATCTGGCAAAGTCGCAACCAGAAAGGTCTTTTTCGCCCGGACGCCGTGCTTTCGCGAGTCTGATACTAAAACAAAAAACACCCCCCCCCCCTCGGTACCCCCGCAAACAACTGTTCTTGACCATGTCCAAACTCCCAGGTGCGCAGCGGCTGAGTGGCCACGGTCTTTTCGAGCCAGGCAGTGCCAACTTGCCCAGACATAGATTTGGAAGCCTGACCCATTTGAGTCCTCCCCGAACAAAACGGGAAGCAAACTTGGGTAAGATTTCCATGTGTCAAACGCCCGGTGGTTGAAACCAACCCCGGAAAGGTTCCCCTCCAAGGACACCCAGTGCTTCTGGTGACCAATAATAGGTATTGGATAGGGAAAACCATCATCAAAACCTAGAGGAAAACATACTATGTGCGCTACGTACTATAGTGGCCCATTTGCTTCAACTTGTTTCAACTTGTTTCAGGCTTTTCGAGCGAAACGATCGGAAGTAGAAATATGTACACATATATATGTATATATATATATATATAACCCACCTAATTTTCTCTTTGGCTTCCCTTTTAAATTCCGAGAAGGGGGCAGACAGACACAGCACCTCCGGAGTTTTTTGGGAGCTCTAGCCCTCTCCCCACTCCGTGTTTTGCAACCTTTGTCCGCATCTTCCATCCAAATGGGTCAAACGTTGGTGAGTGTTATATATATATAATGTTTCTACAAATTATTTCCTACATGGCTGTGGGTCAAAACCAATGGTACCATTTTGGGGTAGGTGTATTCACTACCCATTTTAGAACCTATTTTAGTGGTTGGATTGGTTGATGTTCACGGGGGGGCTAACCGATTTGGATTTTGACCCATGGCCACTGGGTCTAGTGGAAGGCCATGGTGGCACCAAGCACTCCGCAGCTTCGCCTCGATGGAGGATCTCAGCGTCGCAGACTTCTCCTTGGCCGCCTGGCGATGCGTTAAACTCCCGCTCGAGAAGACGCCGCAGCCGAACAGGAAACTCACATGGCTGAATAAACTGGCACCCACTTTTTGGCCCCTTCCTTGGATGGAAACACTAACAAAAACAACACCTGCGCAACCCCAGCTTTTCAAGTTTGAGGCTCAAGATTGAAGACCTGGGGCTACGCAGGGGAGCACTTGAGGAGCACTTGCAACGGCTGTGGGTCAAAACCAATAGGATCCATTTTGGGGAAGGTGAATTCACCACCCATATTTGTCTATTCAGGTGTGGCTCAGAATTAAAGAGCTGGGGTTACGCAGGTTTTCGGTGTTGGTTCAATTTACCAAGTCACCATGTTGGTACATGTTTTTGAGCCACGCCGATCGGCAGAGATTAGTTCAACCATTGGGGTTCAGGCAGGCCACCATTAAAAACAAAGGGGTTCATAGAACCACCATTGTTTACCTGAGGATTGTCATCATCCAAATTGGGTCCTTTCCATTCTTTTAATGGGGGGTGAACCCTAGGGCATCGGGCTTCATCCGTGCCAATTGGTCCGGGAGTCGTTCCATCTAATTACTGTATTTCCCCTTCAAACATCACCCTTCCAAAAGGACACTCCATCGACATTCGCCCAACACAAAACACACACTGAAAAAATGACTGCAGCATGACCAGATTCAAGCGGAACTATATATAATGGCCTTCTATTGATGGAACCCCTACGTTTTGAGAATTGCCCTCTGGTTTGCCTTTGAAACACAAAAAAAGTACGAAAAAGGACACAGGTTCCGTTGCTACATCACGCAAAGCCAAACATGATCGGCAATAGCAAGCGGGACCGCCCTGATTCACCTATTTTAGTAGCAGGTGTTGGCTGTCTCATTTAGCTTGCCTAGGAAGATGTACGGGTGATTGGTGATTTGCAATGCCCCAACAAGCGAACCGGCGGCAAAATGACCCACCTCGTGCACGCTCGTCAGGGACGCCTTGAGAGCCTGATCCAGGTTTGACGAACTTTGGAGAACATGATCCAGGACCAAACAATGCCGTTCAATGTTGCCTCAGTTGTTCAGTGACCCTGGGAAAAAAGGGAACCCTTTTTGGGCAAACCATTTTTAGTGGGGCAGCCACCACAAAAAGAGGGAAAAAGGGTGCCTCTGAACAACCGAGCTCAACCTGAAATTACAAGAATGGAATCATAATGTTGATGGGATGCTATAACAATTCACCAAGCGATTCTTGTCACTTCAACCTGACATCACCTCAAAAGGAATCGAAATCTCAAGCCAGCACCTTTGTTGGGTTGGAACTTGCACGGCAAGTCGGAGATGCTGCCTAGATGGTGTTTCTGAAAATAGGGTTCCTCGGCACTTGGTTCCCTGCTTCTTCAAATGTGCACAAAGTCCCAAACATACCACCTAAAGCAAAACACACCCATATTAGGCAGCCATATTGGGGATGGACGGCCAAGAAAAAGGCAAGCACATCTCCCACGCAAAACACGACCGTGGGTATCTTTCCAGAAAACAAAACAACTTGAATGCAAATGGTGAATGCTTTTTGTTCAGTGCAATCCATCTTCAAGCAAGGGCACCAAAGAAACAGAATATGTCTTGTCTGTTCCTGGTCCAGACTTAGGTTTGTCTCAAAATCAGAGGACCTCCAAACAGGTTGGTTTCTCGTTGGTTTCCTGTTTAAACCAAGCACCCGGGTCCCCCAGGGGGAATCTCAGTGCTTTTTCCCCATGTCTCTCAAATGCTCCGTAGAGAGCTCTCCCACTGTAGTTTTGGTGACCAACATGGAACTATTTCGTATTCACCTTTTGGCTTCCCGAAAAAAGACCCACCCCCAAGTTCGCTCGCCTTCCGGAGCCTTCAAAAGCTCAAGCTCTCGGGGCCCCAAACAAAATGCGCCCAGCGCGGCTTCCGCTGGAGCCGCTCGCCTGCAAGAAGTCAGGATCCTTGGAGCCCATGGAGAGGGCCAAAAAGTGCATCGTGGACACCTGAGCCACGCGGCCAGGTTTAAGCAACGCGGGTGCGGCAGAAATGACTCTAGGAAACGGCTTGGAGGCGTTTTTTGTGGATCCACCCGTGTAGGATAGCAAGAGAGAGTACTGAAAGAGTATTAAAAGAGGAACAACTAGCCAAACAACATGGGGAAACCACACAAAGCGCATCCAATCCGTTTGCTGGAAACGAGCTTCAAGGGGCGGGGGTCAGTGGTATCAATTGGGCTAAGAGGTTTACACCAGCGCCGCAATGCCCAACAGTTCTGCTTTGTGCACAGCTGTTGGGAAAACAAGTGATGTTCTGGCTCTTGGCATAATCCCTGCTGAAAACCAGGAAGAACTCGGACAGCACACATTCCCAAGAGGGGATGGCTGTTTTGTTCATGGCCAGAAACAGAAATTCACGAGTAGGATTGGCTTTCACAATAGAGGGAAGGGTTTTAATATCATAGATTAGGAGACCTAAGTCTCGGGACCAGCCCCCTTTGGGATTTAGTTGTCTTTTCTTTTCTTTCTTTTTTTCTGGGAAGGAACTAAATACACAGTATGGCTGCCTAATATGTATGCATATATATATATATATGTGTTGTTTTTAGATGGTATGTAGTTTTACAGGGTAACGAAAGAACAAAATTGAGACAAACCCCATATGAGGCGAGGCTTGGTGAGTTGTTTCCTGATTCAGATGTATTTCAGTGGCACTTTGTGTGTTGCTTTTTTGTTTGGTGGGTTCCGCGCTAAAGATGAGCCCGGAAACAGAAGAAAAGTAAAAACCGTCAATTTTGGAGGTTCCCCTATATTCAGTTGTTCAGTGGCACCTGTTTCGTTTTTTGTTTGGTGGGTTCCGCACTAAAGATCATGAGCCCGGGAAAAAACAAAAAAAAACAGCCACCAATCCACAGAAGTTTTCCCACCTTGTTTCTTGTTCTGATTTGTCTTACTTTTTTGTTGGAAGGAAACAAACAAAAAAAACATGGGGGTTGAGGGAGAGGGGTGCAAGAGGAGGAAAAACCTCACATAAAATCAACAAAAAAAATGAAAATAACAAAAAAAACAAAAACTACGAACATGGCCTTGGAGGCGCAGATTTCCGTGTCTCTTCGGGCATCCGCGCCGCCCCGGTCTTGAAGGACGCCAGCTGGGACAGGGAGTCCACGCTGATGGCGCGGATCGTGCCCTCCTTCACCTGGCGGATCGTCCCTCGTGGCGTGGCCGGTGGCAGACGTGGCGCTTGGGTGTCCTTTTGGGGGCAAGGAAAAATCGAGGGCCCTGCAAGCCTCAACAACTACCCATAAATAAAATAATTTATTAAAAAAAGAAAGGAACAAAAGGAAAACAACAAAAACAATCCAAGGGATTTCACCCACCGTCATTTTTTGGGTGTGTCCTTTCTTTTACCCAAGCCTTCAAGGTGCTGGGACCATGTGCCATAAACCAACAGCTAACACATCGCTGTGTCTTTTTGTTGGAACGTACCATTTTTGGTTCACGGGTGCTTTTTTGGGGAAAAAAGTCGATGGCCCTACAAGCCTCACACTACCCTTATACAAAAAAACATGGGATTTCGCCACCACCGTCATTTATTCGGTGTCCTTTTTGGAAAACTGGGCTATACTCAGATCCCCGGCGAAAAGTGAGTGACCAGCGTTTAGTGCTAAATGAAAACCAAACCACTAAACCAACTCAGGAACCGGATGGCTGGGAGCCAAGAACATGGGTGGCCCTGGTTGATTGAACCACCAGGTAAACCAGGAATCACCCTTTATCTTTTAACCAAACCAACCAAAAAGGACACCTGCGGCATAGACGTCGACGGCATGTCGACTTCTCCGTTTCTGCACCCCGGATCTAAGCCCGAAGCACTTAGGAAAAAATGTTTAAACTTTTGGGGCCACTAAACATGGCTGCCCAAAAGGCAAACTGAAAGGTCAAAAAGTCGGGTTTGGGCAACTGAGAAGTAAAACCCCTGGTTGATTGTGAGCGATGGGAGTGTCCCCTTTTCGTTTGGGGGGGGGGGGGGTATCACTGTTGGAGGGAATACCCTAGCCAATAGGACGGGTTTGTTCATCCGGGGTCAACATGAAACCTTGTGACCTTTTGCAAAAATAGATGGCCCTGTGGAATAACATCCATCTAAACCAGAATCAATCTATTTCCAAGCAAACCAACCTAAACAAAAACACCAACAACACTTTAAACATCCTGTATGTCCACGGAATGGATTTGGTGGAGATGGGTTCGTCCCCTTGCTTTTGTTGCTTTTTTTCCTGGGGTCTCTTTTGACATGATGTCATCTTGTTGGATAGATTAAGCATGGACCAGAAAGCATGGAATTGTTTGTCGCTATCCCAGACTTGGGCAAAACAAACATAGGGTTCGTTCCCCTGGCCAGGGAAATTTACTGTTCGACCCCCTTGAAAAGAAGGATATGCCCTTCAACTTCCCCGAACTGTGGGTCCCGAAGGGTAGATGGCCCTCAAAATGGAGGACTCCCAACAAAACTTGTTGTCAGAATCTTGCAATCAAGTTTTGCAATCAAGTTGTCAATTTAGTTTAGTCTACCCTTCAATATAAATTGTCTTTGCAGGAGTTTGATTTATTAGATGGTCCCTTTGCGGCCTTAAGCACATCCTCAAATGGACGTTTGGATCGGAAAGTCCTTTGAGAATTTGTTTGGGGTTGGTGTCAAATTGCAGACTGAGCATATGAAAGGACGTGCCCAAAAGTTCAAAGTCCAGGAGCTCAGGGAGCAGGTGGGCAATGAGAAAGTGATACGCTGGAAACAAAGGAGACCTGATCCATCCGAAAGGTTGATGGCGCAGTGCCGGTGATTCCACACTTCTGTTCCACCATTGCTCTTTTCACAAAACAAAGCCGTCCAACAACGGCCTTCATCGTAGGCCTCTGGCTTTGCCTTTCACCAAATCACAGCAGTCACCTCGCCCTTGACAGGCCGAACTCATGTCTTTCGATCTATTCTCTTTCGTGTTCTCGCCCGAGAACTCGCGCACGCGACCTCCATCATTGACCATCATCGTAGGCATCTTTCGGGTCCTCTTGGCTTGCCGTCGCTCTCCGCATGGTTTTTTGGAGAAGAAATGCTGCTAGGTCCTCCAGTAGAGAGCTTAGAATAAGGCTACCTTTTTTTTCTGTAGTCTAGTTTAGTAGGGGAACCCTCCCCCAAAAAAGGGCAAAAGGGCACTACTGGGGGACCTAGGCTGCAATAGTGGTGCCCATGGACGAGCGTCCACAAAAGACTCCTCGAAAATTTTGACACATTGTCACATTGCCAGTGGTTTTGACGTGGACTCGCAAAGCTTCTTTGGGGTTTAGGGTTTAGGGTTGGGTTTGGGGTTTAGGCTCCTTGCGTCAAGAGCCTGGTTCAACATCAATTCAACCGAGACTGCCCTCGGTCCAATTTTCCCGCAACCTTTCATCCCGACCCGGGTGTAAGCAGCAAGCCAGACAGAGGGCCTCTTCGATTTCGCTGTCAACGGGGCAATTTAGGGGCCCAACAAGGGCTCAGTGTCATTTGACAGCTTGGAGTAGAGCGTTTGCAAGGAGCAAAACGAGCCGTGCTTTGGGCGGCCTCGTCCACCCCGTGGTTGATGTAATTCCCGGCCTGAGCAAAGCTGGGTCATGTGTCAACATTTGCACCCTCTTCCAAATGGTAGATGTTACACTCAATTGAATCTGGGCGGTCCGTTTTCTGATCTCCGAAAAGCTTCACTTGTGGGTGAACTGGAATCCCAACCACTAAACTAAAAACGTCTAAACAAAAACTCAGCAAACGGACTGCTGGGGTTGCCCGCCAAGTTGAGTGGATTGGCCAAAAAGCTTGCCCCAAACTCTTGGTTGCCTCTAGCCCAAGTCCAGGAAGTCTGGGACAAACGGAAATGAATGCGTTTTGCTGGTACGGGAAATGGACAACCTCAGTCTTGGGCATTCCAAAAGGACCAGGACCCTCAATGGGAAGTCACCCAGAATGCTTGGGCATCCCAAAATTAAGGGTACCCTCCTGCCCCTCCAAACATACTTCTAGGGGTTGATTCCCCATTCTTTTCAACCATCGTTCTTTTCAAAAACCAGCCGTTTTCCCTGGGATTCTGGAGGTTTTCTAGAAAGAAGGATCACTAGAATGGGTAAGGTACCCCTAGATAAAAGATAAACAAATAAGCCCAGGTGGTATCCCCAACAGCCCGTCTGGAACCCTTTGGAGCCCTCCCTGAAAGCTGCCCCAAACCACCCCAAGGCCTATCTGGGCAGAGACCCCCAAGCTGACAGCTGTTGGGAAATAACTGGGAAGTCTGGCGAACTCACCTTGGGCACTTAAAAAGAAGGTTTGTCTCCAAAGGAAACCCTCCAAAAAGGTGCAGGCGGTTTCTTTTGGATCTTGTGCTACCTCAAAAAGGGGGCCCTGAAAACAAGAAATGCATTTCGCGGCCATCCTTCCTGCTGGTCAAACATCAGTGGTGTCAAAAGGGCCTTTGTTGAGACCCTGGTGTCATTCTGTGGCACATTTTAAGGCATCCGACAAAGGATCACGGGCCCCATGAGAGTTTCTTGCTTGCAGATTGCGCACCCCCAGTTTGTCAATTATAATATTTGGGGCATGCTGAAAGCAAGGGACTCCATCAAAAGGGGCTCTACCGTTTGAGGGAGTTGTATTTTGCGAAAGGGCAGGGTGAAACAAAAACAAAGGTTGTGATTCCCGGAATGAAGCATCTTATTTTGCATGTTACAGGTGAGAGAACGCGACTTGCAAGCAGTAGCGCTCTCATGTTTTATGCCGTTCTTAATACACATACGACAGGATCCGACTCGTAACTTTGAACGCGAGAGCATTGACCAAACACAGACGCCTTGATTGATGCAGAACCTGGGTGTTCGGCCATAAGTGAGGAAGCAGTTCGTCACTCAGGTTATCACCCACTAACAAGTCCCCTTGGCAGGGAACAAGGAGCTCCCGTGGTTTGACATGATTTACCGTGGTTTGGCGGTGGAGTGAGGTCACCATGGTCCAGCATCGAATGGCCAGGCACCCAGTAAGTATTCCGTATCTCTTAAACCCGGTTACTCAGTGACTTGCAAAAATAATTGGAACCGTTTTTGAGGTTAAGCATTTTTCATGGGGGGCGGTTCCACCAAAACAAACGGGAAGATGGGCGCCTCTAAACACGGGGGTTGGACGAAAAGCTAGTCTAGCTTCTTCATTCAACCACTGGGGATAAGCCTCACGAAGGTTTTTTGGTCAAGGGCCTGAGTCTTAGAGACCCAAACTGGTCGACATCATGGTGACGTCCACCACAGCTGAGTCATACTCAAAACCGATCAGCACCAAACTGGTGAACCCAGAACCAGGCAAAGGATTGAACAGGCGGAACATCGCACCCATGTGTGGCTGGAATTGTCCCTTACGACCCTCCAAGTACCTGGGTTTGATTTTGACTCAGGTAGTGTCCTATCAGCCCTCCAGGGGTCACTGGACTTCCCCCTGAAAGGTTGATCAATGTACTAGGTGGTTTCAATCAAAACGATCGCCACTATAGAGGTTCCAAACACCCCGAACTAGCTCCCACCCCACCCCCCCTCCCCCCCACAACCCACAACCCCGCCCCCCCACACCCCAACTGCTTCTAGTTCCCAGCCAACGGCCCTACGGCCCTTCACACCCGCGGGCGCCCAGACCCGCAGCACCACACTGAGCAACTCCCGGAATTCGCGGCTTGTGCGCACCTGGCTCACGCCTTGAACACCTTCAAGCAAGCTTCAAGCCTAGTGGATCTGCAGGTTTTCCACTAGTAATTCCTTGACACATTGAGTAAGGTCAAGGTTCAACCGGGACTCATTCATTTCGTGTTCCTGCCGCCATAGACTGCAAAAAAATTCTTCAAAACGGAGCCCATAGGCACAAAGCGTGTTCTTTGGAAAGCGACCCTCTTTTTGCAAGCTGATTCTGACAGCGACGGTTGCACGAGGACCTGTTCCGCTCCCATTCGACGTCAGTCAGTTGCGGCACTAAAAAAAAGTTGGGGAAACTAAGAGGTCGAAAGGTCGATTCGCTTTGGGCAAGTGAGTAGAGCAGAAACGCTGGATACCCTTGCGGTTTGGTCATTGAGGTTCGGAGCAACCTGCGAAGCGTCATTGACGCTTCCTTTGCCTTGGACCTTGGACCATCGATGTAAATGATGAGATACCACAAGAGTGCCAACAAAGCGGTGACAGTGACTGGTTGGGGGGGAGGACATCTCACACACACATACCTTCACTGCATTCTTCTGCCTACATGGCCCCAAGTTGCAGAGTCTCCTTCTCCCAGCAAACATGACTTGCTGCAGGAGCCGTTTCTAAAAGGGAAAGTCGACGTCCAAAAGATCTCGGAATGTCTGCCATAAATCACACATGGTAAGCAAAGGGCCTTTGTGCTGATATGTGTTGATGTTTCTTCGGAGTGTAGCCCCAACAACCCCTCTCGCCAATTCCCGCCTGCTCGGATGCTTGCTGCAGCACCTGCCCGAGCCAAGGTCACAACGCCCGTTCGTCCGCAGCCGTCGCGCCTTTTTTCCCTTTTCGCTCCGGCACGGGGTCTCTCTGACCCCCTCTCCAGTCGTAGGAACCCCCTGGCGTCCTTTCAAAACCATCCAATCCAGGCTGCTTGAGTTTCAGGGTACTGTTTGACTACCAGATAGACTTAAACCCAGCGGTTGATGTCCAAACCTCTGGAAGTTGAAGCCTAGTCGTCAAAAAGTCTGAGTCTGGCCCACCTGAAAGTCAGCTGGGGAAGCAGTCTGAAGCAGTCCTTCAAGTCCACCCTCCTGAGTCCGGCCCTTTACAAGAAGTCGGAGCACTTTGCCAAGGCGCCACTCTGACATGGCCATGGCTCAAGAAAATACAACGTCTGTCTAATTGAGTTGGCACCCCCTTTTTGGGCTGTTTATCGTGTCGTTTTTGTTTTTTGTGTTTTGTCTTTTTCTTTTGTGGGGGGGGTCTCAAAAACAAAAAACTGACTCACCCATCACAGTTGTGGGCTACTTAAACCTTCCAGCCTCTTGGCTTCATTGTGGGTGTCCCTTTCAAAGGAGACACTGGTGTGTGCTTTTGTGAGGGTTTACGCTCTTCATCCTGGCTTAAAGGAAAACCAACAGAAAATAATGTGTCCTTCGTTCCTTCTTTCTTTTCTTTTTTTTTTTTGGGGGGGGGGGGGGGTATTTTGACACGTACGCATGTCCGCAAAACAAACAGAAACCACAGGCTTTGCTCGCGTTCTTTTCTCAACGCGAGCCCACGGGCACAGGCTGCCCGTCGGTTTTGCCAGATGCCAAGAGAGCCTCAATCAGCTCGAGGTCTAAAAGCGCTTCCTCAGGCGAGCTCGGGCTCGACGAAGTCTCCTGCGTGAGAACTTCCCCTCTTCTGAGACGCTTTCTGCCCCGAAACCTGTACGAGAACTTCCCCTCTTTCTCTGCTGTGAATGTATGCGTTGTGCATGAGTGAGCAAGCCAAGAAAAAGCCAAACAACCGGAGGGCCGAGGAATAGAAACAGGCGGAGAGCGCGGCCCTGCGCATGACTGTGGTTGGGTCGACTTTCAAGAACTGAGTTGTTTTCTGAGTGCCTTTACTTTGCGCAGCCGCGGCCACCAACTGGCGAACCCTCCAGACGTTCGTGGGGTGGACGTTCAGCAACTCAGCTTGTGGTTGCGTCGTTCACCTTCGTGGGGTGAGTGAGTGAGTGAGTGAGTGAGTGAGTGAGTGAGTGAGTGAGTGAGTGAGTGAGTGAGTGAGTGAGTGAGTGAGTGAGTGAGTGAGTGAGTGAGTGAGTGAGTGAGTGAGTGAGTGAGTGAGAGTGAGTGAGTGAGTGAGTGAGTGAGTGAGTGAGTGAGTGAGTGAGTGAGTGAGGGAGTGAGGGAGGGAGGGAGCGAGCGAGAGAGCGAGCGAGTGAGTGAGTGAGTGAGTGAGTGAGTAAACGAACGAGCGAGCGCGCGCGTGCGTGAGTGAGAGACAGGGAAAGAGTGAGTGAAAGAGAGGGAGAGACAAAGAGAAAGAGAGCGAGAAAGAACAAAATACAGAGATAAGACAAGCGAAATAGAGAGAGAGAGATATCAGGGGCGAAAGAAGTTGGCTTCACGCCATAGTCTTATACATAGGTGGCCTTTTGGAAAAATAGATGGGTTTCCCAGGTAAATGGGTTACAAAACCCATCTAAACCAGTGGAACCCATCTATGTTAAACCAAGCTCACCTAAAAAGGACACCTATGGTCTTATAAAGTTGAAACTTCCGCCCCCATGGACTTTACTGGTACGGCATGGACCCCCTTGTGGTAGTGGTTTGGGGCCTGACAGAATCTGAGAAAGGAAGAAGCTGGTTGAGCTTGCAACTTCAGCAAACCGCCCTGAGATAGCTGAATAGCTGAAAACAACCGGTGCCCTGCAAAAAGCAATCCGAATGCCCTGGTTCTTCCAAGCACAATAACACATACCAACTAGGTGCCCTGGAAACCAATCCGAATGCCCGGGAATCCCACCTTCCACTCAGATTCTTGTCAGAAGTGACCAGAGGCGACGATCTGGATATCTCTCGCAGCGATCAAGCCGATGGGAGTCCAAAGCAGCAGGACTTGCGATCTTCCCAATAGTAAACCTCCCCAATACATAACACGGAACCCAGGAAACCTTCGTGTTTTAGAGGAATCTCCTTATTGCGCCGCATGGTGGGTTCCATGTTCTTCTGCAGGGGAGCAACGTGCCGTGTAGTAAGTCACTCGCCTCGCACTGCGACTTTAGGAAAGCTTCAAACTCCGCCGGCACGCCGTTGAAGGGATAGTGCACCGTCTCCGTCTTCATGCGCTTCCCTGAAATCAAAATCAGACCCTCGAACCACCCTTGCAAATGGGACATAGACAAACAACTTATGTCTTGGGCTCAATTCCTGAGTGGCTTGGCCAAAAGAGTCTAAGTCCTTTCATTTTTATGGGTGCCTTTCTTGGGTTTGGACCCCCCAAAAAAAGTGGTCTTCTCTTTTTGGTGTCCCACTTCGGTGTCCCTTAAACACAAAAAACAAAAACAAAAACGGGGGTATCCTCAAAAACCGGCGGGCCACCCATATCCCTATGGCCCAAGCCCAAAACTTTTTGAGTCCATCCCAAAAAGTGAACTCGTGGACCTCCGGGGGGCTGGTGCCTGGCACCTAAACCCAACGGCGAATCCTCCCGCCCGCCTCGGTGCTGTCCCTGAACTGCTGTCCCATGTTTCAAGGGACAATTTGAGAGTCCAAGCACTTGAGACGTTCTGTTTTTGTTTCCCCTTTGATTTTCCTGGTCACGTTGCATGGCAGAAAGTCGTCACTTTGCAAGCAAATCTTGGCACGTGAGGACCAAGTCTCATAGTTTGGTCACCCCCCCCCCCACCCGGCAACACACACACACACAGACACCCAAGCCCCAAACACATCTCTCGCTTGAGTCCATTTCAATCTTCCCCAAGGAATTCTGTCTGCGGACCTCCCAAACGGGATGATTCCCTCCCGCCTTCCTCCACAAGAGTCTGGCACACGCTGTACCCATCCTTCCCATCACCTCAGCGCGAAGCTTCTTGCGCCTAAAAACATGATGGCAAAGGAAATTCACCCAAGCCAGCCAACATCGAGGGCGGAAATGAATTCTGAGCCTTCCAACATAGGACATAGCACCACATGTTAACGCTTGGATTTCTTTGAGCGCCCTGGAAACCCTACCCAAACAGGGGTCCCAGGACGGTTTTGGAAACACCAAGTTTCGGTTGCACCTCTGACTGACGGACTTGGCCCAACAGCTGGACGCTATGGGGAAAACTGCCCTGGTTTGGAGCCGTTCTGGGGAACGGTTCCAGGCCCGGACTTAGTGTTTTCCGACACTGTCCCATGTTTCTGGGCAAAGTACAATTATTCACTACCCCCAAAAAAAAAATCGACCCCCCAAGCAAGGAACCCTCACTTTGGGTGACCTCGTAACCCAAGTCACATCCATATTAGAATTTGCAACCAGAAATTTAGCCTAGCCCAAACTAGGACATCTTTTTTCAAGGAGACCCCAAACGAGTGCAACTAACTGCCACTACAACTGCCTTCTACAAATTGGCCCTGTTGCTGGTCGGAAGTCCAACCCAGCGTGCGGCAAACAACCTGTGGGGCTTGAGGGTCGTTGGGGCTTGAGTGTCCTGGAACATATCGTCAGATTCTGTGTCCTACTGTGGGTGGACGAAATCTTGCACCGCTTTGAAACCAAGGGAAACCATGGTTTGTTGGTATTTACAGGGAATCATCATTCCAGGGTTTCTTAGGTGGTGCAGGATTTCGTCTATCCACAGTATTTCTCTTTTCGCGCCCCGGTACATTGCAGTGTCCGAGTTCATGTTCTCGCGGCTGTGTCCTGTTTAGTCCACCTTTTCTTCTGAGAAGGCCAGGGTCACGGTCGCCAAATGGCTGTGGGTCAAAAATAGGTACCTAAAAAGGCACCCTGGTAAAGGGAAACAATGACTAAAACCTGTGGTCCCCTGGTCTCCTGGTGGTTTCATTTTGACCCGTACCCAAATGGCCAGATGCGGCCCGGTGGCTCACTGCCCGCTCCACCTCCACCTTGCCCTTCACACCAGTGGCGCACAAAGCAAACTTCCGCGTGGACGTGGCGAAGGAGATGCTGACTGAGGCCATCACCTGACAGGTCTTCAAGCCTAGTGCAAACCTCCGAGCGGGGACCGAACTTTTGTTGTTCATGTTGACCACATAATAATCAACCTCAGTTTATTAATAGGGTGTTCCCTGCCAACAGTCATGATTACCCACTAATTTGTCTATGGCCCTGCACATAAGTTGAGTGAGTCCCCGTGTGTTCCTGTGGTCAGTTGGGCCCCTAAAGAGGGAAGCGCCGCCCCCAAAACTCTTAGCCCCTATTGGGATTGGGGGGCCCCCCGATAGGGGGGGCCCTTGACAACCATTGGATGTGTGTGTGTGCGTGGAGGGGAGATCTACTGAGTCCATGTCTGTCCACAATGGACCATGGACTACTGCAAATGTCATGGAGTCTCATTTCGGTGTGCCTGCGGGCGTGCTTCACACAAAGAAAACCCACACGAGAACAAAACAAATTGGTCGTGTCCTATGTTGAGACACACACACACATCTACTTTCTGGGTAAAAGGGACACATACTGGAAACCGTGAGTAGAGATAACACAACAACGACGCCGGGAATCATACCTGTCCAAATAGGCTCTGTTCAGAAGATGTGCTACCTAGTATCAAAGGCTCTGGTTCGAGAATGGCCGTGCATCTCGCTTTGCTTTGCCCCATGAAAAGCCCTCCTTATCTTGGCAGACCCTGTGGATGGACGAAATCCTCTTAGGCACCACCTAAGAAACCCTGGAATGATCCCTGTGACTACCAAGAAACCATGGGTTCCCTTGGTTTCAAAGCGGTGCGAACTCGATTTCGCAACCACCCACAGTATCATCTCTATGCCTCTATAAGACTCAGAGGTCAA